CTTAGTGCTCCTACCTCTAGGCTCGACAGGGATCCGTTCCCAGCCCGTCCTCGCCAACTGCGATCGCGCAAATCAAGTTAACGAAGCTGGAGTGAGTCAGCCAAGTCAAGCCGGAGCTTCAAGGAGAGCTCCTATTGTATAATCATCTATTCACCCTATGGGGAAAACGCGGGGGTCACCTAGGGTATTCGGACACTCCCATCGCGCTTCAAGCCGCTTGGCAAATACCTAACGAATGCTCTCAACTGGCAATTCAAGGGTGGCGTAATGCGCTATGAGATCATCACCGCGCGTATTAGTTGGTGGGGGAATCCGCTCCTACGCTAGTAAGAAAGGCTAGTACCTTGCAGGTCCAGCACTCAGTAACGCCCCCGAGTGCCAAGTCCAGGTCAGCGACAAATGCCCCATGAGACGGCGTTTAGGATGTGTGGGCTGTATGCTGACTGTGTTGGCGGAATTGCGCGGAGGGGCAGGCTCTGCGCCATTAGTCTAGTAGCAGGATACTCGCCTCCCACGTGAACATGATCGGAGATTCGCGAGCGGCCCGGGTGCAAATCCCGGATGGCGCACACAATGATCGTATTGGATGCATTTTACATGTACTCGAAACACTGACCTGCATGTCTACGTAACCTGTAAGTCTGGCTCTAGACGCCGGCGGGCCGGATAATCGCGCAGCGTTGCGCAAGACCTCGTTCCTGCCCGTAAACCTTCTGCCCAAAGGCAAAAACATGCACCCACGACTGGTAAGAGCACCAGGGGCGAACGTGGGTGCCAGCATTGAACATGCCACATGCGCAGCGTGTACATTCTCCAGCACGTTGCCCAGATAGGCCTATTAACCTGTAACTCCCAACAGCCTAACCGGACACGCATGAGCACTTGATGCAGACGCTGGGGCATGGTCACTTGAGTGTGCTCTAACCAATCGAGAGGCGCACCCCTAGGCGGGGCCACTTCCATCCAGTTAATCCCTATGGGGAAAACGCGGGGGTCACCTAGGGTATTCGGACACTCCCATCGCGCATCAAGCCGCTTGGCAAATACCTAACGAATGCTCTCAACTGGCAATTCAAGGGTGGCGTAATGCGCTATGAGATCATCACCGCGTGTATTAGTTGGTGGGGGAATCCGCTCCTACGCTAGTAAGAAAGGCTAGTACCTTGCATGTCCAGCACTCAGTAACGCCCCCGAGTGCCAAGTCCAGGTCAGCGACAAATGCCCCATGAGACGGCGTTTAGGATGTGTGGGCTGTATGCTGACTGTGTTGGCGGAATTGCGCGGAGGGGCAGGCTCTGCGCCATTAGTCTAGTAGCAGGATACTCGCCTCCCACGTGAACATGATCGGAGATTCGCGAGCGGCCCGGGTGCAAATCCCGGATGGCGCACACAATGATCGTATTGGATGCATTTTACATGTACTCGAAACACTGACCTGCATGTCTACGTAACCTGTAAGTCTGGCTCTAGACGCCGGCGGGCCGGATAATCGCGCAGCGTTGCGCAAGACCTCGTTCCTGCCCGTAAACCTTCTGCCCAAAGGCAAAAACATGCACCCACGACTGGTAAGAGCACCAGGGGCGAACGTGGGTGCCAGCATTGAACATGCCACATGCGCAGCGTGTACATTCTCCAGCACGTTGCCCAGATAGGCCTATTAACCTGTAACTCCCAACAGCCTAACCGGACACGCATGAGCACTTGATGCAGACGCTGGGGCATGGTCACTTGAGTGTGCTCTAACCAATCGAGAGGCGCACCCCTAGGCGGGGCCACTTCCATCCAGTTAATCCCTATGGGGAAAACGCGGGGGTCACCTAGGGTATTCGGACACTCCCATCGCGCATCAAGCCGCTTGGCAAATACCTAACGAATGCTCTCAACTGGCAATTCAAGGGTGGCGTAATGCGCTATGAGATCATCACCGCGCGTATTAGTTGGTGGGGGAATCCGCTCCTACGCTAGTAAGAAAGGCTAGTACCTTGCATGTCCAGCACTCAGTAACGCCCCCGAGTGCCAAGTCCAGGTCAGCGACAAATGCCCCATGAGACGGCGTTTAGGATGTGTGGGCTGTATGCTGACTGTGTTGGCGGAATTGCGCGGAGGGGCAGGCTCTGCGCCATTAGTCTAGTAGCAGGATACTCGCCTCCCACGTGAACATGATCGGAGATTCGCGAGCGGCCCGGGTGCAAATCCCGGATGGCGCACACAATGAACGTTTTGGATGCATTTTACACGTACTCGAAACACTGACCTGCATGTCTACGTAACCTGTAAGTCTGGCTCTAGACGCCGGCGGGCCGGATAATCGCGCAGCGTTGCGCAAGACCTCGTTCCTGCACGTAAACCTTCTGCCCAAAGGCAAAAACATGCACCCCAGCCTAACCGGACACGCATGAGCACTTGATGCAGACGCTGGGGCATGGTCACTTGAGTGTGCTCTAACCAATCGAGAGGCGCACCCCTAGGCGGGGCCACTTCCATCCAGTTAATCCCTATGGGGAAAACGCGGGGGTCACCTAGGGTATTCGGACACTCCCACCGCGCATCAAGCCGCTTGGCAAATACCTAACGAATGCTCTCAACTGGCAATTCAAGGGTGGCGTAATGCGCTATGAGATCATCACCGCGCGTATTAGTTGTTGGGGGAATCCGCTCCTACGCTAGTAAGAAAGGCTAGTACCTTGCATGTCCAGCACTCAGTAACGCCCCCGAGTGCCAAGTCCAGGTCAGCGACAAATGACCCATGAGACGGCGTTTAGGATGTGTGGGCTGTATGCTGACTGTGTTGGCGGAATTGCGCGGAGGGGTAGGCTCTGCGCCATTAGTCTAGTAGCAGGATATTCGCCTCCCACGTGAACATGATCGGAGATTCGCGAGCGGCCCGGGTGCAAATCCCGGATGGCGCACACAATGATCGTATTGGATGCATTTTACACGTACTCGAAACACTGACCTGCATGTCTACGTAACCTGTAAGTCTGGCTCTAGACGCCGGCGGGCCGGATAATCGCGCAGCGTTGCGCAAGACCTCGTTCCTGCCCGTAAACCTTCTGCCCAAAGGCAAAAACCAGCCTAACCGGACACGCATGAGCACTTGATGCAGACGCTGGGGCATGGTCACTTGAGTGTGCTCTAACCAATCGAGAGGCGCACCCCTAGGCGGGGCCACTTCCATCCAGTTAATCCCTATGGGGAAAACGCGGGGGTCACCTAGGGTATTCGGACACTCCCATCGCGCATCAAGCCGCTTGGCAAATACCTAACGAATGCTCTCAACTGGCAATTCAAGGGTGGCGTAATGCGCTATGAGATCATCACCGCGCGTATTAGTTGGTGGGGGAATCCGCTCCTACGCTAGTAAGAAAGGCTAGTACCTTGCATGTCCAGCACTCAGTAACGCCCCCGAGTGCCAAGTCCAGGTCAGCGACAAATGACCCATGAGACGGCGTTTAGGATGTGTGGGCTGTATGCTGACTGTGTTGGCGGAATTGCGCGGAGGGGTAGGCTCTGCGCCATTAGTCTAGTAGCAGGATATTCGCCTCCCACGTGAACATGATCGGAGATTCGCGAGCGGCCCGGGTGCAAATCCCGGATGGCGCACACAATGATCGTTTTGGATGCATTTTACACGTACTCGAAACACTGACCTGCATGTCTACGTAACCTGTAAGTCTGGCTCTAGACGCCGGCGGGCCGGATAATCGCGCAGCGTTGCGCAAGACCTCGTTCCTGCACGTAAACCTTCTGCCCAAAGGCAAAAACCAGCCTAACCGGACACGCATGAGCACTTGATGCAGACGCTGGGGCATGGTCACTTGAGTGTGCTCTAACCAATCGAGAGGCGCACCCCTAGGCGGGGCCACTTCCATCCAGTTAATCCCTATGGGGAAAACGCGGGGGTCACCTAGGGTATTCGGACACTCCCACCGCGCATCAAGCCGCTTGGCAAATACCTAACGAATGCTCTCAACTGGCAATTCAAGGGTGGCGTAATGCGCTATGAGATCATCACCGCGCGTATTAGTTGGTGGGGGAATCCGCTCCTACGCTAGTAAGAAAGGCTAGTACCTTGCATGTCCAGCACTCAGTAACGCCCCCGAGTGCCAAGTCCAGGTCAGCGACAAATGCCCCATGAGACGGCGTTTAGGATGTGTGGGCTGTATGCTGACTGTGTTGGCGGAATTGCGCGGAGGGGCAGGCTCTGCGCCATTAGCCTAGTAGCAGGATACTCGCCTCCCACGTGAACATGATCGGAGATTCGCGAGCGGCCCGGGTGCAAATCCCGGATGGCGCACACAATGAACGTTTTGGATGCATTTTACACGTACTCGAAACACTGACCTGCATGTCTACGTAACCTGTAAGTCTGGCTCTAGACGCCGGCGGGCCGGATAATCGCGCAGCGTTGCGCAAGACCTCGTTCCTGCACGTAAACCTTCTGCCCAAAGGCAAAAACCAGCCTAACCGGACACGCATGAGCACTTGATGCAGACGCTGGGGCATGGTCACTTGAGTGTGCTCTAACCAATCGAGAGGCGCACCCCTAGGCGGGGCCACTTCCATCCAGTTAATCCCTATGGGGAAAACGCGGGGGTCACCTAGGGTATTCGGACACTCCCACCGCGCATCAAGCCGCTTGGCAAATACCTAACGAATGCTCTCAACTGGCAATTCAAGGGTGGCGTAATGCGCTATGAGATCATCACCGCGCGTATTAGTTGGTGGGGGAATCCGCTCCTACGCTAGTAAGAAAGGCTAGTACCTTGCAGGTCCAGCACTCAGTAACGCCCCCGAGTGCCAAGTCCAGGTCAGCGACAAATGCCCCATGAGACGGCGTTTAGGATGTGTGGGCTGTATGCTGCCTGTGTTGGCGGAATTGCGCGGAGGGACAGGCTCTGCGCCATTAGTCTAGTAGCAGGATACTCGCCTCCCACGTGAACATGAACGGAGATTCGCGAGCGGCCCGGGTGCAAATCCCGGATGGCGCACACAATGATCGTTTTGGATGCATTTTACATGTACTCGAAACACTGACCTGCATGTCTACGTAACCTGTAAGTCTGGCTCTAGACGCCGGCGGGCCGGATAATCGCGCAGCGTTGCGCAAGACCTCGTTCCTGCCCGTAAACCTTCTGCCCAAAGGCAAAAACATGCACCCACGACTGGTAAGAGCACCAGGGGCGAACGTGGGTGCCAGCATTGAACATGCCACATGCGCAGCGTGTACGTTCTCCAGCAAGTTGCCCAGATAGGGCCAGGTCAGGCGACGATTCGCCCAGGACATCTTGTGTTGCAATTAGTGACGTTTTTGTCTCAATTACATACATGCACCATGATGCGGAAGACTATCCATTCCAACGCGTGCAAGACTAGTCCTAGGGTCGCTAACTTAGACTTATGCCTCAACCTAGCCATGAAGCAGCCCTTGCGGGCACCCCTCTGAACGGCGCCATTTTGCAGAGCCCGCCAGCCCATTTCGGCCTCGATTAGATGCCGCGTCGCCACCCCGCCTTATCGTACGCCAGACAGAATTTGTCAACCACCTCATTGGCGATATGCGTCCCGCGGGTCATGGCGGCAAGATACAAGGTCAACAGCGTGTCGTTGTACTCCTGTTGAGGGCAAGGAAAGAAATCAGAAAAAAATTATTTGCACTGTGAAATGATGAATTTGCATCAGGTTGCACAGAAGTGTTGTATAATTTTGTAGGAATGTAGCAACGAGGTTCCAAACGTCCCAGCCCTCCTCCCTTTACCTCTCCTCCTTTTTTTCATCCCTCTATTTGCGTCCCATCCCTCTCACCGTGAGGTACTCCCGACTGAATGCCTCCGTGTCACACGCGGGCAGGCTGTTGACAAGACTTGACACCTGCAACCGGCAACCGCCAGTAGCAACGGAAGGACCAGCAACAGCCACGGCAGTAGCAGTAACAGCCACGATAGCAGCCGTACAATGACAAGCCTCAGCATAAGTAGCAGTCGTACGAGCAACTGAACATCAGCGGTGGGAGCGGCAGCCAGCCAGTCACCCACCTGGCGCAACAAGCTCTGCGGGTACGGCACTGCTGCCAAGTTCCCGGGTCCAGGTCCTTCTACCCCCGCGGCCGGGTCCATGGCCAGCTTTCCCAGTGCCCCGTGGATTAGTCGAAGTCTCTCCAGCAGCATCTTGATGGCGCTGTGCATGGAGGCCAGCTGGGCGCTGACTGAGGGTGGGCGTTAAGAAAGGCCGGGGCCAAGTAGACATTTGCAGGGTTAGGATTTAGGGACTGAAGACTTAGGAGGACATGAAAATTCGCTAACGGTGGGCTCGTATGGGGAAGAGGACTTACGGTGAGGGAGAAGGATGAGCGATGTCGGAAGATGAAAATTTGCGGGCGCCCAGGGAATACATGAAAAGAGAAACTGCCTCACCACATAGACAGTCTAGAAGTTCGTATCAGCCGAAGGCCCCCAGGTTCTTGGTTGGTTGGTTGGTTAGTTGGTTAGTTGGTAGGAGGGAAAACAGCGCTGAACCGTGAGACGATGACCAGACAAGAAAGTGCAGGACGGCGTCAGGAAAACTATTACGATGCGCGATGGTAATGGACTGCCGGGTAGCATAGAACGAACGTGAGCCGAGCCGCGAGCAACGTGGTACAGATAGAACGATACCCACAAACTTTGCAGTGGGACTCGGCAGCAGTGAGGCACAAGGGCAAACTTGGGCACGCCCAGAAAAAGAACATCCGTGGAAATCCGTACTGTCTGTACTGCCGTGCCGTACTCACGCTGCTCTGAGCCAGTGGCACGGCCACTGGGAAGGATACGTGCCACCTGGTCCACGCCGATGCGCTCCGCGTCGCTTGTCTCGATTGTGTACGGCGCCCGTACAAACACTAGGCCTGGAGCTCCCGAGCCGGGTGACAAGTGAAGCTCTGCATGGCGGTGGTGGCAAGAGCGAGACGGCCAGCAGCTGTGTAACGCTACGACAGGTCGTGGCGACGGTAGCAAGCAAAAGGGACGATGCAGGGCAGGGACGGCAGGGACGGAGCCACGGAGGCCCCTTAGGAATTAGCTTCCGGAGAAAAGCAAGTAGGCAGTCAAGAGCACAGTTTTCATGACGGCCTTGTCCTGCATCGCCCACATGCCGTACATCCACCCACCCGTTTCGTACAGCGCCACAGGCAGGTCCTTGCGGCTGTGGTCGACGGCCGGGTCCAGCAGCAGGAAGACCGGGCCCTCCACCACTTCAGATATCTACATGCCGGGTCAAGGTTAGAGCTGACCTCAGCACGACGTCAACAGGGGGAGGAACGTACGCAGAGAAGAAGCCTAATAGCGACCAGAACGGCAAAAGGGGAAAACGCAAGGCAAGGCCTGCAGGAGGATGATTAAGCGAGGGCTGGATGAACAGATGATGAATTATCCAACATCGCAACATCAATAAAAAATCGGACAGCCACATTTTGGCGTCTCCTGTGGGAGCGGGAAGAGGCGATTTCCTCTCAAGAGGACAGCCAGGCAAGAATCTAAAACAGGATAAACAGGCGACGGGTTCCGTAAAGGCAAGCCATCGCATTTATGGCCCCCCAAATCGGGTTCGAGCTCAAAATCTCAACGAGGCCCATCTCTGCCATGTGGCCCATGTGAGCCCCACGGGTCCATACGGTTTACTTGAGGCCCATATCAGGCCCATTGTTTTCATGCTGTCAACGTAAGGCCCCTGCATGGTTCCTCGTGTCCCTGGTGAGGTCCGTCCGCCCTTGGGATTTCCACCCGGTCACACCTTGCGGTGGCATTGCATGTGGGCATCTGTGGCTGCTGAACCCGTGGCGTACCAGCCGACCACATCCAGAGTCTTGAAGACTTGCTTATCTAATGGAAGGGAAGAAGGGAAGGCAGGGAGAGTGGGGCCAACGGTTCGGAATTCAACGCTGGCGGGGTGTGGTGGTGAGTTGGAAAGGAGTAAAGCGAGCTCTCCATTGGGGCAGCAGATGCGGATACGGTGGAGGTGAAGGGAAGTACCGGGGACTGGGGACCGGGGAGCTGACTCCCGGCGGCTGCGGGCTAGGGGTGACCCGAACGTATGGTGGCAGTTGGTGGTGTGATGGAGGAGATGATTGTGGGGCCTAACGGTGGGATATCATCCAATTTAAGAGCAGTTCGAACCATGTAATCGAATGGATACGGAACAGGGAACGTGGTAAGAAAGGCTTTCTCACAGGATGAGACTCTCTGTTACGGAGGGTGTAAGACAGGACAGCTACTAGCAGATGCCATGATGCGACTGATGAAGTGCACGCGCCCAGCGGCGAGACAGCGCTTTGGCACCAGGCAGCGCACCACATCCGTCCGCAATACCCGTGGGGGCGAATCGGGAAACAAGCGACAAGGAGTTCGGACTTGAATTAAACCGAAGACATATATTGGCAGGCTCCCCTTAAATTAATATCCTGGGGGACGGGGTGCGGATCCCCACACCCCACCCCTTGCCCCTCTCATGTGTAACGCCATCTCTGCTGCCTTTAACCTACATTGCTCCTGCTTCTTCAGGAGGAATGCGATGTCCACCTCCACCGAGCCATCCGCAACGATGGTGTATCGCACTTCAAAGGAGTTCCGGATGTCGACAGTGCGGCCGCTCTGGCTTCCCAACAGGCAACCCATGACCGCGGGCAAGGGCACTCCGGGTGTGGACGCTCCGGAAGTATTTGCTTTCGTGCGGGTGTGATGATCGCTGATGTTGATCAGGACGAGCTGCGACATAGCGTGCAAGTGCATGGGCCAACGCTCCGCAACGAGCAACGAAGCCAGGAAATCTTCCACATACAGAAGGTCAGCATTTAAGACCAAAACAATAGCCTGGTACCTTGTCAAGATGCCACAGGTTCCAAAATGGTTCGATCTCGCCCTGACAACGACTTCAAGGCACCAGGGAAACGTACCGGGTGAAGCTTCCATTCTAGACCCGATGTGCTTTGGCGAGTCCCTGTGTCCGTGTCCATTTCACCAAGTCTATAGTAAATGTGATATCTTTATTTGCCAATGCAGGGCTTGAACATGCACGTTCCGTTCTGGATGAAGGTGGATGAAGGTAAGATCAAACAGATTGCAATATTGTTAGAGGCATTAGATACGCCCACATTTGCTATGCTTTACAACGACACCTCTGTCCACTTCACAGGTGGGAGCCGGAAATGCTCCCTTGTAATCTAGATATGCAGATGTGCAATTTTTTCCTATGGTAATGCAGTTTTTCCGCAGTTTGGCGTGGGCGCGCGGCCTCATTTAGGTCCCATGCAGAAGTTGAGCAGACGTGCGTAATCCCCCGATGGGACCTGTCATAAAGCCACCCCAATTGATCAACCCTACAAGCCACTACCTGATTCACACCAAGAAACAATAGCGCCGGTTGAATCACTTTACAGATCAGAGCCCCGATAAAATCTTCACTACTAACGCAGCGCTCGCAAACATCTCTGCACTGCAAACGAGATGCAGATTTCCGCTATCAATGAATTTCAGGCGTTGAGAAGTCCAGTTGGTCGTAAGAGTGACCAAAGGCTGGGCCGGCCCGCCTCAGGCTTGTCGAACGCTTGTCGCCTGCCTCCCAAGGGCAGTCCCTTCCCAGCAGCATATCCACAAGCTTCTTCTAATTTGCGCTTGGTGTTGGGACCTTCGCGCTGCTCTGTCGTGGTGGCGGCGGGTAGGGACCTCACCACGACGCCATGGTCAGGTAGGTTTGGTAAGGAACAGGCCACCTGCATCGCAGCTACATTACACAATTCTCTGCCCGATATAATGATCTTGGCTGCTTGCACGCCCCGGAGCAGGCACGTGCGGTGGTAGCACCTGTCGTCTCGCTTAATTTGTCGTACCATGTCTGGGGGAAGCGCCTTGAACGGACTTTGGCGTTGCCCTGAACCTTCAAAAGCGCATTATAACTCCCCAACAAAGCGCTGGTGGCTTTGACGTGTAGCGTCGGTGTCGTTTGGACGAATTGGCAGACACGCACCGCCGCTCGCAGTGCAAGGGCAAAGCCGACATGCCAGCCGCTTGAATGCGTTATGGACACAAGCATTATGGGGTGAATTCTCATTGATAACGATGCTATGTGTTGCATTATGTTGCTCAGCGACCGGGTGTAATGGAGCAAGGTTCGTGCCGCACAGGTTCCCCAGAGCGCCGGCCCGACAAGCATGGCAGTAGCAGCAGCAACCCCGCCGCCGGGGATGGCCCCTCCCTGGAGCTCAGTTCCGGCATGGCAGCGCTTATCGCCCTCAACGGCGTCATCTTCGCCGGAGCCGCATTCGCCAAGCTGCCGCCGCTAGCCGGACTCGCCTTGTACAACGCGGGAGGGGCTTGGTGGCAGGTGCGCGTGCGGCGGCGAGCTGCGACTAAACTTTCCGTATCTCCTTACGGTTGCAAAACGACGCAGCTCCAGCTCAACGTGAAAGCAGCTGCTTCGATGGCCAGCTATGATTAAGCAAAGCACCGCATGTACACTGCTGGCTGGGCAGCTACAACTGTCAGTTGTGTGCATGTAATGTATGTCTGTATGTATGTTGTTACAGGGTGGTTAACTTCGCCAGCGGCCCCCTTTCCCGGGGCAGTCCCTGCTCTCCCCTGCTAGAGGGGCACCCTAATCCGTCACCCCATCCGACTTCAGAATGTATTCGTTGGGTTCGGCAACTCACCACCAGCATCCAACCCAATCTAGCGGATCAACGGCGCATCAACTTAGTTCCTGGTCAGCTCGCAAGTTGATTTTATCACGTTCTACATCGTCCATATGATGGGGGGCCACCTCCCATTTCAACACTCCTCAAACACCCGAGGAGCCGGCAGGCGGATTTGAGCCCGGGTCGGCCGGGAGCAGAAGTCAGGCCTTCTGTATGTATGTATGTATGTATGTATGTATGTATGTATGTATGTATGTATGTATGTATGTATGTATGTATGGAGGTATGTATGGAGGTATGTAATTATATTATATTATATTATATTATATACATTATATAGATTATATTATATATTTGTATAGCTGCTATGTATAAGATCCTTGCCTGTACGCTATAGCTATGCAGTTATGTAGACGCCCCTGTAGCCACAATAGCAGCTATTTAACGTCTTGGACCCACCAAAATGCCGTTTGCTGTCCCGTGTTATGGTTTAGCCTGTGAAACCCCGGTTGTTCATGTTCCCTGGCGCTACCTTTGCAACAATCCCCGCAGTACGGCACTTCCGCGTTCGTACATGCCAATCTGACGCAACTCTCCAGGAATATGTTCCTTTTATGGCTATGGGGGAGCGCGCTGCGGCGAGTGGTGGGCGGTCCGGGCGTGTGGTTCACGTATGTCATCTGTGCGCTGGGTGAGTGCGTGACGGGGATAATTTAAGGAAGTGCCTGGGTGGGTGAGGAAAGAGGAAATGTACGGTTGAATGTAGGAAATATCAACTGTGAAGTGCAGTTTTGCAAAGCGGTCAAGCGCCCCAGACGCAATAGCGGTAACTCGAGTCCTTGTCCTTGTCTGGGGCAGAAGGAGAAGCCGATGGCAGGAATCAAAGAAGGATGTACGAATGTAGGGTTCTTCTATGTGCTCTTCCGGACATGCCATCCTTCTGCCGAATTCCGAAGCTCCGCGATGCAAGCTTTATAAATTGATTCAAGGGTTTGCATAAAAACTAGGCTACGTTGTGCAACAAAAACTAAATGTTGGTGTAAATGTAATATCAAGGAGATACTTGTTAAGCTTGTTGTTTTTTTAGTTTAACAAGCCACTTATTTATAAATCCAAATTTAATAAGACTATGCAGGCATCGTTTTTTATCAACAGGGGGTGACAGCCTCGGCCGACAGGCGGCCTCCGGGGAGATCTCAATATGATTTTGGCGATTTTCCTGACCATCCGTACACGTTCGTACGATCTTCCTTAATCGTCTCTTTTCACGTCCACCCGCATGTTCCGTTTGTTACTCTAGGCCTGCCATTATCCTGTTATGGAAATTACATATTGTTGTATGCTTATACCTCAACATCATCACATGTGGACGCACACCTCCGTGTCTCGGGGCTTCAGCACATTGACCGTCGTAGCATTCTTGTGTTTCCCTCCTACGTGTATGCATCTTCGTGTCCGGGTCGCTGACTCATCGGTCACGTTCACCTCCCTCCCGACCCGGCCCGATCAGGTTCAAATATGGTGGCCGCGTACACCCTGGGCGCCAAGGCCAAGGCAGGAACAGCTCTCCTAGGCGTGGCGGCATCTGGCGGCTGTGCCGGCGTGGCGCTAGCGGCGCTGGCGCTCACGGCAAGGCCCTCACTGCGCTGGCTCATGGCCGTCGGGCTAGCTGTGCAGTTCACGCTACCGGCGCTGCTGGCGGCCCCGGTGCCGGGCATGCCCGCCGTTGCCGGCGGCGCAGCTGCGGCGGGGCAGAGTGCGCTGGCGCGCCTGCTTCCGGGCTGGATGACGGCGGCGGCGGGGGATCAGCTGGTGGGCGGCGCCGCTACTGTTGCCGTCGGCAGCAGCAGTAGCTCGGGGCTGGGTGCATTCCTGACGGCACTCAAGACGCCGGCCATGTCCTGGTTGTGGGGTGCCGCCGCGGGTGCGCTCATCGTCATCATCTTGGCGAAGCTCCCGGTGCCGCCCGAATAATGGCTGTGCAGGGGCACATCCTGGCGTGTACGGCTCGTAATATCATTAAGGGCATCTTCGGGCTGAAAGGGCACATTTGTACGGTCCATGAGGGGCAAGTACTGGAACGTACGACCCGCACGGCCATGTGTAGGCCTAGGGGCCAGCAGGGCGAGGCAGGAAAATCTCTGTTCATGCCCGGTTGATCATTGCAATCGCCGCCTAGTTACCGTCATGAGATGTTATCGGGTGAGAGTTTGGGAGTTGGTGATATGGCAAGTCGTGTCGGCGAGGCGGCCCTGTAAGCCGCGTTGCTTTGTCAAAGGTTTTAGTTTCATTCAGTTGCGCCACGGACGTCGTGCAGACATTCGGAGTAAGATGATGTTTGAGCATGTTGATTGGGGCGAGGGCAGAGAGCACGTTCAAGCGCATTTCAATGCGAACGCACGTCGCCAGGATAGGGTATTGGCTTATGGGGAAAAACTGGGAGAGCACGCCTCACAACGCCCTATGCAGCGCAGCACGGTAGTCTCACACCGTGCACCGCCGGCCCTTGGCGCGGGTAATGTGCATATGGGAACCGGCTTGGTTTCCCATGTTTTGGATAGGGCTTGAGTTGCGACACGACTACGTGGTTGTTATTGGAGTTGGTATTGAAGAGGAGAATTAGTCAGGACTAGGAATATATCGCTGTTTCGAAAAGATATAGCAACGGAAATTCACTGGGAATGAGCGTATATAGTTACAGGCCGCCACAGCTCTTTTCGCCACCAATGTCTTGGCGGGCGCTGTGCTTCCGCCAATGGGCTTTCGATGTGGGAACGGATGCGGGCCGCATGGCGCGAGGTTCGTGGCAGTGATAGGCTAAAGTGCACATATGGGAGTGTGTATTACACATCACTGCCTTAAAAAACGTAAGTTTAGTATGCGTCGTAACCAAGCTTACGAGCGTTAAGCGCACCAACAAAACCGACCCAACAAACTGCCCCAAGTTGTTTGCCCGGTGCTTATCGTTTGTTGCCCTAACCAGGGTCGCAGCAGCCTAAGGGGGGTAACTCTCTGGTTCGGGCACCTCCCTGGGCTGCTGGGCTGCAAACTGAAAATTGCAGCCCATTGAATCTACTGTATTCAGTAGATGAATCTACGGGCGGCCAGCAATCAAAAGCGGTGTGTCCATGTTCAAGCGTAACGTTTTAGCTTTAAATTGTTTGGAGGTAAGCTTCACTTAGCGCGAAAGCTACAGGTATAACTATTTTCAGCTTTCAGATGAGAATCACTACCGCGAAAAATGCAGCACTGACAAAAGGCCAGCCCGACACGATTGTAAGGTCACGTCCGAACGATTACGGCACTCGACCACATGTCATGGTCTTCATGGATGCGGTAAACAGCGGAAGTATACGGCTTGACGCTGCTGGAGATGCCTCTCCATCCAAATCCTTAACGACATGTATGCCAGCCTCGCCATTGACGTCCAAGCAGGCATGCATAGTGCTTCACTGACGGGACAAAGGCCGCTTTACCAAATGTCTAACACGTCTACCACAATGGACGTCTACGATCAGCGAAGTTCAACCGCATCCGCATGGCTTTGACCTAATCGCAGCGCTATTAACAAGCCACCAAGCGTTATAAACCCCTCACCATATTTTTCTTACATGGACGACCGGCACTATGCAGGCATAAAGCCCTTATAAGTCTCTGCGCATGACTTCGCCACCACGTGGTGTGACTCCTCCATAGGAATAAAACATGTGTGGTGGTGTGTCTCCACAGCAATGAAAACATACTAGTGTGTTTCGTAATAATGCTTCCGCAAGCCAATGCTGGCTGCAGACTGCAGAGCTAGGCAGGAGCTACATACAACGCACATACGTCTCTTTGGTCACCGGGTCACTGCACAACAGTAAGGCCAACCATTAGTGCTCGTACCAAGGACGACAGGCGTCCCCTGCGCAATAGGCGCATACAGCTTTACCGCATAACATACACCATATTGAAATGTGCACATCGCCACGTCTCATGTTCGAACAGCAAGTCTTGGCGTCCTCCGAACCTTGTTATCCCTGGGGGCACGCTGACCATTCATATGCGCCATCGTTATCTCTCCTCTCGTTAACCCCCTCCTCGTTCCTTCTCTCGCTCCTCTCCAACAGGCCTCCGAACAGAATGCAACGCCACAGTAACACAAGACATCTCGATGATCAATCTGCCCTTGCTTGCGCGTCAAAGTGCCCACCGCAACGCCATTCGCGCAGCCTAAACCATGACCATCTGAGTCAAGATTCGGCCCCGCTCCAAAACAGGCAAGAACACCACCGTTCAAAGGAGAAATATCGGCGCACTCAATGAATGCCCAGCGAGAGGACAGGGGTTTGTAAAGCGGTGCGTGAAAAATGTAACATGCTGTTTTCAATGCATATACAAAAACGAAAACTGTTCACCGTTTGTGCGCCAACCGCTCCTCACCGCTCCTTTATACAGTATAGCAGCAGCATGAATATCCGGAGACCACCCACGTACACAAACTCATCCCTCGCTCCGCCCTCACAGGCGCAGCGGAGGCGAGCAGCAATAGCGACATCAAACACCAAAAGGACAATAACGAGTAAAATGCATTCTGGTTCCTTTGCAGCTAACCTGCAGTTCCCTCATCTTCAGTGAATATACACAACAGCCCTGTACATGGATGACGATGGGCATGGTGCGCTTCTCGCCATCTTGCAAAGCGCAGCGCAACGCACCCGCCTGAGATCCTGTACAAGCGACTTACCCGCTACGAATCCAACCTGCCTTCCAAGACACACCAAGACGGGCAGCACGGACCGGACACATGCAAATTGCAAATTACCAGCAACGCACGAATCGTGCACGCGCATGCAGTACAGGGCGGGTCGACCTGCCGCCAGCCAGCCGAGAAAGAAGCTAACCGAACCGTACAGGTGACAGCACTGGCGCCATCACCACATGCACTAGTGTTCCGATACATTACTGGGCCGTTTTGCTTAGACGCGCCTACAACCGGGCCACAAGACAACCCGCAACCAGCATTTAAACCGTTGCCCCTGCCAAACGCCAAAGTGAATACCCGCAGGACAACGAAATCTCAAGCGTGCTTTTGATATCCGTCAAAGGGGAACGCATCAACCATAGCCACAGCCACCACAACGTCATTACATCCGTCGACCATGTTCCCGTCAGGTCAGCGCGTACTGCACCACGCGTTCCAGGTCATCATCGCTGACCAGGTCCTCCTCCAACGAAGCAGAGCCAGAACCGTTCCTGCCCGTTAAGGACGAGTCGCTCCGGAACCCGTCCTGCAAGGCTGATAGGTGGGCCATAACCGTTGCAAGGTCAGAAGGAGAGCTACTGCCGCGACCTACATTGACTGCGGCCGAGGGTCTTGTTGCCGCCGCCGGGAGCCGCACACCCAGCACGTCGTACATCTGCTGCGCCAGAAGGCGGTTGCCGCCAGGCAGCGCGCACAAGGCCTCAGCGGCATTTACCGCCGCCAGCACGGACTGCGCATCCACACCCAAACTGCCGGTCCGCTCCATACCAGACTCCACATTCAACTCCATTCCGGCGCTGACAGCGGGAGTCCCCGTTACTGCATCTCCAAGCATGGTGCCCAAGGGCTGCTGGCTTAGGCCTAGGCCCGTGAAGCCCAGCTCAGCCCAAATGCCCCTGCCGCTGGTAGCTGCAGTGCTGCTCGCGGCGGCAGCAGCCGCTGCAAATGGATTCACCAAAAAGGGAAATGTCTGCGAGAGAGCAGGGGTGGAGGAGAATATCGGCCCCAGGCCCATGGCTGCGGCTAAGGTCTGCTGCAAGGACACGTCAGCGGCGGCCGGTGGCGCTGGTGTCGGGGGCGTCGGTGACACGACCGCAGCCGGTGGCGGCGCGATGGTGGCGCTTGGGCTACGATGCGGTAGGCCCACGAAGCGCCAATCCCAATCATCGAGCGATGCTGCAATGCGGCCCACAAGGTTGCTTCCGCGCTCTGCTGCAGTGCGGCCCATGGCCTCCCACTCTGCGAAACCCACATCGACGACGTGCCAGCCGCGGTCTTCCAACATGCGGCGCCGTACAGCCGTGTCGCCCAAAGCGCGGTGCGGCGCGTTGGAGGCATAGTGATGGCTGCCATTGACCTCCACAGCTACCGGCTTTGAGTTGACCTGATGAACGAGTTGGGTCCCGCGACACAGCCAACGTGGAAATGGAAACTCAGGAAGGACGGGAGCGAGAGGAAAGAAGGGCCATTGATATTAAAGAGCATATAGCAGGTGAAAGCCGTGTGCAGCGCCCGGTGGCGACGGCCTGGATCAAACAGACTTAAGCTCAGGAGGGCTAGTGAATCTCCGCAGTGCTGCGGAGCCAGTAAGACACGAAAGCGAACTATGCCGTCTTTTCGCACCTGTAGACCAATGTCCACGGAAAAGTGCTGGTCGTCGGTCATCCACTCCAGCGCGTGAGGCACGCCGGCACCAGCAAGCGCGCCTGAAACTTCCTGGTGGAAACGGCTCACGTGCACGTCACGAGCCGACGCTGCCCACATGCTGGCCGCCACCGTGCGCAGGGGCTCCGACAGGCAGGGCAGAAGTCCCAGCGATGCGGGCGGGTTTGAGGCTGCCAACTGCTGCAGCTGCGCCAGGGACATACCGGCTCTGCGCGCCAGACTCGAATGGTACATGAGCTGCGCATGGTAGGCCTGCATATGGTGTTGGGTACGTGGTTACAAAGTGTCGGGGTTCCCTTTTTTACCCGCATGAAGAAATACGGAGGCAGGCAATAGCAATTCATGACAAACGACAACAGCACCGGCGGGCGGCGGGATTACATTCAACACGTGATCTCTCTTAACATTCAACACGTGACACAGCGTTAGTCGAGCATTCACTACAAGGCCACGCCAAATAGGCGCACATGGGGCCAACATCTGTGGACACTACAGCAACAGCGGCAGCAGGAACCATATGGCGGGATCGCCAGTTGTCCAGGCGTTGTCTCGACGGGCATACGCCGCACCTGGTGCATCCCTTCTGGCGAGATATCCGCCAGACGCTGTAGACAGCTGCAGAAAGTCGCAAACAGTATTTCGTCCATGAGGTCAAGACAGGCTACCGCCCACATGGTGTTGCACAGCTCCTGCTGGTTCATGCGGCCCAGCAGCCGACTGGCGTGGCAAACTAACGGAGCAGCCCGCTCACGAGGCAGCGGGTGGCCCATCCTGGTGTGTGTGCACAAGGGAGGTACAGGTGGCGAAGGAAGGGCGGAAGGCAGCAGCTAAGTGCCAAGACTGTAGCAGGCAAGAGGTAAAGGAAGCTGGGCTTCAGTTGCCGAAGCAAGTAACGAGCTCTGTTGCGAACCACCACACAATCGGTTCCAGGAAGTTTAATGGCGTTCCCGGGAATTCATAACGGCAAGGCTCCACCCCTCCCTGCCGACTTAAAGCGCATCACCTTAAAAGTGCCCCCTCCCTCCCCAGGCCGCACCTGGCAACTGCCCACAGCGCGTTAGCGACGTTCTGTGGCTCACACGTGTCCACCTCTGCCACCAGCCTCTCCAGCAGCGCATTGAAGAGCTCATCATCGTGGTGGCGCAGGGTGGCGCATGCCCATAGGGTTACGCTGCAGTTTTGCGCATTGAACGAGGGAGCCAGAGATGTAGCGTGGCGTGCCAACGCCTCAAATAGGCGGGGCTGCACGTGGCCGGCGGTGGCCATGGCCCACGCCAGGTTAGACAGACCCTGACAAGCGAAAGGGCGGGCAGGACGCGCAACGCGACGGAGGGATTTAGTGAATTACAGGCAAGGAATTTTCCATGCAAAAAATTAGGATATAGGCCGGCCGAAGTAAAAAGTGTCCTAAAAGCCCACATGTCAGCTACTAGAGGGTAAGCTAAATCAGAGAAGACCCGGCCGCGTGTGTGAGAACCTTCCATTCTTTTGTTATATCCCTCTCGCATGAACCACGTTGCAAGCGGGCATGCAGTCCTATGACAGTAAGTGATACAACGGAGTTCAGAAATAGCGCGATAAATCGTAACTGCCCAAAACCCCATGCTGTGGCGGCTCAGGACAAGAGACGAATTGGCACAACGACGCCCCTCGTAAGCGCCTCCCTACCTGCGCGGTGAAACCCTCTATCTTGTGCAGGGCAGCCGCCGAAAGCGCCTGGAACAGCTGCGGGCTGTGGAAACCAAGCCGAGCGAAGGCCCAGGCGGTGTTTGAGACGCCCTGAGGCTCAAACGACGCCAACTTGTCCAGCGTTTGGGCAGCCCAGGAGGACAGCATCCTGCGCAAATCGACGGTCACGAGATGTAACCGGGAGTTGAGTGGAGCAGCTTAAGGAGAATGTGTAACTTAACAGTAAGGAGCGTACAAAAAGGCTAATAAAGGCACAAGGATCCCAGCCGAGCGAGTCTGGCCACGTGTAGGAATGTGTAGTGTAGGAATTCTTGGCGAGATACAGCTTACAGGGAACAATCGAGTGCTGACCTCACGAATGCTCGTACGAACGCCATGCCAGTAGGAGCATGAGCTGGTGGGGACGCTGCCTTGCAGCTGCCATACCACCGCCGCCGGAGCCGGTCGGACGCAGCGAAACCCGCATCCCGCGATGCCCCACATACCTCTGGTCACGGTGGTTGAGCGTGGCGCAGCCCCACAGAATGTTGGACAGGTTCTGTGGGCTTAGGCGGTCCAATCCGCGGCCCAGACACTCGTTCACCACGGCTCCCACGAACTGCGGCTTATAGTAGCCCAGCGAAGCCATGGCCCACACCAAGTTTGCCAGCGCCTGAACATCAAAGGCGGCCAACTGGTTGCCACACTGCGCCACCACCTGATCCAGGAACTGCATATCAGGGTGGCCAACAGACGCCAGCGCCCAGGCCACATTGGAGATGCCCTGCCGACAAAATACAAACAACGCAAACAACGGAGGGATGTGGTCGGTGCGGGCGGTGGTGATAGCTGTATAGACTTGACCAAAACTCGGCGACGAGCAAGATTCCATGGGGGCCCAGGATGCTCGAGAAACAGCGGATTCGCCGGTTCACCGCGAAATTTTGTCAAGGCTGCCATGCCACCATACCCGGCTCCCAGATTCTTGGGATGCAGGGATACACCTAAACGTTTACATACTTGCGGCAGGAAGGCCGGCAGCTTGACCCGCGTCTCCTCCATAAGCGCCTCCAGCACCTGCGGCTGGTCGCGCAGGGACATCTTGCCCAGCGCCCATAGCATATTAGATAGCTCTTGCTCCTTGAACAGCGGGGCGATGCGCTGGGCTTGCTTGGCTGCCACGTGGAGCTGCAGGCAGAGAGGCAACGGGGGGATATCACGAGCAATAACATAACTGTCGACGCCGAGAGAGGAGGAAACGCCGACTTGGAAAACCCAAGGCGCGTAACAATAGGCCACCAGGACCAGGACGCAGAGAGCAGCACGACCGCAGACGGGCAGCTGATACGAACCCAGATGGCCCAGACGGGACGAGCGGCGGACAAGGAAAATCGCTCCTTAAGCGTTCAAATAGGATAAGGTGCACGCATCAACGTGCCAAAAGAAAGACTTCTGCAGGTGCCCCTTGAAACAATATTTCCTATATGGCTTTACCGTCCATTGGAGGGTTTGGACAAACGTGGCAACTCATTCCCTTGCAAACACAGGAAAATTTGTCATGCGCCAGGCAGCCATCCTCATCCTTACCATCTGGTCGTCGCGGTGCCCCAGGCTGGCAAATGCCCACACAATGTTGGCCAGTTCCTAACAGGGGTAAGGAAGCAGAGGGAGGCTAATAAAATTCCAGTGACCACCGAGTTGTAAGGCCGCCGAAAGATCCACCACTAAACCGAAAAGCCGCATCATTACGCAGCTGGCGTTCCATAATACCCTCCCAGAAGAGCAACCATGACATTCCCCAACAGCTACGTCTTGGCCCAAAACCCCATTGATTGGCCCGTCACGCATCCAGCGTACATACGGGGAGAAACGCGCGCATCCTGAAGCTGCGATCAGAAAACGTGGACGTCAGGCCGCACCTGTGGTTTGAACTCGCCCACACGCGCGCACACAAAGCGCGACGCAGCCGACAGCAGCACCTCGTCCGCGTGGTGCATGTAGACAAAACTCCACACAAGGTTGGACAAGTTTTGGGGGCTGAACTCAGGCATGCGGCGCAGCGCCGCTTGCGCAATCACAGACGGCAGGCCGCCCGAAGGCACGTACTTAAGCTTGCCAAACGCCCATGCCTGTGCGCGAGGAGAAACATCGTGTAAACAAGAAATTTAAGACACATTCATCATCACATTCATCAGTGGATTGCGTCCATCATCAGCGTTAGGATGAAAGACAGCGGGATGCGGCACGCTGTAGGAGATCTACAATCAGGTTGAAATGCGATCCCTGTGGGAGCACCCGCGTGGTGGTGATTGGCGATGATGACCATCAAATGCGGGTTAGACGCACATGGGCGCAGCAACGCATCTTGGCGGTTTACAGGAAGACAAGTGGTTAAAAAGGCAGCACAATACGCCCGTGAAGACATTCACTATCCCGATAAGGTGACGCACCGAGTTGGCAAGGCCGCGGGCATCGAAGCTGTCGACCTGGGTTACCATCAGCTGAGCCAGATGGTCCAACAGGGAACGACCCGCCGCGTCGAGATGAATATCGCTAGGCAACACCGCCGCGGCAGCGGCAGCCGCCGACGCCGGGGCTGAAATCAATGGCGGCGGTAGCGGTGGCGAAGCCGTCACACCATGAAGATGATAAGAGCCGTGTCCGACGGCGGGGCTTACAAGCGCGAGCTTGGGGACGCGTGCAAGCGCCGTGGATATGTTAAAGTAGTCAAAAAATGCGCCGCGGTGTTGCACGAGCGCTAGCAGCTCCTCAGTGTTCCTGCAGGCCATGATGTGCTTGTTAAGCTGAATGGAGCTACTGGCGGCATTGCTGCCACGGGCGTTGTTGCCGGTAGCACGACGGACGGCAGATTGCTGAGCAGCCTGCGGCTGTCGCTGGGACTGCTGATGCTGCGGCGAGTCGAGGGGCTCCAGGAGGGGGCGCACTGACGATGGAGAGGAGTCGTCAGTGGAAACTGAGACAGCTGCGGAGAGGACATCATCGGTGGAGGAGGTTGCGGGGAAACTCGAGGTCACAGCTTTGGCCTCGACAACTGGTGCGGTGGCTGTTGCGGCGGCTTTTGATGCGGGCTCAATATCGACCTTGGGCTCATAGCTAATTGCCGATACGGTAGGAACTGGCAGCTTATGCTTCAGCAGGCCAGCAATGGCCGGCAAAGTCGCTGCTGCGATGTCGGTCGGGGAGGAATGGTGCCCAGCCTCGGGTACCGGAGCCCACCCAGGACGTGTCGAATCCGCGCCGGGAGAAGTCAACGCCAAAGTGCTGAGCGGTTTCGGGAGTGACTGAAGATGGGAGAGGCGCTGGCTCCATTGGCCCAGCGTCTGTGGCAAGGCTCCAGGCTTCTACAGAGCAGCGGCAACGACACCACCACACAAAATAGCTTGCACAACCAAGAGATCGTTTCGTGCCGACAAAGAGACAGATAATATGAAATTCTTACCAGTACAGTTCTTACACTGCCTGCCACAGGCGATGAAAGCGGCGGCCTGAAGGCATCGACACCAAATTTGCATGTGCAGGGAGATTGTTATATAGCCCGAGATAAGGTAGGCCATTTTGGCTTACCGTGGAGATGTACTTGATTCGCTGGAACCCGTCACAATAGGGAGAACATCGTTGGCAACATCAGGAAAAGCTCCTGGGTTGAGGTTAAGCTGGTTTAGCCTCTCTGCAAAGGAGTAAGAAAATCAGGCGATCGACTAAACCTTGTCAGCACACTGCCTTCTCCAGAAGCGCCCCACCTCTCGAAAACAGCGGCAGCCGTCTCAGGAACTGTTTAGAGGCCATACTTCGAGAGATTCAATAAAACGAGATGCTGAATGCGTCAATAATAAGCCGACTGGAAAGTCCAGACGGATGCCAAGGTGTGTGGGCTGCAACGTTTAGCAAGCTAGCCAACTTATAAGACTTCAATTACAAACATGCTTTTCAAAACAAGCTGCTCAAGCTAGTGGGTTCGGGTAAGCTGTGTGTCCCAAAAGGTATCTACTGCTAGGTCCACCCTAGTTTGCCATGCTGACCTTAACATTTAATTCAAATGTTGCAGTCAATGATCTTCTTGCTACCATGAGGATTCTCGCGTATCCTTCTGTCAGAGGTATCCGGCGTGTTGAAACTAAGAAACACACATTCTGACAATATACATCTGCGGTACAAACAGATAACCACCGCGCCTAGTCACAACTCACAAGCCACCTTCAAGTGACCTGCCGTCTAGAGGACAGGCTTTCACGAAGCCGTCCTTGATATCCCTTGTCTTAACTCTGACCCTTGACAAGGAATGGAATGTTTCGTTTGGCGTGTTCCAACGGATGTTGATTGCAATTAGGGCCCTGCTGTGCGCATGCCGTCACAAGCCAGGTCTGGATGTTCCATGAGGATAAATCAGTATTTTTGACGTTCCGGGTTCTGGGTTAGGAACTGTTAGGGAGGTGAACGTTATAACGGAAACATGGACATCGTTTCGCTGTAGGCATGGCACTGGATAACGTGTGACTCAAGTAGAACTAGAAATATATACACCCTGATGGTAATGCGGATACCGTGCCAGCCCTTAAAATAACAATCCCTCCGTTCACCCCGGACGGTAATCTTAAACCCACGTCCGCGATAAAGCTAACGTGAGAGTTCATCCCATCTTAGCGCAACCAGAAGAATCAAATTAGTACGTGATCAGGCCATCTGGCGGGCAAGCCAAGTTTCGTAGACCTTGTACGAAGCCGATGGGCAAGTTGAAGGTTCCAGCTGCGCTGCCTTCTTCCCGCTGTTACGAACCTTAGATATATTGACGTTACACTTGCAACATGGAAGTGCATTCCAAAGGGTCGCGCTGGTCGGTGGGAGACATCCATGGACTAGGAGGGCACGATGCATAGAGCGTTTCTTCTTTTGATTAACTTCTGGGAGGGGTGCTGCTTCAGCTCAGAGCAACATGCGCTTCTGGTTGCTTCTCGCGGCCGCGTCCAGCTTTGTCTTACTCGCAGGTAAGTGCAAGTGACTGTTGACCTCTACAGCTTTACAAAACGATAAGTGACCTATAATATATAATATATGTGTTTTTTCAGGCCGCTTCTGCGCTGCACAGAGTCCCCCATCCCCTCGGCGACCTTCGAGTCCTCCTCGTCCTCCTCGTCCCAGTCCACGCCCACCCTTGCCACCGAGTCCTGAAGGAAAACATCAAACAATTCCGTTGTCCTTGGTTGACTTCATAACGCGGATGTCATTTTGCTCACGAATAACGGATGTCGGATGCATGGGAGAGGACCTCAGGTGGCTCATAGACCTGGAGCCTTTCCCGTTGACAAGTGGGATACAATTACAGGATACGGGGCTTTCATGCATTGGCAGTAGTGGCTCCGGTTGCAAATGGAGCAGCGCAACGGAGTACATAAACTCCACGGGTTCCGACACGTACATCTATATTCCCCTTGGACTTGAGGTTCAGGCCAAGAACATCACGCGGTTATTACAGGTGGGAACAAGCGACCGCCCTTTGCCTCCCAAATGCGTGTGTGCTAGTCGGCTCGTTGAAAAGCATCACCCATGAGCGGTTGGGGGCACCTGCCTTACGGATGATGCAGGGCACTTGCTTCGATTTTTAGGGATGTGGCGCACACAAAACGGGACCCTGAATTGAACCTGACCACTTCCATGAAGCGGTGCCGTGTTCCTCCATGAACCAATCTCTTAACCAATCTCAACCGAAGAGATCCCTTGTGCACACAGCGTCCGAGCATATGCCGCCGCCAATAGCACACTGCCCTGCACTACAGCAAAGCCGTCAGGGGACTGAGCTACGAGCCTGGTTACGAGCTGCGTGGCAGCTTCGCAGATAGGGTTATTGGTGGTGAAACTCGGAGGCGCGCTGCAGTGTCGGACAGGACAGGGCAGGTAGATAGTACATGACAGGATAAGGAGGGACAGGACAGAGGAAAAGGGGCACATGGGTTTAGAGATGCAGAGCTGGATCGGATGCCTCCGCTGAATCGGACATCTGTCCTGAAGTCGTTGCCACGAAGGATTGCCGCGGCAGATTTACTTCTGAGTCGACGCTACCGTTGGAAGCGATGATGGCCAGTCAGGCGCAAAATAATTCGGGAAAATTTATTTTTCGAGAGTTCCACTCGACAGGGCGCGGTCCTACTGCTTGAGGATGAAGTTGCATCCTTGCAGGGTGTTTAGTGTACCACCTCCAAAAAATCAATCCCCTTGCAGCCCAACCGTTGATAGCAAGTGCAGTACTGCAGATGTACGTAACTTTAGGGCCGCCCCCCGCGTGCCTCCCCCAATTGTAGTTTGGCCACAACGTCTTTGCCGGATTAATCCTTCGGCAGCTGAAAACGCTAAGCATCACCTGCACCGATCCAGTACCGGTGTTCGCACCGTACGTCCTCCAGCCCCTTATCATGGCGCTAGCTGCTGCGAACACGGACACCGGCCAAAATGCAACTGCTTCAGGCACCAATTCTTCGCCACCGCCGCCGCCGCCGCCCAGCAGTAACACTAACATTACGCCTGCCAACCACACCTCCGACGCCGCTGTTTCTAATGTCAGCACGATTCTTCTGGCGTACTCGCGCCTCTACCGTCGGCCGAACCTTGAGCCATCCCTGCTCCAAAGCCTCAGCATCCAGGACTGCGCCCTCACAGGACAGCTACCGCCGGAAAGCTCCTGGCTGCAGCTGCCCTCCCTGGAGCGTTTGGACCTGTCCCGCAACCAGCTGACGGGGCCGCTGCCGGCGACGTTTGGCCCCTCGCCGCCGTTATCGTACTTGAATTTGTCACATAACCGGTTGAGCGGGCCTTTGACAGATTCGTTGATGAGGTACGGCGGCTGTGGCCGTACACTGGATTTGTCGTACAATGACATCCGTGGCACGTTGCCAGACACGTGGCTGTCGAGTGCATGCACCTCGTACGATATGAACAGCATTGGACTGTCGGCGGTGCAGCGGCGGCTCCTACAGCAGGAGGGCGGCCCCGACGGCGGCGTGGCCAAGGTGGCGACGTCTACCATACTGGCGAGCCGTGCGGCCAAGCCGCTTACCCCCGTCACCGAGGGCACCACTCCCAGCAGTTATGTACCCACACCCTCGTTATTCAGCGCCTCCATAAGTGACGCGTATGCTTTCTGGCTGTCTTACTCGACGTCTTACATGTACGGCAGCGATGGCTGCCCGCTGCTTGGTGTTGCGTGGCGCGAGTCTTCCGCTGGTCGCATATACAACGACACCTGGGCGGGCAATGGCACGGCTGCTGCTCTCACGCCATTCAATTTTACGGTCCTGCTGTACGGCAATCCGAAGCTGTGGACGCCTGGTGGCCATAGGACGGGCTACGCCATAGCCGCCAGCCGGTACCTTAGCTTCCACATTCGCGACAATGCGTGCACCATTTTCGAGCCATTGCTAGACCTTTTGTGGGTGTGGGGAACCTTTGGCACCATCGCGCTTGCAGTGCTGCTTGCGGCGGTCGCGCACTCGGTGCTGGCCGCCCGTAAGGCGCGTAAGAGGGTGGCGCCGGCCAGCAAGGCCCAAAGCAGGCGCGCGCTAGGGGGCATTTCGTGGAAGCGGAGCTTGGGTCAGGAGTTTGCATGGGCAGCCGCTGCGCTGCAGGGCGCTGGTGATGCTCCTGCGGCTTCACGTGCTGTTGCTCCCGCTGCTGCGGCGACGGTGCCGGTTTCTGGAGAGTCTGCGGTGCCATTGAGCGGCCCGTCGGGCCAGCGTGTAGGCAACCCCATGGGAAGCGGATCCATGAGGAGCGATGACCGAGCACGGGAGGTACGAGGCCGATGGTGCCTGCGGCGGGGTTCTTGTGGCTTCCATGGTCCACGGACAAACATTGCGTACTATGTGTGTCCTGACAGCAGTAGTGGGACTAAGCAGAGGTGCTCTCCTGTACGCTGTTTGGATGCGCTGGTATCCAGGCCAGAATGGGTGTTTCCATGTGACACAACGCAGTTGAATACGAGATACGACCCATCCTGGTTGCTTGTCTTTACATGCCATCGTGTTTGATCTGTTGTGCAGGTCGGCACGGCTGCAGAAGCGGCTGGGGCAGCGAGCCCCTTTGGCAGCAGAGCTGGCGTCCGCGGGATGGCGAGCTTAGTGATTGTTGCACACGCACGGCGGTCCGTACATAGGTTGAGCCAATACGGTAACAATCTGCTGGGTGGGGTGGAGGTCTTTGGTGGCTGGCTGGTGAACGACATCCCCTGGGGTCCGGTCATCCGCGCCATCGTCACCGTCGCCGTACACGTCGGCGCCGCATTCCTTTGTTATGCCATGTCGCTGCCCCAGCGCACCGAATACTGTACGAGTGTGCGTAATTGCGGGCGGTACTTGTATATAGTACCGCCGGCGCTTTCGGGGCTGTCCATTGGCTTGACGCTTTTCCTGATGCGAGCGACGCGCGAATTGGCAGCGAGCATGGCGTCCCGTGTCGCGGCATCCAAACCAGACGGCGGCGGTGGCGGCAGCGGCAAGCCTGATTCAGCTAAGGAGGTTGCTGGTGACAAAAATGTTGAGGAAGATCGCGGCAGTGAGAGTGGAGAGAACTCTAGGGGAAGTAACCCCACGGAGACGGAGGGCAGTAGAGACGGTACAGAGTCGCGACAGTCGCCGGAGACGCCGCGGCGGCGGCCATCAGATTCAGCGGGCGCCGTGGGAGAGTCCTGGGTCTACGGCCAGCAGCCCATTCGCGGCAGTGGGGTTATGCCGCCGTCCTTGAACGAGCCACAGGAAATGGTAGGGTTAGCGAAGTCGTTACCGCTCTACGATACCAGAGTGCTGCCCGCGCCTGAAGGAGTGGCTGATGTGCACAGCATGAGCAGTGGTGGTCTGCCATCGCCGTCGGTGATACGCAGGAATTTGGGGGTTGTTACAGCCAACCAGCCATCGTGGTCTGATTTGGGCAGAGAGACGACAACCGTGGGACTCGGTGGGAGGGGCTGTCGCGGCAGCGGCGGCTCCGTCAGGTCACCTCTAACCCCTCAGGACCATGGCAAAGAGCGTACGGTTAGTGTTGGCGCCGGGGGCCCCGTTGCAGAGTCCTTAGCGTCGCCGGCGACGGACAACTGTATGGATTTAGCAGCAGTGACGGCAGTGGAGGCGGCTGAAAGGCAGGAGCGACACAACCGCGGGGGCCTTGTGGGCTGGCTATATGGACACGGGACAACATTGGCGGCAACATCGCCTGTGGGGACCCTGCTCCCGGCGTCCCCCTACGGCTTACAGCACCATGTACATGGCCACGGTGCCGTCGCCGGCGCAACACGTGCTAGCGCGTTTCTATCATCCAGCTTCACGTTGTACAGGCCTAGGACTTACTTTGAGCCCGGATCCAGTTTAGGTTCAGTGCATGACGCGGAGAGCCAGGCTTGTGAAGCCTTAGGTGGATGCGGCGGCACCGCCGCCACCGCCGCAGCGGCAACTTCAGTACCCCTTGCAGTAGGCATGGATAGCTACGCTGGAGCATCTTCAGGGCCAGGTCCGTTGGCGGAAGGTCGCACCCGGCAAATGGCCGTGCCGCACACTCCATCCAGCAGACTGCAGAGGCAGTCTTCACCGTCGCAGCTGCGATCGTCCAGTCAGGACCGCCGTGGCTGGTCGTCGACAGGCGGTGCTAGCCGCGGCGGCAACGGCGATTATGAGTCCAGTCGCGCTTCATCACCCTACGGTGCGCGCATCAGACGCGGCGATACGGAAGAGGAATCACAAGACCCCACCATCGACCGCGGCAGCGGTGATGGCACTGCCAGGAACACCAGTCGTTCCTTTAAGAATAGCCAAAGCCGCCGTGCAGCCAGCCGGCCGGGACCCGTATCGGTCGTACATGGAACATCTCCCAGCGGCTTTTCTCCACGCGCGGTGCCGTCCCCTGTGTCACCATACCGCGGCGGTACCCGCAGGCGCAGCAGTGGTGACGACGTCGATGACAACGACGCGTACGTGCCATACAGCCCTGTGGAGCCAATGCGGCAGGACCGTTCACTCGTGAACTCCGCCTCGTCCCGAGGGTCGGTCCGGTCTCGCGCCGCGGCCGAGGCGGGTCCCAGCAGCCCCAACGCGCAGAGCGGCCAGCTGCGCGGTGGACGGTTACCGGCCCAACAGGAATTTCCTGGGTCAATGGATTCACGGGTCAAAGACGTACCCTCGCCCATGGCTAATAGCCCCTCGCGGCGCGGCGGCCCCTGGCTGGAGGATCGCCTGGCGGCGCTCGCCACGATGTCCGCGTCCAGCCGCGTGCCACCATCAGCCACCGCAGCCGGCACCTGGCCCAACCCCGCCGCAGCGACGGCGATGGGGATGCCGGGACCGACACCGCAGCGACACGGAGGAGGGACAGCGCATGCTGGTGGTGCGCATACCGGCGGTGCAGGCATGCCGCGTCTGAAGCGTGAGGCGCTTCGTGTTGTAAATCAGTACCTGCGGGAATACGCGCTTGGAAAGAAAGGGTCAGGCTGGTGCGCCCGCGCTGGGCGCACCGTGCTCAGCTTCATCGCCGTGCTGATGGTTTACACCCCTTTGGCACCGCTAGCGGTGCCGGTCGTGCTGCTGGTAGCGCTCGTCATCGTCGTGCATAGCGCTGTGAGTGCTATCGTGGCGGCTATCGTCGCCACCTGGCGCTGGTGCGGCCGCCGGCTGCAGAACCAGCTTCACACCACATCCGGCACCGCTGCCGGCTGCTGCTGCTGCTGGTTTCGGATTGGTGAATTCGTGGGTTCTCTCCGCCTCTCCATAAACCTTCTGGTGTCCTTACACCTGCATGTCTCCGCATGGGTCCTCTGCTTGCCGCTGGCGCTCTTCACGGGAGCGTTATACGGCCTCGGATACCTGTGGGGTAAGGACGCAGTTCCTCACCCATGGATGTGGCTCGCGTGCAACTCAACCTGCCTGGCGGGCGTGCTGCTGTTACTGGCGGATCTGGCTTTTCGGATGCCCGCCTGGGAGTACGGTGTATGCAGGTATCCGTACGTTGTCGTATTACGAGCGGCGGCGGCAGCGGGGACGCCCGTGGCAACGGTAACTGCGACGGTTGCCGCGGCCGAGGCATTACAGGGTAAGGTTGGGACCGGGACGCCGTTAGTGCGAGGGACCAGTCATCGCAGGCAGTGAGGTACTCGCGCAGCTTCAGAGAACCTTGCGGGCGATGCGCGGCGTGCCAGGACTGATGGTGGTGGTAATGATAATTGAGTGGCGATTGAGGGCGATGTCCGAATGTAGTGACGGGGATATCGTTTATGGTAATTATGATGCTGCGAGGATAAAGGTTGGTGGTCTCATGAATGAAGTCCCATGCGGGTAGGTTTCGGAGGAGATGCGGGTCGGTTTTCGGAGCTGCGATGCGCTGACGCGGCTGCAGCAGCTGCAGCACGCATTGAAGTTGTGGGCATGATGGAGTTACTGATGATGAGGAGCGTGAGACATTGAAGGCTGGCCGGTGTGACCTCGCATTCTTTCTTGCTGTGCGGTATCGCGTACTTATTTATTCCGCAAACTCCATGGTTTTCCTCCCTGAAACCTCTATGTTCTTGCTTTCAGCGGAGAAGTGAAGACTGCTCACGTGACCCCTGTTGAGTGCGTGCGAGGAGCCGAGGATAACATAACCGGACAGACCCTGGCCACATTCCAAGTAGGGGATAGAAAGGGTATCGTATTGTGGGCCCAGTCGAGACCTGGACACAGGCAGTAGCGTTTGGTGGCAATGCAGGTGAGATGTACATAGATAGGTGGGAAAGGGAAGTATTGGAGCGCGAGGGAAGTATTCAGAGTCTTGCGGACGAGAGGGGGTGCATGGCTAGGCATCTCTGTTGACAGATATCGGCAGGCAGGAGTGCAGTGGTGGGGCATAGCAGTATGGCACTACCGGGGCCGCCCAGGCTCCGGAACAAAGCAGGCAGGAGGCTTAGTAGGTACAGCCGTGCTCGCATCTTATCGATGGCTACGACTTGACGTGCATCGCCATCATCGCCGCCATTATGTTCATTACCGTATCACCGAAGATCATTAGTTGCGGGGCCATGTGTACCCAGAGGAGGTAAAAGGAGCATGCGAGTTTATTTGACGAACGAGACATCATTGAGGTTTGGTTCATGTACTCCTATCGGGTTAATTCCCTACGGGCGTCGGGATGCGGTCCGCATCGTCTCGCACGTGGTTAAGCACGTGTTGCGCATAGTTTGTTTGGTCGAACGATATATGTTAGCGGGTGGCAACAGCAATTACTGTTATGGCACGTTGTGCGACGTCCCCCTGTCCGCTTTCCATCTCGTCCTCCCTTTCCATAGACATGCGGAGGTAGATGGCTCACTTTGCGCACGGCGATGCCTGTTGGGTGTTCGGTGATTATTGTGGCTTCCTATGTATGGAAAAAGGGATGCCTTATGATCCGAGGCTCATGCGGGTTTGTGCTTCCTCCTGGCAATGTGCTTCGCTTTTCGAGGGGGCTGAAGGTTGCTTACTTTTTGGACAGTATCAATGATGCGCGCTTTCCTGAAGTCATGAAGTGAGCGAGTTGTGGGCTGAATGCTCCTGGAGTCTCGACTGATTACGCGTGTGCGTTCCGTGCTCTCGTTTTGGAGAAAAGAGAGCTGGGCAGCCCACTTCCGCTTTCCCCGTTGGTGCATAGCGTGGAATGCAGGGGAAAATTATCCCGCGGCGGCAAACGACACAGGTGATGGTGTGTCCAGTTGGCGCTGAAAGGTACCTCCTCAGGACCCGCTGGACCGTGTGCGCTTGCACTGGTGCTCCTCGCACGTTCGCATGCGAGTTCATTATTTGGTACACGCCTGTTGTTGCAGCTTCGGGTCAGACAACCATTAAACCTGCAAAACTTCAATCTGCCAGCGCTTTGCGCCGTCGAAATGACTTGCAGGTGTCCTGAAAGGTTGGAGTTCACATCGACGCCGATGGTTGCATGTCACGGCTGCTTGACGCTTCAATACCATGTAGCTTATGTGCATTATACCACACTTGCCGCGGCGTTTTTTTACAACATTGTCGTTTACCCATATCGCCATGTCAACATTGTCGTTTACCCATATCGCCATGTAGTACGTCGGCAGGACACTGCGTTGGGGAGGCCGTTTGGTTTGTATGTTTTGTGTGTTAGGCGGCGCCCTGACCCTCACTTTCAGGGCTGCCTTGCGCATTCTTCTCTTTGCACGCCGGATAGGTATGCCGATGTGACGGATGCTTTGACGGAAGACTCAATTTATAATGATTTATAAAACATTGGCCCTGCATTGATCCGCACGAGTAAAGCATTGGTTGGGAATCGAAGGGTGCTGATGCCCGCCATTTGGGATGAGTCACGGAAGCCATCTTGCAAAAAAGGCGCATGTATGATCAAACCCTGGGCAAGATTCGGAGCAGCTGCCTCTAGTACTGAAAAGGGCCCCATTTATTCCATAGGTGCCAATTAAATCTTGTATATACAAGAGGCGCAAAAGTGTGTCTGGTTCTGCTAACCCACAGCCCTGCCAGGAGACAGTGTCTCGCAGAAGTAAGTAGTCAAGAGGACCGCAAGGCAGAGCTGGGCACACGGATTGTGGTTTTGGATTCACCGTTCATTGAATGCTGCAGACAACACTTGAATCCAAGTCGTTGCCAGGAGTCGTGTCCTTGCTCGCGGGACAAAAATGCCGTCTCCGGCGTCACCTGCGTCCACGCGCCGTCTTTGGACGCTATCGAAGATATGGATATCCATGCGAGATGTGCCAGAGGTGGGAGCTTGAAACAAGAGCAAAGCGCAGCACAAGTCACAACTGCATTCGCAAGGCGCCTGGGGCCGAGCGGGGATACCATTTCGTAACAATACTATGGACGTTGAGGCAGTCGGCTTTCCTCCGTCACTGAATTCAGCCTAAGCGCATCCGCTCTGGTCTGGGATCCCGTAAACGCGCAGCTTGATGCGTTTTGATACCCGCATAAAACGCTCTACATAAGCCTTGGATTTAAGGGTCTGTCATTGACAGACGGCGCGTTTTGGGCAGCGGTGCTGACCCGTGGGTCACTGCGTCAAAAAATCTAAATGGCCATGGACGCTCCGTCTAAGTCCCCAGATCCTCATCTGTGCACTCGTTTGAATTCTCGCGAGGACAGGTAGCCGTCTTGGGATTTCTTGTGGCCGGAGCTGTGGGCATGGGCATTTACACCTACTACAGGGAGATGTGGACGTCTGCCGGCGAGTCGTTGTAAGTTGACGGCTGATACACCGCTGGCTGTGTCATTGTCACGCTAAAGGCGACTGTAAAGCCTGCCCTAGCTGTGACGTCCTTTGCCCAGTCAACAAGGACGGCTTAATAATCCCCGCAGTCCCAGCATTGAGGTCCGTCGTGATCCAGACAAGCAGTTGGCGCTGACCGGAGCGCCCCACAAGCCGTCGTTTTTCTATCGCATCGCCCAGGTAAAGTGCCGACGTAGTATAAGATTTGGAACGGACTGGGAGAGAGAAAGGGCCTGGTGAGGGTTTTATTCAGGGCGGGAAGTTTATGCTAATTACCATTCTGGCGGTCTGGCCTTGGCTTGCTGAATGTCTTGTTGGTTAGCTGGTTGAGCGGCCACACGGCGTCTTGGTGGCCCAGCCTTTCAACGCATGCGTATGCCGCGCGCTGCACACGGCGGCCTCGCGGGTCCCGTTCCCCCCTTGTGTCTTCCGGCAGTGGAAGGCCACAGACCAAGGCAACAGCATCGGCGTCTTCGACAACCGCGCCATGCCGTTCGAGTACAATCTGCCTACCCAGGTGCGGCGATGGGAGTCGCACAAGGAAATCTTGACTTCGTTTTGACGTCTGCCAGCCACTAGGATCCCTGTCTTTCCTAACCTTCTTTGTGTACTCGTCCCTTTACAACAACGTCTCTTGTGCCTAGGGCAAGGTTCATTCGGGAGCCCGCTACGAGCCAGATGTTTCCTCACAACCCGCGACCATGTGAGAAAACTAGTCGATGCGGTGTGGAGCGCCCCCAGCGGAGCAACAAGGGCAACTGTCAGGTCTCTGGAGCAAGGCATCAGCTGCTGCGGCGCGGTCTAGCTGCTGCGAGGTTGTGGGAGAGCTGTGGCCGATTTGGTCCACTACCACATTCCCGGGCAACTGTTGGACGACCTTGGACTGCGGCCGCCATAAGGCCCATTTACGTTTGGGTACGTGCAGATGAAAAATGCATTTTAGCGCTTTTTAGGCTTTCTAGGGAGACAAGGCAGTGTGTCCCGGGAAGTGAAGTATTGTAGGTAGAGGTCAGGTCATGGGGTCAGATGTCTCTAGAGGAGGGGAACATGGAGGAGGAAGAAGGAGGAGGAGGAAGGGTTAGGCAAGTTGCTATGCGTATTGACAGTTGTTCGACATGCCTTGATTGCTCGGCCCGGCGCGCGCCTTCATATTTTTGTGGCATCATGGGGCTTTCGGAATGGGACCTGAGCACCGTAGAGGACACGTGTATTGGGATTTTGGAGAGGATGCTGTCCATGCGGGCGAGTGCTGTGGTGTGTAGCGACGCTATGGTAACATTGCTGTGTCGCGACGCATGTGTTGACCATATTGGCTTTGAATCGTAATGTAACTACCACGTTGCCTCTGGTGCCACGAGGGGGAAATGAGAGCAGTGTGCAGTAGCCCCTGTGAGACCCGCCATGGCGCATTGCATGCACTCACGTGTTCATCCAAACTGGCCCCAGGGAACCCGTAGGGCAGCTGCAGTAACCCTTGCTTCTCATGACCACACATGGGCCGCTGTCCCAGAAGCTATCAGCTATGTAACCTTTTAACAACATTAGGTAGTTTATTATGAAACTAATTAGATGTAAAGGGAAAAGGCCAATATCATTCCCACCTGCGTACCATGATGAAAAGCACGACTGATTTGTAAAGCTGGTAAAGAACCGTAACCCCAGTACAAAACTCCTGTTCACCTGACTTACGTCAACTAGCGCACCCCCCTTTACCTGCAGGCATCGTCGTCCCTAACTGCGCAGAAGGAAAACACCTACCCAAGCATGCCAGCTCCTTGTGCCCTATGGCATAAAACGGGGGTAACCTCATCTTAAGCGTAACCCAGGGCGTAGGGGTAAGGGTTACCCATGTGGCTATGTACGAAGGTGGATAACCTAACCCCGGGGTAGGGGTAACCGGGCACGTGCCTCGCTCGGTGATGGTGCTTGGTGCTGTTGTCTCGCATCCGGCCAAGACATTCCCAGCCATACAGATGCACAATAAGGCAGGTACAGACGGGAGCTCAAGGCGGAAGAGCGAGACGGCGTGCGTACCAGGCAGGGTAAGGGAAGGGAAACAGCGATTCGCGCCTCGTTTGGGAGAGTGAGGATGCCAGGTCTATCGCGAATGTCCGGAAGGAAGGAAACACACAGCGTCACAAGCAGAGCTGCAAGGACGAGATGGAAAACCCAACACACGCAACAGACAAAATGATAGCGACAGGCTCCTCCCATGCAAAGAGAAGCGCAATCGTGTTCGCCTGGGAGCAGTTAGCTCTATCTTGTCTTTGCTGTAACTGTAGGCTGGCCATCATTCTTACAGTGTTTTGCTGTACCGCGCTGAGCTGCTACGGCCGCTGGTGCTGCTGCTTACCGGCCGCCAGCCAGACATGAATGCAAAGTTGTTGCAAACACTCGGGACCATGTCACATGTCACAAAACACTCTATGGAAAGGAGACACGAGTCAATGGTCAATCATTTACGAGTTGAGTTTACAACAATGTATGAATTCTTGTGTTCCACTTCCGCAAGGAAAGCCAGAGCGAAGAAGCACACGGCCCCAACCACGAGACCTGCAAAGGACACAACGCGCATAGCGTTGCGTCAATCCACCAGCGTTTGTCCGCCATCTATCAACATATCCATGCGTCAAATCGGCCACATGCACTTCACCGCCGCACTTGCCGCACGACACCCTCCTCGTCATCCAAATGGCCGTCGTCTTCGTCATATTCTAGTTGCTGCTGCGGCTGCTGCTGCCGTACAGCAGCGCCTCCTGCGGGCGCCCCTGCCGGGGCCGCTGCTGCATCCTCCGCTGCATAGTCCGGTTGCTGTCCCGCGTTCACCCAGGGTAACAGCGAGCGCAGCAGCAGCAGTAACGGATTGGCTCCTCGAAGCTGCTCGTCGGTCATGGCCGGGGGTCCGCCGCCGCCGTTGGCTTGTTGTGGTCGCTGCTGCGCTGCCAGGATCATTTGCTCCTGTCCGCGGGAAGGATGGCAACAGAATAGGGAAACACATTCGCACACAATACTCGCATCGCAATGCAGGAGTTGCCGGACAAGCACATGCGAAGGCATTGGCATAGTCTACAATACTTCACGTACCAGACCTCCTGCCTCCAACCCGCTTTCCCCCCCAACCTTAGTGCACATGCCCCGGTAGCTAGCATGTGCACCTCCTTCCGTCGCCTCCTTTCTTGCGACTAGAAGCCGCCCTAGCCCCCCGGCTCACCTCCCTCCCTTAAGATCCAACCTACTTCTTCCCGCTTATTCCCGCCTCCCACCCTCCCTCCCCTCCCTCTACACACTTTGCCACAACCTACCTGTAGCTCCGCCAGCGCCTCCTCCACGTCCTGCATGGCTCCCCCTCCCTGGACCGCAGCCTCAACCTCCTCCCTACAAGAATGCACGAACGATAGAGCACACAGGTAGCGCGGCAGGTAAACCCGGCGATTCCGGGGAAGTTTATGTTGCCTTGCTTGCGGGTGTTGGAGGGAAAGAGTATTAAGACCGTCGAAATCCCCAGAGCCCCTTTAAGTGCGCCCGGCCTTCCACTCCGCCCTTTACCGCATTTGTGCACCGGTAGTTGCTCTGGAGGGACGTGACCACTCCTGTGCAAGACGGGCCCTCTGATGCCCCACGACCCATTTGCTGCGGTGCCGTCTTTTAGCCGGTCGGCCCCTCCTCGCCCCTCCTCTCACCTGGGCAGTGCGTTGACGGCGTCGCTGAAGTCCGCCAGCCTCAGGTGGCGGTACTCGTTGGAGGCGGAGGACGGGAAGGACTCCCGCGCCAGAGTGCGCCAGTCCGCGGCGCTGATGCCGTTGGCGGGGGCGACCTGGCCCCAGGAAGCATAGTGGCAGATGGGAGGAGAGTCAGTGCAGTGGGTCAGTGCAGTGCGTCAGGGAAAACAACAAAGTACCGCCATGCTGAGACCCGCCCATTTCCCTCGCCCGCGCGCCGAACTGCATCACTGCGCTCTTGCTGCGCTGCTACACCGCACCTTGCCATCCGCCACGTCCGCCGCCTCCTCCGCCGCCCTTCTCAGCAGGGCCAACAGGTCGGGAGGCTTCCACAGCTCACCACTGCGCTCCACGTACAGCCCCACCTGCGCCGGTGGAGATGAAGGTGCCGGTGGTGGGGTCTGAGTGGAAATGAACATCCAGGCGCTTCTAACAAAACCCAAATGCAGACGCCCCCGAAGGCCTAATGCTTACTACTGCTACCGCTACTGGGGCTTTTCGTGTAAAGGGCAAAAGACGCGCGCAGCGAAAGGCGAGGGCACGGCCAAGACGCACATCACGACGCGGAGGTTGTGCTGGTGGTGGTAGTGGCAGTAGTTGTAATGGAGGGCAGACAGATACGGGGTCACCGGGGTCTTGGAATGCAGCAACCAACAGCGTCAAGCACGAGAAAGCAACACACGTATGACCCAACACCTGTGTGGTGATGCCTGCCTTCCAGGCAGTCCCCCAAGACCCACCCCCACTCCGCCCTCTGGCTGCCCGCCTTGATCATTAACAACCCCCGGACCAGCCACATGTGCGGGTCGTCTCTACCAGCTAGGGCCCCCACCCGCACCACCCACTCCCTCCCTCCCTCACTGACCAGATGGGACAGGGAGGTGCTGCCGCCATCTGAGGCTCCACTGAACAACCTACGGGATAACAACTCCTTCCAGTGCGGCTCCTGGAGGGCGCCCGCCCGCAGGGGGAGGAAAAACACCAGGGGGGGGAGACAGTTCGATAAAGGTATACAGGAATATAGACAGACGGACGGACATGCAGACAGGCAGGTACACAAGCGGAAAACCAGGCAGATCCGCGCATGGACAGTTGCCAGCGGCGGTGGCAGGAGGTGGGAAGCAACATGGTGTGTGTCTATGATCTGAGCCGCGAGTGTGCCTACGCTGCTCCGGCCGTTCCGCCCTGGTGGACCCCCACCTTGGCAGCGCCCTTGTCCTGCAGCTTGGCGACCAGCCGGGGCAGCACCAGCGGATGCAGCAGCAGAGCCCCAACCAACAACTCCTGTGAGCGGAAGGGAAGGAAGGGAGCTGCTGAGAAAGGGTCGTCGGCTCTAGGCGCAAATGCCGCTAAACCACTACCAGCACCACCACAACAGCAATGGCGTATAGAGAGGCTCCTTTACACTTGGAGGCAAGTCTTAAATATGCCCAATGTCTTAAATATGCCCAATTACAGTTGTTAACCAAATTTGAAGTTATGCCCATCGAAGCGATTCATCCAATCTATTTAGTACGCATCTTTTGGCGTCGGCACTCTGCATCCTCAGATCCGATTCCCCGGGGGATATCACGCTGCGCCACGCAGCAGGACCGAGCGGCCCCACCAACACCCAGCCCTTTTATGTCCCACCTAAGGGAACCCCCCCTCCCTACATGCGGAGATGCGCCCGCAGCTGTGGTGCTGGTACCGTTGCTGTTATTGCTACTGCTGCTGCTTGCGCCTGGCTGCGCTCGCTCCGCAGCCGCCGACGAGCTCCCAGGCTGCTGTCCCTGCCCCTGCTGTTGCTCTGCACGGTGCGCCGCCATGGGCAGCGCAAAGGTGTAGTTGGGCAGCAGCGCAAGTGACCGGTTGCCCTCAAACTGCAGTACGAACCGCTGCAGCCAGTCGTACCTACAACGTACACGTACGTGGGCGCCGCAACACAAGGCAACATAAAACAGGGTACAACCGGTTGCTGCTGCTTAACCTTTGCTGCTTTTAATCGCGGTAATTGTGGCGGCAAATCGTCGGCATCATAACTATGAAAACCGCGCACAAGCGCACATCCAAAAGCTGCCAGCCCAAGACGCCCGGCAGCTCAGGCAATTCCCCCAGGTAGACCAAACCGTGTATAAGCCCTCTCCACACCCCCTTCATCACATCCCGCCCGCGATGAATTCTTTTGAAAGGCCTTTTGCGCTACCATCCTATGCTTCCCACCCGCCTACCTTCCCGCCCGCACGGCTAGGTAGTCTATAAGGCACAGCGCCCCTAGGGGGTCCTCGGGCTCCAGCACCAGCAGCAGCTTGCAGCACTCCAGGGCGGCACGGTGACAGCCCCGCCGGCTGAGAGCCTGGCAGGTTTAGGACACAAGACAGGAGCTGGAGGAGACACACCCGCAAACAAACAAATCTATCTCTAAGACAACCAACCAAAGTCCGATAAACGCGGACAGAAACAGAACAAACAGACAGACAGTTACAGAGAGAAGGGGTTACTGTGTCAACAGATTGGGACCAGGGATAGACACAAAAGGGAGTAGTGTCCCGAAAGGCAGGAAAATCAAGGCACAGAGACCTAAAGGTCCTACTCCGTGAAAACATCATCTTCACCGCGTCCCTGCCTAAGGAAAGCTGTCCGCCTGGGACGCCAGCACCCCACCCGCCATGGCTCGCATACCCAAACACCTGCACGTGGCGAAACAGCGCCCCAAACAACGCCCTATTTTCCTCCACTGAGTAGTCCAGACGGCATGAGGCGGTGGCGGGCTGAAAGGAGGGGTGCCAGGCGGACTCCAACATCCACAAAGCCCTTTCCAGCATCTCCTCTGCATAGGAGTTCTCGCCTGAGGGAACGGCAGCGGGGAAGGAACTCAGCTGAATGGATCGGCTACAGCACGCACGCGTACCACGAGTCACTAACTGTAAGGAGGAGGAGGAGGAGGAGAGGAGGAGGTGATCATATCGGGCAAATGCGCCCGCATGCATACGTCACCTAGTGCCGTACAGTCTGTCGTACCCATGTGGCGGTAAAGGTCGTGCATGGCTAGCAGTGAGTCCACGTGGTACGGCGCCTGCTGCAGGAGCGCCGCGATGGTTGCCGGATCGTAGCTGGCCTGCGGACGTGATGGAAAGCATCATGCGGTAGGGTAAGGGTAAAGCAGGAGCTTATCACGGTTACACGGTTAGTTATGTCAGTTATACGGTTCCCACATTACGGCTTCGCTGCACAGTAGTATAAATTGACAAATCGTCTCGACAAATAGTATAAACGAAGTCAGCAGTCCTGGAAGCTTGGTCCCAAATAGTTGCCGCCAAAAAAAAGAAGGCGTGCAATACCGGGCACGATGAGAATGTCTTTCAAATGACCATTCGTCGAGAGAATACCAGATGCGGCAGCTAAGGAAGATTGCCCGGTATTGCGGGAACTTGCCTGGCAGCGCAGAAAGCGAGCCTGTGTTTCCCGGTAATCAGGGCTGTAGACGTAACGGAATGTCGGCACGCCGGACACATTGCCTGACGCAACCGGGCGCAGGGGGAAAGCGAGGGCAAGGGAAACGGGACGTAAGGCTTCTCAGTACAGCTTCAGCTAGAGGGGAGCGTTTAAGCATACGTGTGTGTTAACTGTATACGCGTATTTTTCCTTGGTCGTCTTTTTGGCGACCAACGCCGGGCCCCGACCCAGGAGCCGGGGGCATCATTACTGGCAAATGCAAACGCCCCACCGAATGCCATGCAGACAGAGAGACAGACAGACAAAGAGAGACGAATCCCCACGTAGAGAAATCTCTTGTGGCCAATTGCCAACCATGGCATCTTCCGATTTCATTCCATCTCTATGCCCATGGACAGCACCCACTTTAGGGCCGTTGAGGGGCCTACCGCCCTAGGGCCAAGGTACGGACCCACGGATTACTAATTGCTCTTTCCCTACCACATAAGCTCACCTGCCATCTCCATGCTCAACCCGCCCTCACACGGTGGCCAGTGCTCCTTGGGCGCCACCAACCAGCCGCGCTTCAGCGCCAAGCCGCGGCGTCGACCCGGCAAGCCCCGCGTGGCGGCACCAAAGCGACGCGCCTCCGCCGCCGCCGCGCGGTCCTCCCGGTCCACTGCTGCCACTACCCCGGAGCCGAAGATGCGACGGAGCTAGCAGTGGTGGGCAGCGGCAAAACACGGCGAGTAATCATATGTAGAAGTGGGAATATAGAATATAGACAACTGCGTGCCGTTACACAGGCAGGGAATTAAGCAAACCGTCCAACTGGCACGACCCGGAACGACGCGAAAACGGCCCATAGGATTAAGGAAGGGGCAGTATGTAACATGCGTACGCGAAGTGACGGCCATGCCCATGACCGTTGGACATTCAATGGAATCCATCTTTCCTACGCACATAAGGCAAATGCGAGCTAGTAGGACGGGACGCATACGGCCAAGTGGCCCGCGGATGGTGTGTGGGCGGATGTCTACTGACACGCCCCTAGTTCTGTTATTACATATACATCATACACGTACCACATGTTCGCGTCTCGCTGGCCGCGTGCAGAGGCAAGGATAAGGAGTGACAAAGACACCGTGCTGTCACGGTCCAGCTCACCTCCTCATCGCCACGCAGGCCCTTGACATCCACGCACAAGACGGACGGCTGCCCCAGCAGACGGGCCCCAGCAGCAGTAGCACCAAATGCCCTGGGAGGGCTTGCAGAGGCCGCACTGCTGCTGCAGGCCTCGCGTCCGGCAGCAGCAGCAGCTGACGGGAGCCCCTGCATGGGTTGGTTGGTAGCAGCGCCTCTTAGCGGATGATCATGCTGGCATCACAACAGCAAAATCGTGGCGGCCCCCCGGACTAGGCCTTGGTTCGTAACTCATGGCAACCATCGAAATAATCCACCCGGTTCATGAGCCTTCGGGTTCGTTTGAATCGTACTCGCTCTCTGAAGCTTGTAACATCCATTCATCCAAATAAGCCACCCGTACAGTTTCTGTTTGTTTATAACGGTGCGGCGCATTAAGGTGCTCACGGACTATGACCCAGGTCCCGCGCGCCATTTGGTGTGCAGACAGTGCTGCTTGGGGACGGCGTGTATGACGTGACGATATGCTCCGTAACACCCACCGAGCACATTTTTTGCGGATGTTGGACACTTCTGGGCACGCTTTGGATCCTATATATGTCAGGTTAAGTCGTTTTTATCAACAGCCTCACAAACGCGCACTATAGCAGGAAGCAGTGGCGGAAAACCGCGTTCTGTGTTCCAGCTGTGCAAGTTCCGGTATTCGACGACCTTAACTCACCGTCGCCAGGTTGAGCTCCCGAACGATTGCTTCAATGTCTTCCTCGAGGTTCCCGGCCACTGCCGTCGATTTGCCCTTTGGGGGTTTTGGGGAATCCCCGCCCTCCGTGTCTGCGTGTTTGTTGCCTTTCCCCCCCTTCTTCTGCTTTTTGGCTACCGCCTTAGGCTTGCTGGCCACTTTCGGTTTCGCTTTAGCTTCCTGCTGCCGCTGCTTCGCCGCACCGGTATCGCCGCCAGCCGTCGGTTCCGTTTCCCCCCCTTCAGCAGCACCTCCTGACCGGTCGTCGGGGTCGGACCCGCCCCCGTGGTCCTCCTGTATATATGTAGGGTTACGCGCGGAACGTTATGCTATAACATAAGCCCGAGCGTTTTGAGGTCGTCAACCAATAACATTGTGTGAGCTGTCTGGGCTATCTCCGGCCGCAATCTCACCTCATCGCTCAACAAATCGAAAGGATTGAAGGGAACCTTTTTGGTCTCCACAGGAACCACGTCATCCTCCTCCTCTAACTCGCCAAGTTTGGCCTCCTGGCTGCTGTGTTTGCTGGCCTGCTCCTGAATTCGCCGCAAGTGCCGCGTTGCCATCTTCCAACGCAACCACCATCAAATTTACTGGACGCCGTGGCACTACACAGTTACACCCAAGTTATTTGACACGTTGCTCACACGGGGAAGAAAGAAATGATAGCATGTTTATCTTTCCTTCACTGAAGTGCATCGCGTTAGGCATGTTTACACCTGTATCTTACTGCTGCAAGCTAACTGCATTGGAACCAGGTTACCGTACATCAGCGTCCTAGCCAATACCAAGCTGCAGCCATTCTATAGTGGATTATGGCATGCTTTATACAGGAAACAATAGGTTACGAGTCTCGTCTAGTCGGGGATTCCATCTTGTCTTGTGCCGGCTCTGATTTCCCGGCACGAACTTAGCAACAATGTCAATGAAGACGCTTGCTGATTATATTCGATGGCGGAACAAAGAACCTGTGAAGGCAGCGGTCGAGGAGTGGCGGCCTCCAGTTCCATACGTTAACTATGACAAGCCCCAGACCGACGTAATCTCCAAGCTGGATAAGGACCCTATCATCCGGCGTGTCCTCATTAACCCCAAGCTCGCGCCTCCACGGGCATTTCCGATTCTCGGCTCGCCAGCTTATCAGTTCTTCGCGGGTTTGTGGACGGGTGCCATGCTGACGTTTATCTTCACAAGCAAGCCGCTAGGCAGGAAGGAGGTTGAGGATCTCGTTAAATATGACCCAGCGTATTTCCCGGAGTATGCGAAGTCGCACTGAGCGACCTGGGCAGCGACATGTCAACCCGCAAGGGGGTCCCGTCCCGAGCTTAATCAGATGGATGTTCTCTAAGACGCGTTTTGGTGTACGATATCATGGTATGTAGCAAGCTGGACTGTCGAACACGGGGCTGTTGTGATGGTCTAACAGTTCGGGTCGACATGCTTTCGTGGGGGGAAGGAGCGGGAATGGGTTGTGGATGAGTTTGTGTTTTCTTTATGTGAACAGCGTGTATGCGTGCACAATGGTTTTACAGATTGCGCTATCAAAGGAATAATCTCTCCACTGCCGTTGTAACTGTGGTGGTTGTTTAACCGCTTCGCTTGGACAACGCTAACGTTGGACTAACGCTGCAGCCTCCGGGACAGAATACATGCAACCATATGGGCCAAAGGTGCACCCCGTGCCGTAGACAACTGATTTCCATGTACACGACGCGCCCGGAGTTTGATTGCTGCAGAATGGGCTTCCCCAAGCGAATGATGTCTGTACATCCTTAAGGGCAGGGGCAAGAAGCAGCAGCGACCCTTGGACCCGACAAGCTTACGTCTGAAAGACGGGGGTAGGGATACAGTATCACGGGGGGCTACACTTGTCCTACACCTGCGCCATGTCCTACACCACAGCCATAAGTATCCGTCCTCTCGCCCAAACAGCAGGATAACGGTAAAAATCACGTTTGCACCTCGCGCAAATAGAACAGTTTGTCGCTCTTAAACTGCTAGTCAACACGTTGCAATTAACAACCAAGCATTAAGTGAAATGGACACGCGCACATGCTTTGACCTCGATGGAGGTCTCTTGCGCAACCTTGTCCAATTACAACACAAGGGAAGAGGTAGAAGGGTATCGCCGCGAATCCTAGAGGACCGCCAAGAGCCTAGATAGTGAATATCCCATTTGTTTGTTTGGGAGAAGCTGGTGACATCGCCAGAGTCTAGTGCTTAAGAAGAGCCAGTTTCCGCGGTTCCGTTGCCCGACGGTGGCTAAAAAAAGATCTCGGCCTCGCTTACCTTTACTCACGTCAGGTCACGTTGGTCCACACAAGGTCAGGAAGCCGAGGCGTCAGCAGTGCTGTCAGCAGCCCCGTCCGTTCTCAGGCAGTGCCGACTTGTTAGTTCTCCGTCGGAGAGGGTCACTGTGCAACAGCCTGGAGCTGCAGGCCCCTTGCGAGCTCAACTGGTGACATGGGTTGTGTCATGAAGCCCAAGCGGCTGATAAACCTTCGCTTGGCCATGCAAGCCGGGTGCATCCCACACCAACGCCATACCAACGGGATGCACTGTGCACGGCCAACGCAATGCACAACTTTGTCCAAAGATCAAGCATGTGAAACCCGACGTTTCCCATAAACTTGCTGACACGGGCGATTGCACATCACCGGCGCAGCGCATGCCACACACAACTCCCCAGCTCCCAAATGACTGTTCAGGTTGCCCTGCAAACCCCTCAGCACTCCTCCGGCGGCCTCACAACGGCTACCGCCGCAGCGCGCTGCTCCTGGTTAGGGCCTGCAGCTGGATCGTCATCCGGCGTGGCGGCGTCCTCAATGCGCTGCAGGGTCTCAATGCCGAGCTGTGTGCACCTGTAGCAGAAAGGGTTGCCGCGGCCGCCCTGGCCGGTCCGGACCAGCTTGCCCTGGTTCATCAACCTGTCATGCATTTCGAGGTACCGGCAAACGGAAATGACAACACGCATCAGGCGGGAAGTCTTGACCTTCCCGAGAGGAGCATAGAGCGCATGACCATGGCCAAATATTGTACACGAATTCACGGTTGCACAGCTAAGTAACAAACAACAATTAGGTGACGACACGGTTGGATGCTTCGGTCAAATGCAATCTTTACGTGGGGCTATAGGAAGGCCGAGCATGACGCTGGAGTGCAACGTTGGAGCAGGGTTACAAGGCAGGTTGCAAAATCCGACTGCATCTTTCCTCCTAGTGTATCACCATTCCACAGCACAGCACAACTCACAGCCGAAGGGCCTTGGACGTGTCTGGATTGTTGCCCAGCGCGTTGCGGATCTCTTTCTCGTAGACCAGGTCATGGTTGACCATACGCAGAATGGTAACGCAATTGAGGACCACCTTGGAAATCTGTGGAGGTCCCCAAAATCAACAGTGGTGGAGACGGGAGGAAATCCATGCCGGTATGTGGGGCCTAGTGAAATGCAACGAACAGTCACGCACAATAAGCGTAAAGCTTAGCACGAGGTTAGGGCATGTGCGGCCATGCACAGACATGGGACAAAGAATGAGCTCAGACAGGTAGACCGGTAGCCTTCTCACCGTGGCAGGATCGCGCGTTTTTCGCTTCTTCTCAGGCTGAGGAAGCTCCTCCCGCATCATAGGAGCTTTGCGTTTGCGTGTCACAACGTCCGTAATAGGCGCGCAGCCTTGCCGGCCGCCGCGGTAAGCGCGGCGCGCCGCAGCGCCCGCCTCGTAGTCTTCGTCGCTATCGTCGGCAACATCGCCCAAGTCCACGTCCTGCGCTTCCTCCTCTTCCTCCTCGTACACCGGCTCCTCCAGTGCAGGCCCAGCATCGTCGTAGGTGTCATATTGGAAGGCCTGACAAATGCAGGCAACGGAAAAGACGGGCATTGAGCTGAGGTGGAAAAATCTCCACAGGCTGGAGACCTGAAAACAAAAAAGGGTCCCATTAGCACGTGCAAGCTGGTCGTCCATCATACGGCATGGGCCTTTTGGGAAGTTGCAAAAGACCATACCCTGAAGCCCGTTTGCTGCACCTAAAGCCCCATTTAGCTGGTGTGTACGTACCGGCGCATAGCCTGGGTGGGATCCCCTGGGATATTCAAGTGTCATGATGGCGTCCTCAAACCTGGTATAGCGTATAGGGGGTGTACGAGCATCAATCAGCTCTGATGTCATGGGAAGTCTGCCGGGCCGGGAGAAAGATGCGGGGACATGGGGGTAAGGCTGATACGACGCTGCATAGCATACAGTGTGCCGTACTATAACATGCTCTGGTGAACCACAACGACAGAAACCATCCCCAAGACATGCATCGTGCATACACCTTCTGAATCTGACCCCAAGATGACCCCGGCCCGGCCGTTAAGTATTCTAACGCCGCCCAGGCATGCATACCGCTTTGGCAGGTTAATGACGCGGCCACCACCACCCAATCCATTGTCCGATGGGCGCCGCAGCTGTTGCGGCTGTGCTGGCGCTGCCAGTTGCTGCATGTGCTGTGGGTAATGGACAAGTTGCCCAAGGCCCGCCATTGGCCCCGCCATGGCCCCAGCGCCTAGTCCCCACCCGACGCCTTGGTCGCCGTTCTCGATGAGGTAGCCGGGGTCCGAGCGCTGGCGATTGTTGCCGGGAATCAACGCCCTGCACTGGAGAGCCGTACGGTCTGACCCGTTGGACGAACGCCGCGCCCCCCCAGAGCCCGGGAACATGGGAGGCAAACCAACATGCGCACCACTGCCGGTGGAGCTGTCGCGCCCCATGGCAGCGCGCTCAGCCGCGGCCATGGCCGCGATGAAGGGATCCGGCGTTGTGCCGGGCTGCTGCTGCGGGGCCGAGTCAGCACTACGACGCTTCTTCAGCCGTTGTGTGCGCCTGCTGGACCAAGCAGTGGAGGGAGAGAGCAGAGGCAACAGCATTGAGAGTGAATTGTTGACATGAATGGATTGAACCACGAAGTGACAAGCGGGGCAATGCAACCATGCAGCAGGGATGATGGCGTGCGACGGGTCGCGATGATTACTATCTGGGACGGCCACGATGTTCTCGCCACATTGGATGGCTACAGAAGTTCCTTCAGGCAAGGATCTACAGCCCAGCACACTGCACATAAACAGACGAATGCATGCAAAAAAGACAAACGAGGTGGAGCCCTAGGCTTTACGACAGGTAAAACGGATTTAAGCCAATGTTCTCTGTGTAATTGAGGAAGACAATCGCAGGCGTTTAAGCGCCGGTTCCATGTGTTGTTGGTTGCCGTAGATTGATTGGTCTCAGAAGGCGTAGAAGCGTGTCCGGAAGTTCGCGACCTCATTTGTCAGTACTGCACCACTGCAGCATGGGCTTCTACCATATCGGCTGGCAATCATAAGCCCGCATTCGGTGGACCAAGATCTCCCTCCTTCCTCCCCAAGGTGTTGCCAGGTACCCAGGTCACCGACGTTGCAGCTATGCGCCTTTGTTTCCGGCATACCCCGTCCCTCTTAGCATAGCGACAACTACACCAGAAAGCCTTAGGCAGCAGGATGTTCATTGCAGTCAATCTGGGCCAGCCTACCTGGACACATTGCACTGGCCGTCCGCAGCCGCAAACAGCTGACCCAACGAGCCGCTGCGCTGCATCTGAAGGGATCCTGGGCCCTGTGCCTGTGCCTCCGCCGAGCCCGGTCGCTGCATCGCCGGGTCAACACCGAACGGTCCCTTGCCCGCACCCACAGGCATGACGTAACCAGAATGTTGTGGCTGTGGAAAGGGTGGCCGCCGCATCGCTGGATGCAAGTGCATCTGGTGCTGCGACGGCATGCCACCACCTAGCTGACCGCCTAAGCTCGATTGTGAAGGCCGCCTGCGCTGCGCTTGGTGCATCTCAAGGGCGGCATGATCTTCCTCCTGCAGATCCTCACCCATCATCATGTGCTGGTGGTGCATGGCAGCCGCCATCGGGTCGAACGGGTATGGCCAGGCCCCCGACGGATGGAGGGGGGGATAGCCCGCCATCATAGGAGGTGGTGGCGGGTGCGCCCACTCATAGCTCCCAACGCCGGGCATTGGCCCGCCGACCGCATGCGGCGGTGGAGGCACCGCATGTGGCCAATGTGCAAGTTTGTGCATGTGCATGTGCACAGGGCCGCCCTCCGGAAGGACTTCGCCGCCTGGGCCCATGCCAGGCGGCGGCAGGGCTTGCACAGGTCGCCCGGACGCGTCAATGCACGAATTCTCGCCTGCTGCCAAAACGTCCTCGGAGCCATCGGGCCCAGCAGACGCCCGCTCGCCTGACGCGTTTCCATGATCTGCGGCACCCGGTCGCAATGTGATCACGGCCTCGAGCCCCACCTCCTCACTCTCGGAACCTCCGCTGCTGCCGTTCACCTTCGCAGCCTGCCTCGCAGCTGAAGCGGGATCCGTACCGCCATCCGAGCCAATGCCGCCGCAGACAGCAGTACCAGCGGAAGCTGCTGATGCCGTGCCGTCGCGAGGATGTCCGTCATGCGGCTGCTGACCGCCTGTCCCAGGTACGCCTTGCGGCATGTGATACATGCCGGGATGCATTGCAGGATGGTGACCGCCGTACGGTGGCGGCATGTAGTGGTAGGCCGGATGCGGGTGGGGTGGCGGTAGTGTAGGATGGCCACGGTAATAGCCCGGTGGCGGATAGCCGGGATGGCACGGGCCCATCGGCGGGAAGCGTCCATCATGGGGGTAATAAGGCCCGCGATGGGGCAGATGATGCACCGGCGGGAAGCCGGGGTGGAACGCGACCATGTGCCCGTGGGGCCCGGCCATCGCCGGGTGGTGATAGGGACCAGGAGGTGGCCGCACGTGGGGCGGGTAGGGACTCGGCTCGCCGTATGGGCCGTACGAGTATCCACGTACGGCTGGCATGGCTGGATGGTGCACGGGCATCTGGCTGCTGAGCACAGGCCCCGACGATGTAGCCGGTTGTGCTGGAGGCGGTCCAGGAACTGCTGTGGCAGGTACGGGACCGGCAGGCTGCGTCTGCGGGGCCCCGTTGCCCTGGGCTGCCGACATAGAGGTCGGTATCTGGGCCGGAGGCGCTTGGGCGGGGACGCCCTGCTGCGGATTGGGATAGGCTCCAGACTGCTGAGAGGATGGCAAGGCCGGCGGCACAGCCATAGGCCCTGGAGGCCCGCCAGGAGGCCCGCCTGGAGGCTGCTGCTGGCTGAGCATCCCGCACGCCGCTGCAGCGAAGTCCCAATGTGCTGCTGAGATGGCGGACTGCGGCCAGCGCGCCGGCGGAGGTGCAAAGCGCGGCTGAGGAGGTATACCTTGCATGTGCATCATGTGTTGGTGGGGATGCTGGTGGGGGTGCTGGCTGGGCGCCGAGGCTTGAGGCTCAGACGGGGGTAAGGGCCCGGCTGAAGCTCCGGCGTCGGGTCCTCCCTCATCCTTCATGTGCATGGACTGTTGCGGAATAGCTTCCTGCGGAAAAAGCGAGCAGTAACGTTATTCGCATGAAGCAGTTTCACACACGCCGCAGAGGCTGGCCATATGTTTGTTCCCTTCCATTTGAGACGCTATTTCTTACCTGCCCCTTGGGGGCCTCGCCTTGCGGTTGTACTTCGGCCGGGGGAGCGGCATGCTGAGGCAACAACCCGAGGATTCCCGCTAGCTGCAGGTTTGACAGCATAGCCTGAGGAAGGTTGTTTGACTCAAATGTATCGGGCTGGTTGGCGAGGAAGGAAGTGAAAGCAGCCGCTAGGTCGGCACCATTATTAGTCGTGTTGACAGAACCTCCATCGGGTAGTGGTGGGCCACAAGCTGACTGCTGGGCAACACCTCCAGGATCTTGTTGGTTAACGTTGGTATGAGCTGCGGCTGGTGCAAACGCACTGGCTAACGCTGGGTCGTTCGCCGAAGCCATGCCCCAGCTGCTGCAGCCGCAGCTGGCGAGATCCAGTCCGCGCTCTGACCGCGACGACTAAAGTCGATAATGGTAAAGTGCTTTCTTGGCTACCAGCTGACCGACTGGATTCGGGGTGGACCGAAGGAAAGCGGTCGCGTGGACTTCCGTTCAACCTCGTGGAAGGCTATCTCCAAACCCATGGTTGCTGCATCCACAACGTTCAGTGTTTCATGTAGCATAAGGCTTATGAGCCTTGAGGTTTGCTGCAGCGGTGGCTGAAACCTCGTCGTTAAGTGACCGCAATCAATCTTTGACGGGAGCTATGCCCCGCGTGAACATCACATCAAGCTACGTAGAAGAATAAGATCATGTAAACAACAGAATGCTGCTTGCAGGTGCGAAGGGTGGACGCCCGCGCAGCTGTCATAGTTCACGTACTGTAATCAAAAGGGCAAAAGGCCCCACCCTTCCAGGAGAAAACCACGCCCTCCATTCGCTCATGCTCCATTCAATACATGCTATTCATGCACACGCATGCCTCATAGCTAGCTGGCCCCGTGTTCAATCTGGAACTTGCACCCTGTCCTGCCCCAGCACGAGCGCTTGCCAAACTATCAGTACTGCGATTCACAACTTGCTGCGTTTATGTAATATATCTCGCTTCTCTCCATATGTCGCAGCTCAAATTCCCAAGCCTGGTATTATTTACGGTCGGCATGTTTGGATTTTCTTCAACGAGCTACGGAGAGGACGTAGAGACGCGGTGTATTTGTATTGCCACAAAAGGAACAAGTTCAGAAAGGAGCATATGCTGTAACGCCAGGGCCGGCTGCGCACTTGGAGCTAGGGACGCCAAGCGGGTAACTACCCGAGAACCTGGTACCCGACGGCGACGCAAAGGCAACTCGGGCCTGTCCGACCATGCGGGTTTGCGGTATAGTCCAGGCACTCTTCAGAATCAGATGTCGAATTGTGAATTCTCAGAGACCAAGCTATCTTCTCTGTTTACACCTTTCCCCCAGAACTTCTCCATTTTTTCCTGACCGTTTCCCCACCGCGCATCCCCAAGGGACGTGTGGCAAATTTTTTACCACGGAGTTGCTCCACAGCAGTAGCATTGTTGAAGCACAGGAAACTCCAGCGAGTGTCCCTGTTTAATACAAAGTTCCCAATAGCAAATTCGCTCACGTCTATATAAACTCATGTAACACCGGAATGCACCCCTCAGTAATTACTTTATCCTTGCATGCAGCTGACTCACGAAGGTAAGCTGGGACGGGTATCACCCTCCAGTGGATTTCCGGCTGGTGCAGAGGCGGCAGGTGAATCTCGTGCTGCCTGGGCGTCGCATCCGAACGCGTCCAGGGCCTCCTTAGAATTAGGCTATCCGAACTCCTGCCTTAAGATCACTGGCGCATATACGTGTTACACGGGAAAAGGTATACAATGCGCTCCCTGACGACTTTGGGGATAGGTTGCAATGTAATATCCTTCGGCCCTTACAGCATCCTTACTATCAAGGCAGGCGAACCGCTACGCCGGGTAAGCTTGTGCAAGCCTGTCCCAGTAATAAGAGTTGTGACGAAAGTAAATCAAAGAGGCTATGAAGGCAAAGTGCGGTCGACAAGCTCGTGCGTCCTTCCTGGTTTCGAGGTCACCAGCAGTCCGCAAAATAAATTGAGTTTAAACGCAAAACGCAGCGGCGCTCTGAGTACCATATACCGCAGCTTGGGAGAACCCCATGCGCTATTCGTACCGCGTCGTACCCATGGTCTGAACGACAGCGCATGCACATCACATCCTCCATGCACATCCTCCATGCACAGCGCAAAGCATGCACAGCACATCCTCCATGAAATAACAATAATGGACGGAAAAGCACCGAGTCATAGTATACGACAGCCAACTTGAAAGTGGGGATTTGCAATCAGTCCTCCGTTCTTCGCAACGTCAGGTTTTATTACGAGTCTGTAGCTTTGCCAAGCCTACCCCCTACCGCAGCACTTTTTACCACTGCAAAGGACGGTATCTATACCCTGATACACCTTACCAGCTAAAGCAGTTGGCAATAGTTAAGAGGGGCCAATGCACTACTGCTGATTAGCCCACCTCTTCCGGCCACATGGAAGCTAGGGAAAGGTCTCGGCACCAGGATCCGCACATGATGAAACCACATTATAAGGACGGCGTGGAGTTGCTAACGACAACAACAAAGCAACAGACAACGTAGAGTAATATACCTAAGCTTTTTAAGAAGTGATTGCTCTTGTAAGCGGCAAAAGTTAAGATCAGATGGAAGGACAAGAAAACCTTTGGCAATGCGCCAGGACTGCTGCATGAATGCATAAAAACAGAAGACCGTAGGTTCCATTCCATAGCATGGTTAAGAGTTCCCTTAACGGTATGCGTATGGTTTGAAAGAGGTCTTCAGATTCGCGTAAATCACTGTAATAACACGACTTCTAAAAAAATCCAACCGAGCCGGTTTTAAGTCGCGATCATCCCGGCCCCAACCACGAACCATCAGAGGAAAATTTGCAGTCACCAATATACATCCTGTCAATAGCATGCCTCAACTTAACTCAAGTACCACCCAAGACCACCATCTGCTAATCCTAATCGATCTCATAAGACCCCTGTCCGAAGCAATCCGAGCAATGCTCTCAGCCGTCCGCCTTAAGTGCGCTACTATCCAAGAGAACACCCGCAACTTCTGCCATCCCGCCTATTTGATTGCCTTCAACACGGCAGACCTCCCCCATCACCTCACCCTCCTCACTTTGCGCTTTCAATCCCATGCCGTCTAGGATCGCAAAGTTTTCCTCAAGCACACGTCATGAGAGCCCGCTCTTTCAGTAAGGTCCACCATTAGTCAGCTCAGGGTCTAACGCTGGTTTATTAACCCCCCCCGACGCCACCGTAATCAAGCAAGACGCTCTCTACAATCCCCTTTAGTTTGTCTTCTCAATTGCAGATTACCATCATGGTGGTTGTCTTCACGGTGACCCAGCTCCTTGCTTCGTAATGTCCTCACCTCAGTCGCGCATCTGCAGGTCGTCGTCGTTCTCCTCCTCGTCGTCGCCATCCAGGCCTATGCCCTGAAACACCATCCGAGCGCGCTTCATTAACAACTCAGCAGCCGAGCTGGCATTGCCGCCACCGCCGGCGGCGGCAGCGCCCTCCGCTGCCGCCTTCACCGCCACCTCGTACGTGTATCCACCCATCCCACCCGCCGCCACATCCACGACCACATCACTGTTATCCCCTATCCTTCCGCTAATCAGCATGCGACTGAGTTCCGTAATCACTACGTGCTCCATCCACCGACGAAGCGGCCGCGCGCCGTATATCGGGTCGTATGCTTGCTGTACGGCATACGACAACGCGGCGTCGGTGAAGCGCAGGCCAATGTTGCGCGGCGCCAGGCGACTGGCGAGCTCTTTTCCAAGCAGGGCTGCAATGCCAATCAGCTGCTGCTGCTGGAGGGGCTCGAAGACGACAATGTCGTCTAGGCGGTTCAGGAACTCCGGACGGAAGAAACGGCGAACCTCGGATAAAACACTTTGTCGTGCCTCGCGGTACGGATCAATGCCGGTTTTTATGTGGTCGGCCGGGGCCTTATCGTTGATGTTGTTGATGTTGTGGTTATGGGCAGCTGCTTGGAGCAGGGCTTCGGAACCCAGATTTGAGGTGAGGATGATGACGGTGTTTGCAAAGTTAACTGTACGGCCCTTAGAGTCGGTGACTCGGCCATCGTCCAAAATGGACAGCAGCACGTTGAAGACCTCGGCGTGCGCCTAGTTGGGATCAGAAAATGGTCGATGGGTAGGGAGAGGATGAGGATGAGGGCAGTGCGGAGAGAGGGCGGTCTGGGACGGATTGTTGCAGATTGGCATCCAGTGGCTTGGGAGGACTGGAGAGCTTTATGAAGAGGGCTAGGGAAGGGTACAGAGGATGGCGAGGGCGGAGAGGAGGATGATTTGGTGCAATTAGCGATCAGAAAGTGTTTATTAGCACCCAGATTAACGGCCTGGTTAATATTAAGGTGGGTACGTAACTCGGGCCGGCTCCACGAAATCGCATGCATCAAAGCGAATTGAACTGGTACGGGTGGAAATCGAGGGATTTCCAACCCGTCACGTCTCAATCCGTCGAATTCCATGGTGGGTTGCAAAAAGCTATAAGAGAGGGCCAAGAGGCGGCGCCGCGGGATACACTGAGAAGTGTAAGAGTGTCGCCCTTACCTTCTCGACCTCGTCGAAAAGTACGACGCTGTACGGCCGCCGCCGTACAGCCTCTGCCAGCTGGCCGCCCTCCTCGTGGCCTACGTAACCTGGCGGCGCGCCAATGAGGCGACTGACGCTGTGTCGCTCCATGTACTCGCCCATGTCGATGCGGATCTGCGGTTATTTTCAGTTGGGAGTACGAACGATAAATCCACAGAGACAGAACAACATAACATCAGCACAAGTAAAACCGGAAAATTTAAACGCAACCCAGTCGCGGAATGAAGCAAGGCGAAGAAGCGTGAAGAAGACATAAAAGAGATACATGCATTGGTGTAGCTAGCCAGCCACCCCACATGCGACCTACACGAAAACGAGGATATCCCTTGTTCCTGGCATACATACGGTGGTGACCTGGGATAAACTTAACCCTAAAGTTAACCTGCGAGCCGACCAGGAATGGAGTTCGGCCGCTGTCGACCCGGCAGATTCCGTTGGATGTTGGTGGTGGGTGCGGAACCTGAGCGATTCACTGAGAAGTTGACTAGGGTGACTGGATGAGGGTGCCCCGAAATACCGGGGAAGGCAGGGTTTCGCAGGGTAGCTGCCACGGGCGAAGATATACCCCCCTGTTTCACACATCATACACCAGCCCACTAAAACCCATCCATCCAAACACATTCATGCTCTTCTTGAGTCTGGAGCCAGCTGTAACAACAAACAAACAAACAAACAAACAAACAATTCAAGCACCCAAGCACACGGACCCGTATAACGTCCATCAGTCCACCTTCACACCGCTCACCCCTCACACCTGCAGACCCGCATAAGCCTAGTCCAAACTCGGAGCGCCCCAAAACCTACTAAAGTCACATATATATGTAGTATATATATGTAGTATATATATGTAGCATATATGTATAATATATAGGTGTACTATATAGGTATATGTATATAGGTATGCCAGCATGCGCTCGCCACCCACCAGCATGCGCTCGTCATCAAACAGCAGCTCCGCAAGAGCCTTGGCCAGCTCCGTCTTGCCTACGCCAGTAGGGCCCAGGAACAGGAAGCTGCTGCCGCGGTTGCGGGCCGCCAGGCCGGCGCGCGCGCGCAGCACCGCATCCGCCACCGCGCCCACCGCTGCCTCCTGCCCCACCACCCGCCGCTGCAGCGCGGCGCGCAGCTCCATCAACTTGTCGCACTCGGCTTGGCGCAGGCGGGAGACCGGGATGCCGGTCCACCGCGATACCACGCCTGCAATCTCATCGGGGCCCACCTCCTCCGAGAGCATCGCGTCGGCGGGCTGGGCGGCGCGCAGGGCCTTGATCTCATCGTCAACCTCCGGCAGTGCGCCGTAACGAAGGTCCTGATAAAGAAGGAGGGAAAACAGAGGAGAACAGGGTCGTGAAGTTCATAAAGATTGGGGGAGTCATATGGGTGTCATGTAAGGACGGGGTAAACAGGGTTGGCAGACGAGGGTGAGGTCATAGTTTAAGTGATCATATGGGTGTCATGTAAGGAATGAAGTTGTAAAAGGTAAAAACCAATCAAATCAACCAAATTCTTACCGCAATGCGCGCCAAATTATTATGTTGTTCCGCCAGCTGAATGTTGACCAGAATGTCGTCCCGCTTCTGAGCCAACCGCCGCAGCCGCTCCAACCGCTCCCGTTCCTGAGTGTACCGCAACATCAGCGGCCGCAACTCGTCCTCTAGCGCCGCCAGCTCCCTCGCTACCTCCGCAGCGCGCTTCTTGCTGAGCGCATCTCTCTCCTTGGCCAGCGCCGCAGCTTCTACTTGCAGTCGGATGCGTTGCCGCTCCAGGGCATCAAGCTGTTCCGGCTTGGAATCTAGTTGCACTCGCATATTCGCACAGGCCTCGTCGACCAGGTCAATTGCCTGTTTTGTGGCGGGGAATAGTTTCGAGGGGGAACGCTGATTTGGCGAAGGCGACTTGGATAGTGCGCGTTAGGATGGAAAGGGAGCTAGTACGGGAAAAGGGAAGGAGATGTGAGTGTGGATGTGGATGTGACCGCGATACATCGAATCTTGGATGCGTGAACGGTTGATGCACAGGTTGGTTGGTGGTTGGACGTTGGATCCATCGGCGTTGGGTCCACTGGGGTTTATCACCGATGTGCAACTGCCGGCCCCTAACGGTTGCCACCCCAACCCCGGAGCTGCGTACTCCCTCCACCTGCTCTCCATCCTCTCCCACGCACCCAGCGCACATCCATCCACACAACGCACCTTGTCAGGCAAAAACCTGGTCGTGATGTACCGGTCGCTGAGCTCCGCTGCCGTCACCAGCGCCCGGTCGGTGATGTGCACCCCGTGATGCGCCTCGTAGCGCTCCTTGATGCCGCGCAGGATCGCCACCGTGTCGGCCACACTGGGCTCCTTGACGAGCACCTGGACATCATGCAATGGTGAACACCTGTACTGGTTACTACAATGAAACTGCTACGAGTTGCCGTACTCGTGCCGTACGGGAGTGCGTCCCGACATACAAACAACGAATGAACGAACGAATGAATGAATAACCCTAAGCAATTCCAAACCGCTATCTGTGGACAAACTGATGGTTTGCAGAATGTCCTTGCGCTGTGTTTCATAGTCCTAAGCTGTGTCCTAAAACTTAAAGCTTCGCGGCTTCTGGTTATCAAGCGTGCATGTGGCGATGTGGGAGAAGGGGGAGGGACCGGGGGCCAACAACCTGTCCGACTTGCACTGCCTCTAGGATCCGCAATTCCTGGATACGCTGGATCCGCAATTCCTGGATACGCTGGATCCGCAATTCCTGGCTACGCTGGATCCGGAATTCCTGGATACGCTGGATCCGTCCTTCCGAGCACGCCGCGCACCTACACTGATTTCGTACAGCGCCTGAGAATAACCTGCGCGCCCATTTCAGCGCAGCCTTACCTACAGCACGTGTGCCTACCTACCTGCTGGAAGCGTCGTTCAAAAGCGGCGTCCTTTTCGATGTGCTGCCGGTACTCGGCCAGCGTGGTGGCACCGATGCATCGTAACTCCCCCCGGGCCAGCATGGGCTTGAGCAGGTTGGCGGCGTCCATGGCCGAATCGCCAGCCTTGCCAGCCCCCAGAACTAGGTGCAGCTCGTCGATGAAGAGTACGACCCTGCCTGCCTGCTGCTGTACTTCCGTCAGTACGGCACGCAGCCGTTCCTCAAACTCGCCGCGGAATTTAGCGCCTGCGACCAAGGAGCCCATGTCCAGGGCGATCAGGCGGACACCCTGGAGCGTCTCCGGTACGTCGCCCTGTGGAGGGGATGGAGAGAATTTCGCGGAGGAATGGAGGAAGGGACGCGTGGAGGTGGGTGGGGAGGTGGGTGGGGAGGTGGGTGGGGAGGTGGGTGGGGAGGTGGGTGGGGAGGTGGGTGGGGAGGTGGGTGGGGAGGTGGGTGGGGGCCGGAACCAGGGAAGGTGGGGCTGTGGGTTGTCGAAAGGGGCATTATGCGGGCGGTGAGCCGGGGAGCAAGGGCTTTCCTAGCGGGGTATCGAGCGGTGTAAAGTGAAGGGAGGGCCGAAAGTGGGAACAGGATATGCACCGCACCGCACCGCTGCACTCCCGGGTGCGGTATGTAACCCCCCAGACACTGGATTGTGGCGCGCACAAACGAAAACATTACATTGCGCGACATTACACCTTTTAACATGATCCTTACTTTTTCACTCAATTTCCCCCTCGACATGGCCCACTTGCGCTTCACACTCGCTTGTCATTAGCACGGTTGAACCTCTAACTAACTTAATGTGGGTTGTAAAATGTACAGAGGTTCACAGATAACCTCCGTAATTTTTGCAACCCACATTTTCTTTTATAAGATACTCATCTCAAAACTAGCCGTACCTTGACAATCCGCTGCGCAAGGCCCTCTACAATGGCGGTCTTGCCGACCCCGGGGTCGCCGATCAGCACGGGGTTGTTCTTGGTACGGCGACACAGCACACGTACCACGCGCCGGATCTCATCGTCGCGGCCAATGACGGGATCTGCACGCGCGGCATTGGCTGTCATGTCGGTGCCGTACTTGCACAGTGCGTCGAAGTTCGCGTCGGCGGTCGGCGAGTTGAGTGGCCCGTTGCCGCCCGTCTTGCGGACCTCTTGTAGCGCGGATTCCAGCTGTGCACGGCTGACGCCGGCCTCGGCAAGGGACTCGGAAACCTCTGGGGTGGCTATGACCGCGCCCAACAGCGTGTCAGCGCCGAGGTAGGCGTCACCTCGGTCTTTTTGTGTTTTGGTGGCGGCAGCAAGCAGTTTGAAGAGCTCGCGTCCAGGGACGACAGTGCTAGGGGATGGCTCAACGCGGGGTAGTTTGTTTAGGCGCCGCCGGAGCACGCGAGTGCAGCTGCGCCATGCTTCTTCGCCTCCTGCGCGCACTGCCGCGCTGCGGGCGAGACCTTGGGGCTCCTGGGAATGTGTAATGTACGGCAGCGGGAAAACGTAAGTTTAAAGCACATCAACTATATGGTTTTTAGCGAAGTTGACAATTTAACCAGACGTTTTTCTATGTACGCTACAAATCTTTCGCAAGCGTGGAAGGCAGACAATGGTAGACAGTTGCAATCAAGCCCATACCTCAAACAGGACAATCGCCAGGTGAATCGGTGTTAATGTTGCATGCTGTTGCTCCGTTGCCAAATTGATAGCTGAGTCGAGGACCTCGTTGACCTTCTGAGTTGCCTTCTTTGGGTCGAACGCCATTTTGCACAAAGGGAGTGCAGTAGTCAAATTGGTTAGGAGAAAAAACCCTGTCACAAACTACTAACTGCTCAAGGATAAATGGAATCTGCAATCACGCAATTCTGGATGCTGTGCACTTCGCTAACGAGGAAGCTACGATAGAAAATCTCGAGGACCACTATTCGAGAGCTTAATACATTGACCAAGCAACTTTTTAATCTTAGTTCACGTATCCGATGGGAGGTAACGAGTTATACCGTGTTCGTGCTAGTCTGTATCGCCGTACGGAAGTGCCACGAACCGTCGCGAATAAGCGCGAACCGTCGCGGCTCGTCTAGGGATATGGCGCATGATGTGGACTGATCTAGCTAATAATCTAGCAATAGCTTAGATATGCCCGAAGCTTCCATAAGTGCAAGGTTGACTTTTGGTATACTGCACGAAGCAGAACTTGGCTCCTATTGCTTACTTACATGTCGGAATAAGACCAGAGCTCAATCTGTTTGCAAACCAGGAAACAGGATACATGATAAGCAAGGAGATATTTTTTCAGTCTGGCCAACCTTCTTTGTTGCATACAAAACTCACTTTAGGATGGCGTCAGTCCACGCATGGCCCAGCACTTTGAACCGACACACGCTACAACATTTGTAAGCGCAGAATATGATACTTAAATGAAAACAATTCGGTGTATGTTCAGAGCTCCTGTTGTAAACTGGCTGGCGACAATAGTGGGGCGACTATGGCTTGCAGGCTTCGGCGGCAACACAGAGACGCAGTCCACTTCTGAGAATCTCCAGAGTGTTGCAGTCCTATCCAAGAGAGAGACCACTGGACTAGTTACGCTCTTATACGGACTTCCAACTGCAGTTGCTCCAGAACCAGGTCCGAAACCTACGAGGCAGACTTGATGAATGAGCACCAACTCATGCGCACAGCACAGTTTTACAACACTCCTACGCGGACAGTCGTCGACCAACTCACAACTGGACGCATAACGATTACATGACACATAAAGGGCACAAACGTTATCGCCAAAAGTGGGGTAAACGCTGTCCACATAAGAAAGTCCTCAAAGCGCCAAACCACAAAGAAACATATGCACTCCCACGGACTCTGGGTACGGGCTAGCACGTTGCCCGCGTGGAAGTGTTGAGGTAAATGTTGTCCAGGCATGGGCAAACGCTTCGGGAGATTTGTGTCGTACAGAACTCCCAAAAAAGTAATAGAGTTCCCAAAGCCGGCCGGCTTGTAGAAATAGGATCATACGTCGTATTCAAATGTCAAACTATTGCAAAAAACACAATTCGTTCCGCGGCCTTGTAACCGAGATTGTACTGGAGGACAGCAATAGGCCCGTTCCCGAAACCAGAAATACCCCTTTGCCGATGTCTGGTCAGTCTGCCACCTGGCTCGTACGCGGTAGTTGGCTTTTGCTGTGGCTCGGAGCCATCTTCAGTACTATTCTGATCTAGTGTCGAACTGGAATAAGAGACAATGAGTGCTATTCTCGTTGGTCTGGTTTGCTTGTTGAGTAGTGAATTGTAGGTGAGCTGAGCCGTTAGTTGCTTTTTGTAACGCTCTGGCAATCACTATTGCATCCGATCCACTTCGCCTTTCATAGGAATCCGAAGGGTTACCCTACCGATGGGTCACCCTACCGATAGTCTACTCTGCCAACACGTTACCGGCCGGGACAAAACTCGGTTGGCCGTAATGGAATGTCATGGAAAGTTCCTAACGACCGTCGAACGAACTGTCGATGACAGTCTATGGGACGACCTACGGCGTAGGAAGTGGTTATTTCGGGCGTTCCTACGCTTATAGAAAATGGCATAGTGCATTGTCTGTTTTGCGTGTTCCGCTACATGAACATGATATTTATATACTTATTCAGATCAATTACCCATAATTTTATGTATACATATCTAGCTGTCTTTTAAGAGCTCCGAGACCAAATATGGATGAGCGCCAAACTTATTAGATTATAGGATAGACTGTATTGCTCATCTATAAGCGATACCTTCAGTATGCTAAACACTGTGATCCACCCTTATGTTTAAATTGCTCGGCCGAAGCGCTTAGGTCCCTGACACTGGCGTGAGTTTAAATAAAATGCATATGTTCATAAGTTCCCTTCGATTTCATTAGGTGGCTTTAACTGTTAAAGTTCAACCGGGTTCAACTTGTCATTTTGTCTACGATGGCTTTTGCGGCTGCCCTGACGGAGAAACGTGGACCAAGGGTGGGCGATGCAGCATCACTGTAAGCTCGTAATTAGAACCCTCGTGGTTATGTGGCCCAGCACCCGCGTGGCGCATCCTGCCTGTCTTCGATGGCACGTCGTTGAAAGGACGGGGCTTGCAGACGCGGTACTTGCTCCCCCAAGGTCGCCACCAAGACGCGTTAGTTGGGTCGGAATATTGTGCAACTCGCTTAGCGCAGAGGACGTTCGTCCAGCCAAACAGACTGAAACCCCGCGGCAAACACATGCAGTTCCATCACAGTTTAGCCTGCGCTGTGATGCAGCTAGTAGCCGCACCGTGGCGCTGCTATCGGCGACGCCGTTTCCTTGCTTCCGCGCAGATGGAACTTCACGCCTGCCCCAGGTTGGACCGGCGAGGAAGTCCAGATCCTGCGGCTCTGCCTCATGAAGCATGGCGTGGGACAGTGGCTCCAGATTTTGGGAACCGGACTGTTGCCAGGCAAACTGATCCAACAGGTCAACGGCCAGACCCAACGCCTGCTGGGTCAACAAAGTCTGGCAGGTGCAGTGCTGGGTTTGGCGCAACTGGGTCGCTATTTTAGGGCGCTCCGCAACCACTTTTGCGCCCACTAGTCTCCTAACAGCAGCTCAGTGGCCCTTCGCCGGGCATTTACCCTTGTCTTTGGCCTTGCCATGATACCAACCCATGAACTGCATTGCAGCGTTTACGGGACTGCGGGTCGACGTAGACCGGGTACGAGCTGACAATGAGGCTCGTACGGACGCTACGAGAAAGGCGGGCCTCATCATCTACGATGGGCGTGAGTGGAGGATGTTATTGGAAAAGGGATTTGGGAGTGGTTGGTTCGCGGTTGAGAATCCATTAAGGGGCAATGGCAGGGCGTGCTGGGAAGGGGGCTACCGAAAAAGGAAAAAGAAACTGGAGCGCCGACTCCCATTTTTTAGAATCTGGCATGGATTAGTAGCCTCCATTAAAGACGATGTCACGCGGGAAGGCATGCTTTGTCAGATACCCTACTTAACGTAAACCATGCAACCCCCAGACCCCAGTCTTGGAAGACCCATACTTAAAACACGCGCCATAGCGTTTCATGCTGCCGCGTGCACTTATCCGCATTCGCGCCGTCTGATGTATCAGGAGGATCCAAACACTTGAAACCCTGCGTCAATACGGATTGGGCCAGAGCCGGTCCATTCGCGCCCTGCAACAGAAGATGTATAGAGAACCACATTCGTCGCCGTCGCTGCTGTAAACTCCAGAACTCAACCCATTTTCTCCGTCTGCCCTGTCCTTTGCCGTGATGCGTCTTCTCACGCTACACAGCCACACTGACCAAGGAGATGAAGGCAGAGCTGCGAGAAGAGGCGCAACGGAAGTGGGTTTGCCGGCGGGCACTTTGGACGGTTGTGGCACATGAGTACGGCTGTACGGCCGTGGTACAGGGCAGGCCTGTGAACGGATTCACCAGAGCATCATCACAGCTCTCTTGGTCATATCCGCAGTGAATGCCGACGGCCAGTCCACAAATCCAACCTGGACTCAGCAAGCCTCCCTTTTTCGGACCTCCTTGCTCTTCCCGAGCCCACTGCTTTTGGGGGTTTAATTTGTCGAAGTGCCCACGTCCAAAGCACCACGTGCTGGAGTCCGAAGCAAAGACCACCTGCCTGTGAGGGCCGAGTCTTCAGGTCTGAAGCTTAGAATCTACCCATGCAGGTACGGCCTGACTCCGGAGCAGCTTCAAAAGGTGGACGAGCAACTCGAGGAGTTGATGCGATTTGCGGCTACCACCGCCGCCACAGCTGCAGTCGGCAGCTCTGGTATGGTGACCGGCGTTGCCGGCACGGTCGCTGCCTCTGTGGGCGGGTTGGGGCCTTTGAGAAGCGCACAGGCTCATGCCCAAGCTGTAGCACGGCTTGACCCGGAACTTGGTAAGATGGCGGCGGCGCTTTTTGCGGCTTTTGCAGCGGTAGTGTTGCTGCTGTTGGCGGTGCATAGCCCTAATGCTCTATCCTTCTTCCTTAATGTGTGGCTATCCTTTATTGTACATTGTTGAGTCCCGTCCCAGGGGTCTTTCCGCCTTGCCAATCACACCCCACAAACCTATGTTGAAACTCGCGTCGCCCCGACCGCGCCCTCAGGCCGCCTCCTAGCCGTCCCTATGGATGAGCTCTCCACCGAGCAGCTAGTCCAACTGCTCAAACGGCTTCGAAATCGACTAGCTTGCCTCGTCGACCGCTGCAATGACCGAGCCTCGTTGCCGCCGCGGTCGGGTCCACGCTGGAAGGGCGAAGGAGAGGCCGCCATCCTCCTGGACGCAGCAGCAGCCGCGGCAGGAGCGACGGGGGTTGCAGGAGCAGTAGCAGTAGCAGGCGGGCCGGGCTGTAGTCGGGCGGCGCAGCAGGGGGAGGGCCTTGCGGCATCCGTGGCGAGCAGGTGAGGGTCAAGCAAGGGGAAGTGAAGATCGAGGGGAGTGAGGGGGCCATATGGCCTGATCGAGATGGCCGTCATGACCACATTCCCTGTTTGTCATTGGACTGTGCGAGTTGGCGTTCCTTCCTTTTCTACCGTGGTTTTAAGTTATAGCCGCGCCCGGGCTTGAAGGGACCTCATGCATGGCTTGTAAGGACCTGTTAAGGCACGTGAATCAGGTCGGATAGGATCAGGGCTTTCGCTATTTTTGTTAGTGCCCCATGGCCTTTGATATGCTTTCCTCGAGCCCCTCCCCTGCATACTACTTGGTTAGTCCGTTCTTCTCCCACTCGCGTATGCTACCGCCATATTGCCTTCACAGGCATCACTTGACAGAAGCCACTGCTTGTCGGGTGCGGAGTGGCACCGCGGCGGCGGCACCCCGCCCACCCGCATCAGGATCCGGGTGAGAGTGCACCGGGCGGGGGTAGTGGATATGGTTTGGGGTAGTGGAAGGGCACTTGGTCCTAAATTTAGTCGGGAGCTAGCGAGGGAGGTGGCAAAGTTGCAGCCGGGCACATAGCATTGAGGGCGTGCGTGTGCACGTTCTGCGGTGAATAGTGTGGGGTTCAAGAGAACATAAATGGACCCATTAGCTCTCCTTTTTCCCTTATGGAACAGGAAGAGGCGGAAATCATTGCTTACTGTGCCTTCTATAATCTATTTGCATCTCAGGGCAACTCGCAAGCGCGGCAAGCCCAGCCGGACCCGCGGCAGCGGCCAGGGGGACGGCGGGGACTGGTCGGGCGGTGAGGAGAACGCGGGGCCATTGGAAGGCGCCAAGCGCAGGGCAGAGAGTTCACGGCGGGGTACACGCGCCAAGGTGCGTAGGGCTGGACGGACTGGGATTGCGTTAGGAGGAGAGGTCCCTGGTATCCCTGTCAGCCCCAACTACTACGGTCTGCAACTTATTCGATTTGTGGTGATTTGGGTAATTTTACTTCAGGTGTTTCTGAATGTTAGTGAAGTGTGACAGAAAACGCACAACAGTGGTGGCCGTGAGCTATAATGTAGACGGGTCGGGATTCTATATAGGGCTGGTCTGTTGGGAGAAGGGAAAGCCAGCAGTTGTAGGCTCATGTGTATTCAGGGCAGGAAGATGAAGGGGCACGTTTGCCTGCCTTACAAGGTTGATCCAGGACGTCGTTCCTTTGGCATAAGTATGCCTTCGTCCTCCTTATCACAGAATCATAAGGCCGCATCTGTGCCGAAGCTACTGCATGCATTGTCTTTTTCCTAACCGCAGCGCCCTGCCCGATATGACAAGTACGTCGACGACGCGGAGTACGAAGAGGTCGATCCGGATGCTGGTGTAGCAGAGACCGTGGTTGACCCGTCGGAGGCACTCAACACGTTGACGGCGATGGGCTTCACGCCACGCAAGGCCCGCGGAGCGTTGCGGGAATGTCACTTCAACGTAGAGGCGGCGGTGGAGTGGCTATTTGCAAATTGCGTTTAAAGTTGGCTCAATGCTCGTCATGAATTCCTGGGCATAACTAGCCTTATTTGCACCAATAGGCAATTCACCGCAAAACTGCAGCACGGTTTCTAGCTTATTGTGCAGGCAGGCTATTTGGTGCTCTAGGGGCCCCGGGAGACGGATATATTTCGTCCCTCTTTCTGAGTAGTATTGAACGCCACGAAATGCGAGTGTAACAAAGAGAAGTAAGAAGAAAGGACAATAAATAGCTCACATCTTGCGGAGATATCCAGAAGGATTTCTATTTTTTCTGCAATGCACTCCACCCTCCTTACAATCAGCCCTGGAACCATAATTACAGCCGCCTTATAACAGAACCTGCAACCGGCCCTACAACCGCATTACAACCATCCCTGCAACGCCATCAACCTTGCTGAGATAGCTCTCATTGCAGCGGCTGCGCAATTACCCCCATCAGATGCTCGGTAATCTCCAGGAGAGCCTCATCGCTGCCGGGAGGCCCTATAAGGCCCAGACCAACGGGGAGCCCGTCAACTCTAGCAATAGGCAAGCTAACCTGCGGAGCGAATGTCGAAGGTCGGAAGGCGGTAGGGTTGTCGTTACTCCGTAGATTCCTTCCATTTTTTAAGCTTCTAGCTTGACATCAAATGGAACTGCTGGGCGACTGAGATATTTCGCAACATCGACATACACGGACATACACGTCAAGAAAGACACGCAGTGAAGCAATGTATCGTCCTAAAAAGCATGGGAATGATGGCACATCGTTCGTATCTACGGCACACTGTTGCCAGGCACAGGTAGCTAGTATGCATCGCTGCTCTATTTTTTGGTGGGCCGTTCCATGCACATGCAAGTGCAAAGCAACGTCGTGCAGTGACGCAAGGCACTCATACCGCCATACGGTTCTGTACTAGTACCTGCGGCAGGCCTGCGAGGCCCGCTATGGAGGTGAGACTGATCAGCCGAGTCCTCCAGGCGTCCAAATCCGCCTGCCCCGAAAAACGCAAAGCGAAAACACATGAGCGTACGTGGAGGACGTGCGCCTATGTTTGACCTTCGGAACCCGTTCATCCACCACCATTTCGCGACAATGGAACCGCCTTCTATTACGAATTTTTAACCACTGCTAAGATGCGTCTTCCTTTAGATAATCGCCACAAACCATTACATAGTAGGTGCTGGAGGTATTACGAGGGCACCCTAACCTAACGAGGATAAATGATGAGACCTACCGGCGGGGTGTTGACTGGCGGTGCAGGTCCCGGTGTTGTGGGTACTACCAGCAGTCCGTCAGAGCCCAGCAGCTCCAACAGGTGACTCCGAATGCGGCGGCGCTTAGCGGAGCCAACCTCGTGCTACACGGAGAAGGGGACAAGGAAGGAAATGGCATTACCTAAAAGTAATAGGAGGACAAATAGGATAAAGCAAAGCCGCCATCGCCTCGAGACGTCGACAGCACATGATGTAAGCTCCCCTGGTCGTTAGTCTCCTTTACCACTTGCTTTGTTTTGTGAAAATGCGAGGTAGGATGGTGCTTATAGGCGACCTGGCAGCCCTTGAGCCCTCGGCTCATATTGGGTGGTTAGCAGGTACGGGGCACGCACCCGCACGACCACGTAAAACACACATGGTGGAAGTGACACAATCAAAGGAGGACAAAACTGGTCGCGTTGGGCTTATCATGTACGATGTTCCCTCGCCCACTCCTCCTTAAGCACAACACTGCTGCACTCCATGCACAGCGCGGGCTGGCCTGCACTGGAAAACCCTGCTACCTACCCTTCAAGAGTCTGCGTCACGGTCTAACCGACGCCTTGCTTGGCTTCCCTTGTTCACACCTCCACCCCTACCCACCTGCTCCTTCGTTACTGCAGCCGCCATTGCGAAACGCTCCTTGATGCCCGGCCCAAACTCCGGGTTGTGTGCGGACACCCAGGCAGCGTGCTCTTGCCACACCTCAAAGCCCTGTCGCATGGGGAACGGTCAACATGGTCAGCAGGCAGTTTCTCTTCACCTGCTAAACATTAAATTTGTTGTCAACAGAGAAAGGAAGACCAAAGGAAAATCCACAAAGGAAAACGCCATCGCCATCGCCACGTGCCTGTCTGTGGGTAGCCTTCAACGGCACGTGTTTCGTTCCGCCCGGTCTTGAGAAAATCAAAAGTTATGTCCCCCTAGGAATTTCATCATTTCCCCGAGAGGCAAAGAAAAAGACAAGCGGAACAGAAAGGCAAGAAAGGCACGAAGGAATTGGGGCAGTTAGGACTCGCCTGGCAGACCCGGAACACGCCCATCCAGTCAACAAACGTTCCGAGGCCCTCCCCCGACAGAGGTGCCGCCACCTCCACCTCCAAAGGCTGACCCAGCAGCTGCACTACCTGGGGAACAGAAAGCACATGGAAACATACATACGGACACAGGGAGACAGGCGGGCAGAGGGACAGACATGCACAGGGACAGAGAGGCATACAGGTCTACCAATTTTATACAAACACGTTGTTCCGCTGCCGATTACCTTGTTTAGTTTAACGGAGGACATGCAAACATATACACGGCAATGCTCGTTCCAAATGCAGAGAGACACACACACAAGTACACCCATGCAGCACCGCGACTGCTTCACGCCTCACTCCATCTGACCTGACCTTGGGGAACTGGGCCGACAAGGTATCGTAGATAGCCTTCCCTGTAGGCGGGTCAGCCAAAGCAAACGCATCCTTGGCTACCAGCCATCTGCCCAGCCGGCTGGAGCCGCGACTGGAGGGGTCCAACAGTACAGCACCTACTGCGCGTAGTACGGCCGGGTCACGGGCAAACCTGGAGGGGGAGGAAGACCGTGTGGATTGGGACGGTTGCCAGGTGACGCCAGGGTTGGGGTACTGCGTAGATAGGTGGTGGTAGTGCGCGGAAGTAAAAGGAACTATGGACGTCTAAAACATCGTATAACTTACGAGAGGTGAGGTTTATTGCTAGGGCGGTGCTAGGTAAACCTTTTCCTCTCCCAACACGCCGCTTCCATGGGCAGGCTCGTTCCACGCTTCCACCCCTCCCACACGTCCCCAAGCCCCAGCTTCGCACCAGCCCGGTGTGGTGAACGACGGAGCCAGCGCTGTGGTGCCACATCGAGCTACCCGGCCCCAGGTGGGCCTTATGCCCAGCAGCCCGCAAAAGGACGCGGGCACCCGAATGGATCCCCCGGTGTCGGTACCCAGACCAATGTCCACATCGCCACATGCTACCGCGACCTGCGAAGGTGCAGCCACATGCGCGCGGGTGCGAGGGTGCAGGCGCGCGGGGACAGGCTAGTGGCAGCCAGTCGGCGCGGCGCGCGGCGATGTGGACACTTATCTGGGACCGACATGTGACATCGGTGAGGGCTTTTTACTCGACGGTGCAAGAAACTTAGGCATCTTTAGCGTTATGTTTTACTGTCTTTGGTAGATGTCTTTAATAGTTTAAGAAAATCCTGAAATAAGGTTTGGTTTGGGTTTACGGAGGTATATTCCTGAAGGCGCAGTTCCTCGCCAAACCCCGAAATACCCGGCCCAACATGACTGAAGTAAGTCTTATAAGCATCGGCCTAGGAGTCCTTGCTTAAAGGTTCACATGGGCCTATAAAGTCACGGAAGACATACATACGTTACATATACAACATTGCTCAGCTACTTGTAAGCCGCCTGTCCTGTGGCCACTCCCTCTTTGTTTGTCAAGGAAAAGGAGACCATGTATGCTCAGGGCCAGGGTCGCCATGCAATGCATGCGTACAGCTAAACTATTGCGCGGTATTGTAGACAGGGAGTTTTAGCCGTGTGAAGCGCCGCGAGTGCTCCCATTTCCCTTGCATGTTGGATGACTGTAACAGGTCAGCCACAGATTTTCGCCAGGCATCCATGCTGTGACACGTCATCTTTCACATCACCCACCACCAGGGCTGTGCAGTGAGCACGGCGGTGCACAACAATCACATAGCGCAGGTTCGAAGTTCTGACACACGAAGCAAGTTTACGTATTCCCAGTTCAGGCTGAAGCAATTAATGCTGAACTTGGGCCTCGATCGACTGTCGGCCACGCGGGGCTTACACTGCAAATGCCGGCCCTTCGGGCCCCTCCGGGAGGGCCCCGAAGCCGTGCTTCGTGCAGCTCAAAATCCCTTCGATTCGGACTTCCGGGCAGCCCCACATCTCCTTCGCGCAAAACAAGGAAATCTCTAAACTATGCGGGCCCAAATCGGGGTGAAGAACCGTAAGAACCACCCCCACATATGCTGAGAGCGCGGTTGCATGGAACCATGCCCGGGGCAGTTGCAGCGGTGCGCTGACCGCCCTGTCCAGTTGGTAGGAAAAGAGAGAAACGGTGCGGCGAATTCCAAAGGTTCACTGCAACATAACAATATTCCGCACAGAACTGAGAAGCGACTGCCGAACAGCATCGAAGCGGTGGTCTTAAAGGCCGCCCTGCTCCGAATGCCAGCCCACCTTCATGTCTCTTTGCCCTTCTCCCCCCCCCTACAGGACACTTAGATCTTTTCCTGTGACTTTACATCTGACGGATTGTCCCACTTTCGTTGGGACTTCTTGACCTTCCCTAGGGCCCCTTGGCGCAGTGCTTGGGGCTTCTTGCTGACTCGCACTAAACCCTCCCTTACCCCCAGCCTTCCCCCGGCTGCACACGAGGAGAAGGTAAGAGGGGAACTAAGGATTCAAGGCGAGCGCGATGGAGGACGAGAGGGGGAGATATCAAAAGGGAGCACGGGGAAAGAGCTACGAAAAGAGCCCGAGTTGCAGCAGGTGGGCGCTAGAAAAGTTCAAGAACAGTGAAGTCAAAATGTAATGCTACACAACGAGGAGGAAAACGAGCTATGCGACTGGCTGGTCGTGCACCAGGCATCCATGCGGCACTTGCCATGGCCCCGTACCTTTCTCTCTCTCTCGCACACTCCCATCCTTGAAATCTTTCACTCGCAAGTAGGGTTGGCACTCATCTAAAGTCGTTTTTCTAATCTAATTATTTCTCTTGAGAATCTCAATGAGAATTTAGAAGGTCTTTTTTGGCACTTGAGGAGACGGTTGGGTCGTTATCTAATGTACGGCACTATAATTCTTTATAAATCTTTAGAAGCCATATATTTCCTTACTAGACACTCAGAACAAAATTGAATACCGAAAATGGCAGACACTAGCACTGCCCCAAACCAGGGGCAGAGCCAGGAGTCCGAAGATAAGAAACCGAGAGAGTACACGTATGCCAAGAAGAAGTATTCGATTCAGGCATATTATGAGAAGCTGCAAGAGGTGAAGAGGAGGAATTGTGCCGACTGGTGGAAGTTCTTCCTCGTTCTGCTGCTCGAGAACGAGGTCAGGAACGAGTGCACGCTTTGTGGCAAGACCTTCAGCGCTACCAACCCGTCGTCCGTGGCGCCTCAGCATATGAGGGATCACGCATCCAAGCCTCCGCTTCCGGCAGCAGGGGATTCAAGTTGTTCGGTCGGCATTGGTAGCAGTCTATGTCTGCTGAACTTGGCCAGCATGGGATCTTGATGGCATACCATGTCGGCTTTTGTGCATTGCCAGGGCTTAGGAATGATGATCTGGGCCCTGATTCGTTGAAACCTTAACCCTTAGGATATGGAGTTAAAGAAGCATCAAAGGGATAAGCGCCTGTGACGTGTACTCGACCGTCCAGTGTGCCCTCGCATGCTTTGACCCATGGGTCAATACTGTGGCGGAGTATAATGGCTTGTTTCTGTCGTGCAATTGTGCTTCGCAACGTCCCAAAACTTAATTATTGTAATAAATATACCATACAGAATCATCCTACAAAGTTTAAGAGCCAGTCATGCATTCCCAGAAAGCTGCCAAAACTTGAGATGAGAATCTAACCCATTCTATTGAGATCTAATGAGATCTCAATTGATTGAGATGAGAAGACTTCCGTTTCTAAACCTAGGGGCTACCCTACTCGCAAGAAACGTACTCTCAACCCGGGACCTCAAAACTCCATCTCATAGTCTTACCATCCGGCAGTATCAAAAGACGGCGCCAGGGGGCGTGCCCCCGCCAAACTCGTCCGGGCCCATGTGGGCCGTATACCGTACAGCCCGCAGTACGCCGCCGGCACTCGTACCGAGCCGCCCGTGTCACTTCCCAGCGCCACCGGCACGTCACCCGCCGCCACCGCCACCTGCGCCACCCCGGGGGCGCAAGCGCGTACCAGCGTGTGTGCGCGCGTGCATGAACGAGAGCTAGTAGAGAGAGAGAGAGAGAAAGAAAGAGACGCAGGTCTCGTGTGCAGTACGTACTGTGTACGATTGTACGGCGTTCGGGACATAGCCCGCGTGGGTCCAGAGCCGGAGCCAGCGCCGGAGCACCCGCTCTCCCTGCTCACCTGCTCTTTACTAGAAACGTGCAAATATCCTTCCTTAAGTTCGATAGCTCTGGCAAAGGACCTGTGAGGGCCACGTGCCTCAAACCCGAACTCCGCTAACGGCTGTCCCTTCCTTTCCATGTTCCTAACCAGGTGCTATTCCTTCCCTTGGCCGTCTCATACCACTACGGCCTAAAGAAATTTCTGCCTTCGAATGTTCACCGCCCGCATGAGCGCATGTTACTTGTGCCAACTCCTAATCCTATTTGTTTTCGTTCCAGGAGCCTTGGTTGCTGGGAAGCCTCCATGTTGACTGAAACATGACACGCTTTTGACATGCTGTGTCCGGCGCCCAATACCCTACCTGTGCCGGGACCCTGCCGCCCAGACGGGGACGCACATGCATCGCTGCAGAGACCTGTCGTGCGGCCTTACCTTACCTAGGTCTGTTTTATCAACTCCATACCATATGCAAGCACGGGACCAGGACCAGGACTGAGCGCAAACAGTAACGGCAGGGGTAAGGGTGCAGGCGCTCCTGGCCTTTCCACCCTCCCCCCAAAAAGGCCTTCGTGAATGTCCCTTGGAACTACATTCTGTATGTTGATAAAAAAATAACATATGGAGCGCAAAGACCATTTACCATTACCACAATACAGTTTAACTATATTAGAATTAAAACTTGCGTTGTATGTGGCGTTATTATAATCCTTCGCCGCCCAGTGGGGACGGGGGGCCTTGGTCTTTGCGACTCCCAACAGCTCTTTCTGCTGAGACAAAACAAAGGCTCCAGCAGCTGCTGCAGCTGCAGCTGCTGAGCTGTTCCTGTTAAAACACCGTCCCTTTTCCAAATGTGCGGTGTTTCATTTTCCATCAGACACGGGCATATCATCAGAGCATGATGAGGACCAGTCCTGGCGGGAAAGATCCAACCCCCATAAGAGACAGATACCGGTTGATGCTTGCCGGTTGACGAAGCCAACCGACCCACCGCCAGAAGGGCTCCTCGCTCGCTGCTCTTGCCCCATATCGCATCGCCAAACGCCATAAACTTGTCAGGCAGACATGGCAAGTCGTCTGTGCATGTATGTACGAAATGTCGTACAGGGTGAACCTGTATAACCTACCGCGGATCCCGACGAAGAGCCTCCCGGGATGCGTCCCGGCGCGGCGGGGTTGATCGGCGTGCCATAGTGGATGTTTTCGCCGTTCAAGCTGTACGCCAGCTCGTCCATGTGCGTCTTGCCGCGTAGTGTAGCGCCAGCATCCAAAAGAGCCTTATGAGGGCACGGGCGCGTGTGCGGGGGGCATGCACGTGAGACCCCAAATGTGTGTGCGGGGAGGAAATACAGGGTAAGTAACAAAGGGTCAACTGTCCACTTCCAAAGCCGATGCCCACTTTGGGAGAAAGGGGCACAGGGCAGGGGCCAGGCAGGACATGGACGGTATGTGGGGATTGCAGCCCGTCAGGGATACGGGAAATTGGTCGCCACCACTTATCCAGGTACGGGGCATTTCAGAAAATGTGCTCCATTCATGGTGGTTCGGGTGGCAGCCCCACGTGTCCATACGTGTCCTTCAAATGCAAGCCTTTGCCATTGATCCCGGTCCTCCCTCCGTTGGCGATTTGTATACCTGTACAGCGGGCGCCGTACGTTCGGCCGGGGGGTGCGTCTCCAGCCAGACGGGGTTCCCAAAACCCGTAAGGTGGCCGGCCACCTGCGAGCCACCGCGGTAGGAACTGCTTAGTTGCTTAGGTAAGAACTTAGCCAACTTTAAAGGGTACATTCCTACGGAGGACTCCGGACCTGAGACGGAGAAAGGTCCAGAGGGAGTGATGGCGCGCGAGGGGGTTATGCCAGTGCGCTAAGGAGTCGGAGCGCGGTCTCATAGATGCGGATATTATGTTATGGTTGCATCATCATTAGGAGCTACGGTAGGAGGTATGGTGTGTTGGCCTAGACACACAATCCAGACACGCAAACCCGGCCATTACCCGACGATGGGGCCACCGAGTGCAAGGTCTAAAACATGTAGCCCCGAGCAGCGTTGATAAGTCCCCACAAAATCATACGTGTACACGAACAGCGTGCTTGCAAACACGGGTGCTGGGGGACTAGGGCCTTGCTTACGTCGAAGAGGTCCTTGACTGCAAACGCCAGCCCTTTTAGCGGCCCATCCGGTGCTCCTTTCACGGTTAAGGACTTGTCAATATAGGCATTGTAAGGATCGCTTGGGTCGCTGCCACTTGCGTACAGCTGCGTGCTACGCATGGACCGAGGAGATCGCCAAGGGCTTGGGCGATGCCCTGGCACAGACAAGCCGCAGGAAAGCAGGAGGCTTGCCAGTGAAGATGTCGCTTTAACTTAAAGGCTATTTACGTCCTGATCAACAAGGCCTGATCACCTGCAATAAAAGTTACGGAGCTCCAACCAGCGCAACACTGTGCAGATGCTGCCCGCGCAAAGGACCGGTCCAACCTCTTAAGATGAGACTGCATTCCAGCGCGCAGCCCGGGTCTCTCTGAGTAAAACACTTTGCAAAATAATATAACTATGGCACCGGTATAGTTAACGCATAAGAATCATAATCTGATGCACTTTCTGAAAGCTGGATGTATGCAACTCCTCATAAGAGCGAGCCTCCGCTCACCTAGTTACGAAAAACGGTTGGTCGTTGCAACGTACCCGTACAAACGCAGTGTAACCTGTACGCTGAGCCTTACTGCTATCGACGAGCGGCTGTTGTACTGGCAATAGGCATGCTGATAGAGGCTCCTCCAGAACCTTTTAATTAATCTGCTAGGTAGGAAGTGGCCCGAACTATTAGTATGCCTCGCGCCTGAGCGCGGGCGCAACGTAACTATGCATCCACTGCGTCAAGCAGCGGTGATCGTGCCTTTGCTGCTCCTGGTGCAGTCAGCTGTTGGTGTCCGGAGGCGTTTGGCATCGGTAACAGAACCCCGTGCGACGTTTGCGTTGCCAAACTTTACAGTCTATCACCGTCAGGATGAACTCCTGCGTGAGGTTGTGGATATCGTGAATGCAAACCCCGGGTTCATGAAGGCAAGCAGAGCGAGTTTCTTGACCACGTTATTTGTTTCGATTTACAAGCTTCTTGAGCTGCTCATTTCATTCTTGCAATTATGTAGATGGACGCTTTCTCGGAAAGGGACGGTGCCTACGATGCGGAAGTGAAGGTCTGTGTCTGACCTGGGTTTAATTCGGTGCCTATTTTGACAATCAACTTTTATCATTTTGTGTTCCTGTCTTGCTTTCGTTATTTTGCAAGCGGCAACAATCGTTATTCATCCCCAAAGCACAACTTCCTGTTCCCCCTCCCCACTGGCCAACTCCCAACCCGAAACTCCCCAGGTGGTTACGATCGAGCCAGGGGGCTTTACAAATCGGCACCATGAAAAAGTCCGTATGCTGCTGGTAAGCTATTTCTCCTTAACTGTCGCTGAGCGTGGGTTACGTCCCGAAGCCACCCCTAACACCTCAAAGCTGCTTTTAACATAGAATGAGCATGGCTTGTTCCTGTGATTGCTGCATGCCGTCCTTCCCGCTACCATTTGACCACCCCAGCCGGCCTTCACAGGTTACCGCCCCTTCTCCACAACGTACCAGCTTGTACCCGCTGCGTCGCGCCCTGATACCCGGTGCATCACGTGACCCTTCCAGAGGCCATACCCTCCACCCTCTCCGCATCCATTCTCACGCACATTCCAGCCCAGGCATGGGCCCCGTTACGCATACACCCGTATCGCTCATAGGCGTTTCCGACCTGGGTCACCGTAATTGCACCCTGCCCGGTAGGATTTCGGCGAGCACGGCCGCGAGCTCATCAGCAGTGAGCTAGGTCTCCTACTGCTGAAGACGTTGGCCTCACGTGAGGGCGTCTTGGGGGTGTTCCCTGGGGAGTTGGATCGGGCGCAGGAGCTACGGCGGCTGCTGGGAGGGACGATAATCAAGGTAGGTTGCATCGGGGAGATGAGGGACAAGGGACAAGTGAGCCCCAGGCGTTACCATGAGAGGAAACGGGTAACTGACACGTTAACCCGTTAACCCGGCGGGCATGATACCTGGAACGGGGTCCTGGAGTGCTGCTGGGCGGGAATTGAGATGCGGAGAGACTTGTGTTGGGAGCGCAGGGTGGCAAGCCAGCGATTGCCAGCAAGGGTTGGATCCGCACACTGGGGGCGTGGAGTGGATCCATATTCGGTGGGCGGAGTATGCCATTGCGTATCGCACTTCGGCAGTCAGGTCGACATCACGCATCTTCATATCCCTACACATACATACATACACGTCACCCACGCAGCTAGCTGCGTGACACCCATGCTGCACCATCGTCACCAGGTCCTGCCCATGGAGAACGAGGGCGGCCGGCGGCTGGTGGAGGCTGGGCGGTTGTGTGAGCGCAAGAACGGCCGTGGAGTGGATCCCAACCGCAACTGGGAAGTGGACTGGGGCACGAAGGAACCTGACTATGACCCCAACGAGGAGTACCCGGGAACGGCGCCCTTCAGGTGGGAATTTGGAAGTGGAAATGCGGGACCTGGACGCAAGCGCTGACCCACGGGTTAATGCGGGACGGAGGGCCAGCACATTGCAACCATTGCATCCTTACGCTGAGCCCACATTCCTTTCTCATGCTATGCTGCACGCTGTGTGTGTTCCTATGCTTCTCTTTTGATCTGCTGCTGCTTCTGGCTGTTCTCTTGCTGTTCTCCTGGCTGGTTTCGCTCCTGGCGGAACATGTCCTGTCCTCAGCGAGCCCGAGACGAAGCTCCTTCGGCAGCTGGCGGAGGAGTTCAAGCCGCACGTGTGGCTTAATATTCACAGCGGCATGGAGGCCATGCTGGCACCTTGGGACCATGTGGCTGAGGTACGCGCGAGCGTGTGGGAGGCCGCTCCGACTGCTCCGTGTCCAACCCCGTCTTGGACTCGCGGCTGTGCCTAAATTTTAATGTGAGAACTCCCCTCGCCACCACCACAGATCATGTAGTATGACATCCTTTTTCCCCGTGGCGCACTTGCGCAGATTGCCCTGGAAGCCCGTCCTTCGGTTGACATCCTGCAGCGGATCTTTCAGGACGTAATGACCAACACCACCTGCGTGGTGGGGTCGGGAGGAAAGACCGTTGGGTGAGTGTGTGGGACAGGCACGTGTGGGTGCGGCTGGGCTCAGCTGGCGGTGAAGATTGCCCCGTGTGCCGAGGCCGATGGAGGGTTGGTCCAGCTTGGGGAGACCAAGCAAAGAAGGCGCATTAGCCCCCGGAAAGGGAGGACAGGGGAGCTGTGAAAGAGCCGATGGATGCAGGGTTGGGGGGTTAGGTAGATTGGGGGGTGCCAGAGCGTCGTCTGTGCTTGCGTGTGATCCAGTCAAACCTTACCAGACGCGCCGCCTAGTTACACGCCATATTAAGCCTGGCAAAAAATGTTCTCCCTAAATAATAGGAAACAAGAGCACACATCTCGACGTCTCTCCTTGGAGTCCGAGACGTCGAGATGTGTGCGCATGTTTCCTAATATCCCCTCACGAAATCATCCTCCCGCACCCCACCACACACTGTTTAGCAGATTGGGTTACAAAAAACCCGCACAGGCCGTTCGCAAACGCGTTCAGACGCGTTTTTTTACATGTCTTTGCGCCTTCAGCAGTTTCTCCACCACTCTTTCCCAACCGGCGGGATACCCCGCCGGGATCTGGTGTTTCCTGCCCGCAGCTACCTGGCCCACGGGACTGCGACCGACTACATGTTTAAAATACTTAAGGTGCCCATCGCGTACACCTGGGAGATTTATGGCGACTTCAAGGCCCACTTCGACGACTGCTTCCGCATGTTCAATCCCCTGGACGAGGAAGGCGTTAAGGTAGGCGCATTTTCCTGGCCCATGCAGATCAACTCAACTCCTCTGTTCGGACAGGAATTTCACTTAATCCTACCTGCTATGCTCAGCCGCCCACTCATAAAACCCCCGTATTCCCATACGCCCACTTCAGCCTGCGTGTTCCCTATCGTTGCGTTCGATGCCCGTCCTATACCTTAACGGCGGCGGCCTGTACTCCTTGCCTGACGCCCTGTCCCTGCCCTGTTCCCACTTTCCGACACACATAGCGACACACGCACTATGCGACACCCGACACTAACACACATGTACACTGACACAATTATTGACGCACATACCGACGTACACTTTCAGGATGTGTTGCAGCGCTGGCTGAGGGCCATAATGCGGCTGGTGGAGCTGATGCCCTCTCACCCAGCATTGAAAGACTCCAAGGCCTGGACCTTACCTAGCAGTGGAGGCGGCGGCGGCGACGGCTCCGCTAGTGGTTGGACTGCAGAAGCCGGCGGGGCTGAGCTTACACATCAACACGGCAGCGACGGGGGTCAGGGAAACGTGCAGGGTGGTGGCACGGCGCCCACTACGGGAGCCGGAGCCACCACCAGCAGCACCACCAGCACCACCAGCAAGACCTCCAGTACCACCGGCAGTACCACCACCAGCACCACCAGCACGACCACAGCGGGGTCGCAGCAGGAGGATGGACCGGCCACGACGGCTGGGGCCAGCAGCAGTAGTAGTAGCAGCAGCAGCGGCGGGAGTACAGATGACCAGCCCCGCATTGCTGTAGTGGCGTCAGTTAAGGATTGGGGCAGCAACTGGAACGCGCAGCTGTCCAGCGGCCTTCTGGCAGTGCTGGGGCTAGCGGTCGTGGGCATGCTGGCGTACAGGTACGGCATTCGTCAAGGCGGAGGAGGAGGGCTTGGCGCTAGCGGCAGCGGCGGGTCGGGGATGGGTGGTAATGGCGGCAGCAGCGGCCATGGCCGCAGGTCGTCGTCCTCATCAGCGGCTTACGCTGTGGCGTCCGATTTGTCTTCTGTTGCAGCAGCCGTTAGCAGCTTGGGCAGTGGGGGCCTTGCCGGGCGTAAAACTAATCGTGCGAGCGCCTGAGCAGAGGGGGGTTTTCAAAACACGTGCGTGTGTTATTGTTATGACGGTTTCGGAGGTTGTGTTGCGGATTTGGGAGAAATGGTTTCGGAGCCGAGGCTAGGATGGGAACATGAAAAGTAGGGCTAAGTGGCTTTATTTCTTTCCATTCGGATCGTTATGTGAATGGAATCGCAGCGCTTGGCCTTTGTAAGGTGACCAGGATTTTCCATAGCATGTGAAGAGCTTACAATTGTTGTGATGATGGCGATAGAGTGCGTGGGTTGCGGGGATGCTCACACGCAGCACGGGTGTGATCAGCAGCTTTTCACTTGAAATACAAGGACTTTTGTAGCCCTTTGGTCTGTTGCGCCAGGGGCCTATGGCCATCTATTTGCAGGATGAGGAAGGTGTGGCGAAGTAGAGTTTTATCATGCGCTGCGTGCGGTTGGGACAATGATGCCGAGCAGCTGATTAAGGATCAGGAAAAGACACACCGAAAAACTTCCAAACTATCTGATCGGCGAATTAACGGAGACCACACATCTGGGGACCTGGTGTAGGGGGGGATGTAGTTTACAAAATTGGAAATTGGAGGGGTCCTACATTGGAGGGGGATCCTACATGTTCATGCGAAAGCTAACATGCGCGTTTTACCAGCCAAGCACGCGCGGCTGGGCGATAAGAGGTCAACGCGCGAATGGGAAATGACCCAGTATTGTGCCTCGTGTGTGGTGTATGTACCCCACCTGCTGCTCAAACTCCCGCCACTCCCTCCGCCCCCAGGTGCCTCTCACGTCAGGGTGAGGACCCGCGGCGGGCGCGGGGTTCCGGCTATCAACCTGTCTGAGGTGGTCCGGCCTCGAGCAAACTCGGCGCCCGTGATGCAAGAGCTGGAGTATGGGAACCTGTAGAGGGCACGGGTAGAAAACCTCACCAGACGGGTTGCATGTGTGCATGCGTGAATGTTTACATGTGGTCATGGGAGTGGACACTTGCGGTGCTCTGGCCACATTCCAACCGAGTTTGCAACCGCGACGGTGGTGGTATTGACCACATTTGTGATCATCCTTGGAAAACTTGCGGGCGCACGTAGTAGATATATGTGTACGAAGGTACAATTGACAGCTGATCCGTGCTGCTTTCCTTGCTGGAGTGGCCCCAGGACGCAGGACTGCGTTTTGGCGGGGTACCATTTGGGTATCTTGGCTGCCACAGCGACTGGGCAGCATCCCACTCTTTGATGCTATTTCCCCACATGTGTGAGGAGAGACATACGTACAGACACCTGACCCCGGCAGTGACATCAGGAAGTGACGCACGTGTACGATGGCAGGGAGGCAGGGTGGGTTCCAGGTTTGCGCTGCATGGAAGGTCAGCGCGTCACACTCACACTCAACAAAGGTTGCGTGGAGGGCGTTATGGATGGGCGACTGTTTGGATGGTGCTTGGACTGAACACAGGGCCCTAGCCCTGCCCCCGGATTTGCGACCTTGCCGTGAGCATGCCGGGGCCCGCGGTCGGCTGACGGTGTGGACTTTTCATTGATGCTATTTTGCGGAATCCAATCTAACAGCTTTGGAAATGGCGGAATTGTTGGCGAGCGCAAAGACGCTTTGATTGGGACAAATAGAAGACTGATAGAAGACCGGCCCTAATTTGCACGTTTTAAGAGGGCGGCGGATTTGTCGTACATATGCTGACCTACTCCGCTCTGCAAATGGGAAAGATTTTGAGGTGTGTGCTTACAGCGCAGCCGCATCTGCTGGCTAAAACACCGGCAGTAAGCCCTTGAGGACCGACAGCCAGGGCAGGCCCTCCTATACAGGCAACCGGCGACGCAATTTGTTTCATGCGTATCCAGTGCCGCCGAGTATGTTCATGTTGCATGACACACCCACGCCGCAATCTGAAGCCTGACAGAACGCGAGTACGCCAGTTACCAGCCCAAGAAGCCGGTTGCAGGCCAGAGACAAGCACACGCAGTACGTCTTGCACACAATTCAACGGTAGTGCAAGGGGATATACTCGCACTGGGATCCGACCAGCTCCTGCTGCTAACCTGTCAGGTCACTTGACTCCCAATCCTGATGCTAACTACTCCGTGTAAACCATACGGAAGCGAGGTCGCACGGGGATTCCTGTGGTCAACTCTGGCGTAACCGGCCCTACGCATCCCGCCATGTATCCTCTACACTATTATATATATGACCAGGAAAAGCCCCTTGCACGTATCCTTCCTTCAAGCCCTCCACGCCCACGCACATGTCGCCCCCTGTCCATGCATGCCTTTTGTTGAATGCGATGCGCACCCTCCTAGCTCTACACTCCGAGTCGAAAACCTGCCCCTCCCTCTCTGCCTTTCTAACACACTCCGGAATGTACAATATTCGCAACTCGCTGTCCTCCCCCCTGTTTCCCAAGTACTCCCTCGCGGCAATTCGGAAGGAGGGCCTACGTGCCACGGTACAGAAAGTACCAGCATCAGCAGCCCGCCGCACCGACTCAATGGCCCCTTTGGCGCATGCCCCACGTGCCAAGTATGTGTGCCACCAACGCCGCCACCTCACACCGCCACTAGCGGCAGCGTCCCCGGCGCCGCCGCTCGGCTGCCCACCACCTCCGTCAGCGTCCCAAACAGGCTGAACGCGTTGCACTGATCGATCCGCGCCAGAACCAATTTGCCGCGAAGCTCGTTGCCATCGCCGTCAAAGTAGACGAGCTTGTTGTGGCGGATGCGACCAAAGGCCTGACGGGGATTCTTGGGGTTGGGCCCCTCCACGAGCACCTCTAATGTACGGCCCTGGAAGCGCTGCGCTCGCTCCGTAGCCACATCCATAACCACCTTGTTGAGCCTGATGGCGTCAGGCATGGGGGTTTTATAACAGGGCGGGGTCGGCAAAAAAACGCCCAGACGAGAACGCCCGGATTCTTCTGCAGAACTGCTCCTTGCCATTTCCCTGCCTGCATCGCTGCCCTTATCAGCCCACTGGCAAAAGAGGCAACGGCACGGTAGAGCGCTAAGCGACGGAGATGAAATTGGCAGGAAGTCTGATGATAAAAGTAATGCGCTAGGAAGGCGCGGCGACAGGCAGGCTAGGCAGAGGCCTTTTTCCGCGCAAGACGCACCTGCTTCCTCGACATCGACTATCCCCCCCATCCTCTTCACCTGTTAAGTCGGTCTTGCTTTATGAGGTCCGCCACCTGGTTATCCCATTCGGCAGCTGGCGTGTTGGGGCGAGGCGAGTAGGCGGCGGTGTTGACCCGGTCAAAGCCTACCTCACGAACCAGCCGCTCGGTGGCCAGGTACTGCTCCTCTGTCTCACCTAAACGGACAACAGCCAGAAATTAGCACACATCCTCAAAACGGTGGATGAACTATAAGGCGCTGTAGCAGGCAAGAGCTCAAAGCCGCTGACCCCAGTCGCGCACGGGAGGTGCGGCGGGCGTGATGGTCAAATAGGTGAGGTCAACACAGCCATCCAGCCAGCCAGGCCAGCCAAACAGACAGGCAGATTGACAGTACCAGATACGGGTGGTCTCCATCGCGAGCTAAACTCCACGGCACAGCTACTCAGCCAGCCACAAGCTATCCAGCCAGCCAGCCACATGCTTAGACAGCCAGCCAGCCACATGCCTAGACAGACAGACAGACAGCCACCCGCCTAGACAGCCAGCCAGCCACATGCCTAGACAGACAGACAGACAGCCACCCGCCTAGACAGCCAGCCAGCCACATGCTTAGACAGACAGACAGACAGCCACCCGCCTAGACAGCCAGCCAGCCACATGCCTAGACAGACAGACAGACAGCCACCCGCCTAGACAGCCAGCCAGCCACATGCCTAGACAGACAGACAGACAGCCACCCGCCTAGACAGCCAGCCAGCCACATGCTTAGACAGACAGACAGACAGCCACCCGCCTAGACAGCCAGCCAGCCACATGCCTAGACAGACAGACAGACAGCCACCCGCCTAGACAGCCAGCCAGCCACATGCCTAGACAGACAGACAGACAGCCACCCGCCTAGACAGCCAGCCAGCCACATGCCTAGACAGACAGACAGACAGCCACCCGCCTAGACAGCCAGCCAGCCACATGCCTAGACAGACAGACAGACAGCCACCCGCCTAGACAGCCAGCCAGCCACATGCCTAGACAGACAGCCAGCCAGCCACCCGCCTAGACAGCCAGCCAGCCACATGCCTAGACAGACAGACAGCCACCCGCCTAGACAGCCAGCCAGCCACATGCCTAGACAGACAGACAGACAGCCACCCGCCTAGACAGCCAGCCAGCCACATGCCTAGACAGACAGACAGACAGCCACCCGCCTAGACAGCCAGCCAGCCACATGCCTAGACAGACAGACAGACAGACAGCCACCCGCCTAGACAGCCAGCCAGCCACATGCCTAGACAGACAGACAGACAGCCACCCACCTGGGAACCCCACAATGGCGTCTCCGCTGATGGAGGCATCCGGCATGTACCGCCGGATGTTGTCAATGATTGCCCGGTAGCGCTCGTGTGTGTATCCGCGCTTCATTTCGCGCAGGATGTCGTTGTCACCCGACTGGAACGGGATGTGGAAGAACTCGCACAGCTTGGGCAACTCCGCGCACGCGCGAACCAGTCGGTCTGTGTCCAGTTGCAGAACAGATCGAGCGGCGCGGGGCGTGGGAGTTACACGCGGAATTATTAAAGCAGCGGGTCGTGAAGCTCTGGTGACGCTCAAGGCGCAAGATGGGGATAGGCCCAGATGGAGCAGGAGAACGGAAGGGAGCGCGATGGGGCCACGAGAGCGCAGCAACGTCTTCATTAGGTACTTTTGAAACGAAGGACGCGAAGGAAGCTCCTCAAGCCCATAGCAAGGATATTCTTCACCCTCCCTCTCCGCCTAGCCCTCCTCACGCACATGGGGCCTCATACCACAGATCACAAATACATTTTTTTAAGATAAAGAAACGCTACTTGCCCGTAAAGTAGCGGGGGTGGGAGGTGGCGAAGCGGATGCGCTCGATGCCGGGCACGTCGTGTACGTGGCGTAGCAGGTCGGTAAAGGTCCAGGCGCGGCGGCCGCTGGCGTCGGCAGCCAGGCCGGGAAGATCCCTGTTGGCGGGGGGAGCGGCGGCGGCCGAGAGGGCGGCGGCGGCGGCGGTAGTGATTGGGGTTGTAGTGGTAGTCGGTTTGGTGGTGGCTGTGGGATGATGTATGATTACAGTCATGGTACCGTTCCTAGTACGAGGTGGGCAGTCAGGTATGTGGTTCACGCGCTCCAAACCACTCAAACCCCTAACCCTGGCCTTCGACAGAAGAAATCATACAAGAAGCTATATCATACAGAGACCATACATGTCGTACCTGCCGTACGCGTCGATGTTTTGGCCCAGTAGTGTCACCTCCTTGTACCCAGCCTCCCCGAGTGCCAGCATCTCCCGCCGGATATCGTCCGGCCGCCGGCTCTGCTCCGCGCCGCGGGTGTACGGCACCACGCAGTACGTGCACTTCTCGTTGCAGCCGTAAATTACGTTGACCCAGGCGGTGATGTTTGACTCGCGTCGCGGCGTCGTGATGTCTTCCTCCACTGCCACCTAAAAACACGGACCCGAAGCAAGACGGAGCCGAACATCACCAATCACCGCCCGGACGACGCGCCTCCCCACCATAACCACGACTGAACAAAAGCTTCTTCACTCCGAACACTCGCACAGTATTACGGGGAAAAAGGTCAGGTGCCTCTCTCGCTTTCTGGAGCCGTAATGTAACGTTGTGTGCCATCACTGTCCCCAACCCGAGTTACCACGTGTTTGTGGGAATCCGTGACCCCATACTAGTTTACCAGCAGTAAAGAGTAAAGAATTCATCCTAGAGGCATTAAGAGTCACCCGGTCATCCTAAAATGCATTTGCGTCTAAATTCCTTTTCCATGTTTACTCCACTAATCACCCCTTCTCCCACTTCCGCTGCTCGTAGTAGCCGATACACAGTACGGCACACATAACGTCTACATATACGCGCTTAGCGCGTCCACCAGCATCTCGAGAGGCCTTTCCAGCGGGGCCAGCTACTACACTGCTCCCCTGCGCCGCACCTGTTCTGTCGCGCATACTTGAGCATCGTTAGCTTGGTCCAAAAGGTCGTGAATGCGGTTGGCGAATTGGGGACCTGGAGCGGTGTGGTAGTGGTAGGAGAGGGCGGAGGGAATTTTAGTAAGTGAGAGGGGGTTGTTGCTGGATGCGTGGGTGACGAGGCGACACACGGAAAATGATCGCACGAATCAGCTGAATGCATAAATGAACATGGAAGTGGCGCTTTCAAAATAGGGAGATGTAGGGAGGTGTATGTTTCCTTCCCAACCTAGCACCGACTCATCACAAAGTCATATACATCCAGCTCCGAAACCCGCCTCAGCCCACGCCTACCCATCACAATATCCAGCTCCGAAACCCGCCTCAGCCCACGCCTACCCATCACAATATCCAGCTCCGGAACCCGCCTCAGCAGCGTTTGGCCCTCCTGCTGGGCCACACAACCCGCCACCACAATCTTCAGGTCGCCCACTCGGTCTCGTTTGCGCTTGGCCTGATGGGGAGTATGACGGCAGGTTGGCGGGCGGGGCGGGTGCAGAAGTGAAGGGGTGCCGAGGTGGGGGACAAGACAACCTACAAGTGGCGCTACAAGTAGCATCGGAACGTGAAACGGCCCCGGGTCCTGGGGTGAAGGAAAAGGCGGGGGACAGTGTACAGCAGGCAAGAGCCCTTCTGCTGAGTCAAAAGCCCAGGAGTGCACGGCACAGCGCAGGGAAGAGCCGCACAGCGCAGAGAGCAGAGGGCAGCGCAGTGAAGGACAGTGTAAGGCAGGGTATGTGACCTGGAGGCCCCGGTGGCCCCCGTGAGGAGGAGCCCAGCGCGCTGCGGAAGAGAAGTTACTATTACGTCAAACATTTCTGGTTTAGCAGCAAACCTAGCCGTTCCAGGGTTATTTCTTACAGCTCTCCTATTACATATTAAACCGCCACGTACCTCACAACCGCAAATGGCGCCAGCAAAACTTCTGGCATGCGTAGCACACCAAACGCATGCGTTCGAAAACAGATCTGAGAGCTGTGGGCAGGACGTTTTTGTGATAGATGCGCGTGTGTATCCTAATGATCCACCGTACCGGGTTGGGTGCATTGCCATCTAGAAACCGGAACCCACAACCCCAAGCCCAGCATGTCTGGCTCACAAAGATCCTCTTGAAGCCCAGGTCCCGGGTCCCCGTCCCACTTCATCACCTTCTTAGGGTTTGCTCTGCCTCCCATACCCGCAACCGACGTAGCCCCGCACCGCATTCCCATCCTATATCACACACATCAGCGTTATGGCCACGTCATGCTGACCCGGGTAAGGCAATCCAGGACACCCCAGTTCGAACCCTGCCCAAAGCCTGCTAGGTACATATGGTAAAACACGACACACACACACACACACTCTTTTAACACTCATAAATCAAAATTCCACCCGCCTCACCTGTTTCCCAAGTGCCGAGTAGACCTTCTGTTCCGCCTTCTCTCGAATGGAACACGTGTTGTAGATGAGCACATCCGCCTGGCTGGCGTCCTGGCTGCACTCGTAGCCCACCGCCTCCAACACACCAGCCATGCGCTCGCTGTCCGCCATGTTCATCTGGAGTTAAGGGAAGAAGAAACGATGTTGGGCTTGGGTTTATTTGGAAGGTTCCTTGGTGCCGAGCGTGACACGACTCTAAGTGGACTTTCAGGGTATTCATCTAGCGCAGAGATGAATACCCTGACAGTCCACTCATCAGGGTATTCATCTCCGCGCTAGCCCCCCAACCCGGGAGGCTTTCCTGGCCTCTGGTGAGCACGGGCATGCAGATCTTTAAGACCAAAAAAGGTCAACTACCAACCGCCAACCGACGGGCTGCCTTCCTCTTCCACTTCCTACCCCTTAAAGACCTGCTCTGAAGCTCTATGCCGCCCTGGGCGGTACTACTGCTGCCGCCCTGGGCGGTGCTACTGCTGCCGCCCTGGGCGGTGCTACTGCTGCCGCCCTGGGCGGTGCTACTGCTGCCGCCCTGGGCGGTGCTACTGCTGCCGCCCTGGGCGGTGCTACTGCTGCCGCCCTGGGCGGTGCTACTGCTGCCGCCCTGGGCGGTGCTACTGTTGCCCCCGCTGCTGCAGCTATCGCTGCCTGCTCTGCTCATGTTCTCCGTGTCTCAGACGGGGCTTGGGTGATCGGTCAACCTCTCGTCCTCCCGCGTCGCCACCCCCCTTCCTCCCACTGATTAGGGACCCAACGTCGTCGCTAGGTGGCCATCCCACCGTCGCTAGGAAGGGCAGGGAAATATCTGCAGCTAGCAGCCTGGGTGACTTGCCTGGCACCCGAACGTGTGGATGAAGAACTTCTTGCCGTTTTTGGGAATGCCCTCAGGGGCCTTACGCACAAGAACTTGACCTGCAAATGGACGGAAGGAAATGGCAGGGGTATCGGGATAAGATAGGTTTTGTGGGCTGTGGACTGTGCATGTAGTAGCGTGTCTGCGAGGTTGTGAAGGCGATGTGGGGGCATAGCGGGGAGGGGAAAAAAAGATGCGGGGTAGGAGGGACGGAGTGCAGTTTGGAGCCAGCTCAGCCAAAGGAGCGAGGAATTTGAGGGAGCTTAGGCACTATTGCGTAAATAACTTGACACATAGTTTGCAGGGATGGGAGTTTGGATGACGGATGCTGATAAGCGGGTCGGGCATATGCTCTGCGCGCTAACCATTAGCCAGGCATTGGCCGAGGCTTGAACCGAGGGAATAAGATTTTCCCCCATACTTAATAAGTTTCAATATAATTTGTGATACGCATGCGTAACTTCTCCTGCACAGACAGCAGTTCGCCCTACGAACCCCGTGCTTTTTCCCGAATCGCGAAAGAGCCTCTCACTGCGGGGAGGAATAACGTGTTGACGTCGCTAAGCTCTTCGGTTTCAACCTACCTTCACTGCCGCAATACGTAGAAGCCTCTGACTCCGCTACATCAAGGAGCGCCGACGCCGTCAGCCCACCAAAGTCCGCTGTCGCTGTAGCAGGTAGCTGCTGCATGTGTGCTGCATTACAAGGAAAGGTGCTTTTACCGCGTGTCCTAAACGGGGCTAGACAAGAGACTGAGCGGAGCAATATGTGTTGTGGGACACGCCCACATTGCTGCCGCTGCTGCAACGCACTACCTAACATCTTATTTTTAGTGGATATAAATGTTCGGGAGATAATTAAATGGGTTGCTTAGCCCTAACAAATAAAGCAAGCAACGCGTATCGCACACAACTTCAACCCTCCTGTTAAATTTTCCGTTTTGATAGTATGGCACTAAAACAAAACAATCTTTCCAAGGCAGGTCCAAGCCAGCTGTTGGACTCAAATTAGCTCCGAGACCAAAACATGGACCGGAGTTTGATGCCAGAAGCTTTATGCCATCGCTGCAAACAAGTAATATAACTATTAGCTGCCCGTCAACCGTTTATAGAGAAACTATCATTACTAAGACCTGGAAAGGAGCGCCTAATCGCATGTTAGAAATTTATCCAGCTCCATTAATCTTCTTCTCAATTTTGTGTTTGGTGCTTTAATACTCTGCTTCCCGGTTCTAGCCGTGAGGGTGTCGCGCAAACTTCTTACCGTTATGGGGGTAGGGGGGGTCACGTCGGGGCGCCGGTTCCCTCTTCTCTTGTCCCAAGCTCCCAACCTTAAAAAAGCACGCTTGAAAACTGCTGATGCTATATCGCGACGATCCCAGCCTTTGAGACGATCCACGGGAAAAAAATTGCACGGTTGCACGATCCGCGGTCTGCTGGTATGCGACGAGGCGTGGGATTAACTCCTAGAATACGCCTGGGGGGCGGTATCTGATACATAGCGCAAATGACGGACGGAGCTCAAGCTCAGAAACGGACTCCTTGCGCGTGGCCGGGATACCTTTTTTTGAAGACTGCTGCATCCCTACCTGACCGTCCCCCAACATCATGTATGGGGTCAAGGTTATCACGCTCCATACCGCCACATACACGCACATATCTTACATGAGTTTGCAGGACATTAAAGCTTTAAAATAATACCTACAGCCGGAACTGTGGCTACCCCCAAAATGGACACCAAAAGCTGCAACGCCGTAGCCAGACCGCCGAGCCCCATACGGCACGCCAAACTGGAGGCAGAGTATGTACGATATGCCACATCACGTTGCTACTCGATTCCAATGGACCAATCGGACAGGATTCAACAATCCAATGGACGGGTTCCAAACGGACCACAGCCGAACTGGAACCCGCTAAGATGAGTACCGCGAAGTAACACGCATCTAAGACCCCTTGGTACGGTTATACAAGTAGACCGGATAAACCTAGCCTTTTTATTGCATCATGGATACCTAGATTATCAACCATGCCGGTTATCCGCAAATACGGAACGTGTCTAAAGCCCGAGCTGTTGATCTGAACGGAGCTTTTTCGATGGCTGCGTCCCTAAAGCTGTTGCCAAGCAAGGCGACACATCAAGGCCATTCAGATAGATGCTTCCGTATGTGGCGCACATTCGTACTGCGGTAACCTTCGCATTCCTCCACAAGCACCTTTCACCGACTAAAAAACGACGCAACAAAAAGCAGAGCACTACGGGGTTGCTGTACGGATATGAGTTCGGCACAAGTCGACAGCGATGCATACCAGCGCACACAGCACCCTGCCAACACCTTGATCAACGTTCCTCAAGAACACGCAATAGCTGCCCCCGGTCGCTTGGAGCAATGAGGAACTCACTGCCAAGCCCGTTCGTTCAGTCCTTTCTCAAAAATCTTATTTCGCAAAAATGTAACGGGCCGTAAGAAAGCAAAGTTAGATCTCAAGCTCTCGCTCCTTTATACAAAGGGTGCTCATATTATTGACGTTCTTCCTGGATTTCCCGACCATTTAGTAAAGCAGCTGGGTTTCAGTCAGGTCACGCAAGCACACGGCAGAAATGGTAAGAATACGGCCGCTGTGAGTATGCTGGCGCTATACATGCCATATCCTGCATATGTGGCGTGCGCCTATGGGCCAACGCAAGGCCATACATGGGCATGTGTGGCACATTCCAAACGTCTGGCTCGAGAAGCACCTCGAAGGGGCTGTTCATGGCAGCTTTTGCTCTTTGGAGCGGATGCCAAATTACATCCTCGCCGCCATGATCACTCTTAAGGCCGCAGGCTGGCAAGGGCCAGAAGAAGACAGACGACGGAAGGGTTGGCCTGCTGCCGGCCATCCAATACAACGTAACAGCAACAACCTAAAGACAACTGTTGATATACACGAAATTGTGGCGAGAATGCCGAATGCCGCACAGGGTGAGTTGTTAATTTACTGGCTTCGAGATTTGGAGCCCCGTATGAGGTCCTATCGTATTTGCAGTAAGTTTATTGATGAGAACATAATCAACGTCAAGCCCGCACACTGGCGTGCTCCCTTGTGCTCGTGAAGCCGTTTCCGCCCTCAGCTACCAGCAGCATTTTACGCATATGGCGCCTGGCATTCATGGGGGCGCATGGCGCCCCTGATTCGGGAGAGATCTCCACGTTTATAGCTGCGCATTCCTTCGTATCCATCGTTGAAATGTCAATGGAAGCCCATCGTTAGTTGTTGACTTTTTACGTGCTCCTCTTAGAGCAGCGATAAACGCAAGCATAATATATATTGAAACTATCGTACGTTTGTGGCATGCCTAAGCAAACTACTTTTCGGCGACGAGATCGCCGCGGTGTTCAGTGATATTCTAAGAATATAACTATATAAAAACTATGTACGACAATGTTAAAATCTGCTCTGTAACATATTTTGCGCGCATTGAGAGGTGGCACTTGATGGCTTTGTGCCAGTGACGACTCAGCAGAGCGGCTGCATCAGAATTTTCCCTTGAGGACTCGAGGCGCTGTCGCCGCATTGGAAGGGGCGTTGCTACCGCCGAGGCTTGCCCTGCAATGCATACAACACACCAGGCATGTCGCTTGTATGGTTAACAGTTGGATTGGTTGTGCAGGCAACGTACCGTCGCGCGACGATTGCGCAGCAGTACTCCAAGGCATCGTCGCTGTTCGTCCCTAATGCTACACAACCCCCCTGCCGGCTGCTTCTATTATTTCTAATGCTGCTAATGCTGCTAATGCTGCTAATGCTGCTAATGCTGCTAATGCTGCTAATGCTGCTAACGCTGCTAATGCTGCTAATGCTGCTAATGTCCGGTCAACCGATTTGGGAGTAACGCGTGTTGTGTTTTGGATTACGGTCATCTGGAGATTGCGTCGCCCAGTCGTACTGGAGAGTTTATCGGCATGAGGCCCAAGTGGATTCCCACAACACTACTGCTACTACTGTTACTGGTTCTCATGCTGCCGGTCTCCCAGACGCACCTGGCAAGGATGTCCTTCCACGCCTGGTAGCCCTTACTCGTATCACCAGCCGCGCCGGCATTCCCCTCATCTCCTGCACCCAAATACAAACCACGTGTGCTCAGCGCGACACCCACACCCACACCCACACCCACACCCACACCCACACTAAGCATGAGGAGATTCCCCAGTCCACGTCCAGGCCAAGAGATGGAAACGGTGATACATGTCCGTTCTGGCACAGACAGCGCAACAGGCCAAGATTGAAGATTTGAAAAAGATGGAGCATCGCCGCCATATGCTGCGCCCCACCTGCAATCCGAGCGCACTTTGCATCCATCCGCACTGTTCAACGCCCATCGTGTGTGTCTTTAAAATTTTCTATCAACAGAAGCGCATCACATGTGCGTGTGGGTAGACAGTATTATTTCACTTTCTGCAGTAACGCCTTTCGAACTGCCGGCGCACGGTGTACACACACGCACCGCGGTGTTATATCACGACTTCAAAAAGGTACCGATCGGCGGACGTGATGCACCCAAGATGCACTCCATTAGGACGTCGTAAGTGCAAAAGGGGTTATTTTGCGCTTTGTTGTATAAAGGGCCAAACCTCGCCCAGCCCAGCAGGCCCACCCCTGGCCACCTGTACTCACACATACACACGCCCACAAAACAACACGTCAACACGTCCTTCCCCACATTCTGCATAACTTCCCCACGCAGCCCATTATGCTTCCCTGCGGCACCCGTGCATCATCCACATCCACTCACCTAACTTGGTGGCGCCCTCTGCGCCCGCTGGGAGGCCTGCTGCTGCTGCTGCTGCTGCTGCTGCTGCTGCTGCTGCTGCTGCTACCTTGGACTTCCCCGATCCGCCGGCTGATTGTGACGGGGATCGCGCAAGCAAACCCTCCACGCCGTTGACACCGTTGATGGATGCCGTACGAGGGTCGATACTGCCACCATCGACGCTGCCGTCTGCGTGGGGGTGCCTGCTGTGATTATGACTGCCCTTGCTGGTGCCCAACAGCACGGCACTGAACAGCCGCATCACGTCGAGTTCCGTAGGCAGCTGACTCATCATCTCTGCTATGCGGCGTTTCTGCGACGTAGGAAAAGATGAAAACAAAGACGAAAATGATCATGACGAAGATGAGATGGTGATGATGATTGTGATAATGATGACGGTGGTGATGATGGTGGTATGATGGGCCAGCAATATCGGTGTAGGTTGGCGGATTGATGAGTTGGAGTGAGAAATAGGGCGGTTTGGGAAGGGGTAAGGCAAGTAAGCAGCACGACGAGATACGTCGCTTGTATTTAAGTAATGCCACCTTGGGAGTTACTAAAGGACATTATGGCTTATTGTCAAGGCGTTTCCCTGTCCTTTCTTGTTGCATTCACTCCCGTCTAAGGGAATTGGCAGGACCAACCAGTAAGTTGCACGCAGGACCAAACAATATAATAGGATAATAAAGGTCATTAAGGACATCAAAGGATGTTAAAGATCACAGCACGGCAACAAACACAGGTATCGCTGCAGCGCAGCTGCGCCTTGATTGCCAGGACCAAAGGGTGCCGCACACACCCGCCCATTCGCGCACCTCCCTTTCCAATCGACGCAGCAGTGGCAGGTATCCCAGCATCAGGAATGCCAGGAAGAGGCCCAACAGCAGCAGCAGCAGGACGACATGGAGCACAATCACGACTGGAGAGTGTGCAAGGCGCCAGCCAACCAGTAATAAGTACGGGGCCGAAGCAGCCAGGGCACAAGTGAGCGATTAGGAGGTTCAAGCGGGAAAATTGGTCAGCAGGGTAACCCATGAGCAATAGAGGAGGGTGACTGGAGACAGTACGGCATATGAAAAACGTTTTGGGAGGCACGTGCCCAGCTGCAGCCAACCCACAGCAGGCTGACCTCAGTGGACTGACAATAACGATAAAGAAAACATTCCGGCCTAGCTGCCCCTATAACTATATATTTCGCGTACCGCGTAATTATAAGCCTGCCGTGATATGATATACATGTATGGCAAACAAGCGGGAATCCACATGGCGAAATAAAGCATTGGATGGGTCTTGATAGGTCTGGCTGAGCAAGCGGGCAAGGAGGTTGTGCTTCCACGTACCACTACATTTATCCCGCATTCAGCGAATCATAAGCTCATGAAGCCTAAGGGCTTTGCAGTTGGGTGTTAGCGGCGAACAGAGAGCACAGGGGACGGCGTTGTGTGCCTACTAGGAAGGAGAGGGTACGCTCCTGCTGTGGCACTGATAGCCATTTCTACTAGAAATCCTTCATTTTTTCTAAGGAGAAACGCACGTCCTTGCTCACCTTTGAGCACGTCCTTGATGTCCACCAGGTGCTGTGCGCTGATCCGCAAGTTGGCGTCGTTCAGGTCCTGAGTGGTTGGTCGTTGAGTTGGGTGCACGGTTGGACGGGTTCAGGCACCGCTGAGTGTTTTTATTTTGATTATTAGTGCCTAACAAATGCCCCGCGCTTGCTGGACAACTTGCGCGATTTTTTAAAGCCAGATCAGTTTGTCGAGTTCATAAAAATATAAAAGTTTTCCAAAGTAAGGGAAGATGGAGAAACTCCACTTACGGCGGTTCCGACTCGGTAGATAAAGTCCCATCTTGAGTTGTTGAGCCCCAACAACACTTGAGGCTGAGAGGATACGTTACCGCCTCCGTTGCCACTGCCCGTGCTGCTGGTCAAGGAGATCACCGCAGCCATGGCCTCATCCGCGAGGTTGCTCAGCTCGTTCAACATCTGGTTCATCATGCCATCCGCACCGGAACGCGTCACCTGGCAAGGTAGGGTAGTTGTTAACCGGTTGTACGGCACCATGCGAGTTTTTAACGAAACACTGCGGTGATATGACAGTAAACCACCTGCATTTAAAACTCGTAAAGCCGTAACGTACGGGAGCAATGCGTATATACGGTAACTTGCGGCACGAGTGTCTGTGAGAGAGAGAGAGAGAGAGAGAGAGAGAGAGTGTGTGTGTGTGTGTGTGAATGTGTGTGTGTGTGTGTGTGTGAATGTGTATGCGCGTATATGTGTGTTAAGAAGTGGGCCTGCGCGGGTGTGTGCACGTGCATCTTGGAGGTCTCGCAATATGGAGCGGACGACGTCCCATCCGCTGGCTCCTTGGGCTTCCATGGACAGATTTTGGAAGGCTGCCACCCGGACTTTTCGAAAGGGGCGCACTTACAAAGCATGATAATGGCCGTATACACCCACAAAACAAAAGCAAAACCATTTAACGATACAGCTATATAGGTACACACTCTTTTCCTTAGCAACATGGTCCCAGTGCTCCATAATCCTCCACTGACCTCGTAGTAGGGGTTGCCGGGTAGGGGACAGGGAAAATGCTCAGGCAGCCGGAGGCAGGAGCTGTCCCCGTAGAACAAGTAAAACATATCGTTGGAGCCTCTGATAAGGCCCTGACCAACAACAGACGGAAACCGCTCCACGTCCGGCCCTGCACGCATTGCAATGCATGACGCGTGTCGTACACACGTACACGTACATACACGGGGCGAGCAGCAGGGCGTACGACACAGGCAGCAATATAAACAGGCGTATAAACAGGCGGACAGACAGGTAGCCAGACAGGCAAGGAAATGACTCCTGCAAGTACTCATTTCCTAGCAAACGTGCTCATGAAGAAGAAGGACACAAGGCGCGAAGCGGCTCTTATTTCACTTGGCGAAACCTTGGTGTAGTAGTAGCAACACGGCCGACACATGCACGGAGGCTATTTCATATTTCATATGCCCACCCTCCCCACCCTCCTAAAACCCCCCGCCTCTCCACCGACCACACTCGCACCTACGACAGTCCAGGCTCTTGCGCCCATCCGCATCGTGAAGTAAGCGTCCCGCAAGGCGGTGGTGGCGTTGTGCAGGGCTTCCACTTTTGCGGGAATCGCCGCAAAATCCTCCTCCGCCAACAGCTCCTGCAGGATCCATCCGTACATACTTACATACGAGGTCAGACACTACCGTTAACGCACGCACCCATACCCAAGGGAGATCTCGGGATCGAGACCTGTCAAGGTTGAATATTCTTGCAATGGTGGAAGGTAATAATGGCCCGAGTCAATGGACGCTGATGACCTTGGATAACGGGTGATCTGCGAGCTGACCAGGATTGATCAGAAAACAGCATCTGGTCTGGCAGATTCTGGTGGATGCTGGTAGTGAGTGCTATATCTGAGCGATCCACTGTTAGGTCGGTTAGAATGATAGGATGAGGGTGCCCTGAAATACCGGGGAAGGCAGGGTCTGCCGGGTAGCGGCCGCAGGGTGAAGATATGAACCCCCTGTCCCACACATCATACATCAAGCAGTTGGAGCACACAAGAACGCGGCAGTTTGCAGACCATGATCAAGACCCGTTCCCATGCGCGTGTTGCTAGGACTGGGCGCGACAGACAGCACTAGTCGTGCAGACCTGCGCGTAGAAGATGGCGCGATAGGTCCGCTCAGCGTTTTGATCAGCCACTGCGTGAAGCGCTACTTGCTCGGTAACCCCCAGCAGAATCGCGTAGTTGACGCTGTAAAAGAGGATTACCTGCGCGCGGATAACGTGCAATCCGGGACACATGCGTGGATGCGTTAGCAGCGATACATGCACGAACGTGATCGTCGCAGTGGGCGCATTGTAATGTTCGCCTAGAAGGTATCAACGTGTGTGGTACAGAGTGGGTGACTTCTGGGCCATGTCTGCAATGTCTATCTACACGTTAATGTGAGTGTACATGTGTACATGGTGTGTGTGTACATGGTGTATGTGTGCGGGAGGGGTCAGGGCGAGCACAGAAAGGGACAGTCTGTAATCGGGAGAACGACACGATAGCCAGTGGGACAGAGGTGCATAACGTTTCATGAGAGATGAATGCGGGGAAAGTGATCAGCATCCGTACAGTCATAACAATCCGTACATGGATACGTTCCAGCCGTACCAGAAAGGAGTAGAGCAATACGATGGAAAGCATGCCCTTAGCGACCTTGCTGTTGCGAATTAGCGTTCGGCGTGGCTGCGAACCCGACTCCTGACCGCCAGTTGTCGGGGCAGGGGGCAAGGACCCCGTAGATGGCGTAGTGGGCCAAACAGCGCCGGCCCTCCTAAGGGCGATTTAAAAGGATCAAGAACAGTCACAAGGCATAACCTTAAGACGCGGATGTGCAAATGCAGATGTGCAAGTTATGTCAATTAAAATCTTGATACGACGGACAGACAGACGGACGGACGGAAGGAAAACAGTAGTGTTTAACGCGGGCTTAATGGTTTGCATACTAACACACACACACACACACACACACACACACCATGAACTTCCTTGGCCTTCTTGTTGACCGTCCTGTCTGGGCTTTTCACCCCTTGTGCCACTTAATGCAAGGCCTATGCCAGCAGCATCCAGCACTTTGAAACGCTTAATGCTGTGAATCCGAGCGAGAAAGCGAACGAGAAATTAACACAAACCACGACTTACCACCGTCGACGCAACGGCAAACATCCGCAGATCAGGGCGCGCCACCAGCTCTTGTTATTGTTGCCCATCAGCCTCAGCGTTCTATTCGTGGGGTCGGCAGTCGGTGTGAGCAGCGAGAGGTCACCCAGGTGACCAAATGAGTCCTCCGGGTCCTTGAAATGCCTGGAAGCCGACTTGCCCTTGGCAGCTAAGCGATGGTAACGGGTCCGGCGCTCCGCCGGCGACGGCTCATCGTCGTCGAGGTCCGCTGACTTGTCTTCAGATTTGGAGCCCAGGAGCTCGTTTACGTCATCACCATTTAGGACGCCGGGATCGCCGCCGTCGTCGCCTCCGCCGCCGCCTCTACCTCCGCCACTTCCACCTCCGCCACCACCGTCACGCCCCGAGCCATCCTCTCCCCTGCTTCCCAGGTCCAGGACATTATCATCGAAAAGCGTCTTGCGCTTGACGGTGGCAGCACTGCTGCCTTGCGCATTGGCGCTTGGAGGACCATCATCGTAATGCTCCTGGTGGCCAGCAGGCGGAAAGGCAGCAAACGAGCAAATACAATGTTGATTAGCAAGTGCACTCCGGCTGACATCTAGCATGTACGACGGGGGAATTAACGGGCATTCCTGCCGCGTTTTGTAAGCTGCATTTGTCAAGGGCATTCGTAAGGGGCATTTATAAGGGGTAATGATATTCTCGTGCAGAAGAGGGGTTCGATCATCAGAGCATGTTGGAGGCCATGAAATGGGATCCAGTACGTCTGGCGAGGACGTTGGAACATATGTGGGCTCACCGAAACTCAGTTATCCCTTTCGGACGCTAGTCTGGGCTGATGTGCGGTGTTTCCTGTTCTCCGTGGCTTTTAGGCGTTGAAGTATTGCCCTTGGGCCTTCGGCTCGTATGGGTAGTTTTACAGGTATGGGGTCACGCACCCCCAACCATGTATAACACACACACATAAGGGGCATACCTGGTGTGCTATGGAACAGAAGTGGACTAGGAGACAGACAAGGAGTGAGACATCTTAAGCAACGTGGCCAAAGGTCCCGGGGGCCGCGGGGATAAGCATTTGACCACGGATAGGAAAGCAATGTCAGGCGGTGTGCGGGGCCATGCAGCGCCTTGCTGGGGGAGCAGTAAATCACTCCCGGAAGCATGCTAGCACGCGGCGTGAACCTTGAACCACTTCCCATTCGCGCAACATTAGCGGCGGTCCGACCCGCTATATGGCAGTCGCGCAGTCTCAGCATTGACTTACCTTGTCGTCATCTTCCTCGCTCTGGCTGTCTGACTCGTCGTCCAGGAGGTGGGTGGTCTGGGCTGCCAGGGCTCTTGTCAGCCCTAGGCAGAGCGAGGGGACGCATGGGAGCAATGTGCGTGGGCAATGTTAGGTAGGTCGGTAAGGTACAGCAGCGGCCAGCACAGCCCAAATATTTGCCATGTCAGCACAGTACGAAAAATACGACGGGAGAGTCAGCAGAATTGTTGCGATCAAAACGCATCATCATATTATATATCATATTATACATGTAAATAGAAATATTCTATAGTTACGTTAAATAAAGCATACAACAAATTGCACGCCGATACACATACAATACACATGCCAATACACAGCTTGCACGCCGCATTATAATCCGTCGTGGCTCTCATACCCGACAAGCAAATGAAGTGGTTTGGTTGCAAGGGTAGTCTTAATTGGACGTTACCCAGCGGATGACTGCAAAGGCGAAAGGCAGTACGCGCTTCACATTTATCTATATCTTGCAAGCTATAGATAAATGCCAATTATAGATAAAAGCCAATTGGCTCCAAGGTTTCCTTACCTATGGGTATCGACAGGAAGGCCTCGTATAGTTGATATCGTTGGTCGAAGGCCGACTTGAGCATATACATCAGGCCACTACGGCAGCGGACGTGAATTAACAGGGCCGCAGGTATAGTTTACTTGATGCGTGAATGTCAAGGTGACGATCACAGGCACACAGAAACGAGCGCTTGCTTGCTTCTTCTTGTTGAACAGCACACGCACTCGCGCACGCGTAGATACAATCAGGTACACCAATCAAGGCACGCACACGCCGTTTGTAAGGTTCGTCGGCGCACCGTGAGGAGTCGCCGTCTCCATTATTACGAACAGAAACGCCAATTGACTCTCTTCACAGGATGGATAGACAAACATCATCAAAGCATGCTGTGGTGTAGCACTAACGCAACGACCTAATAAGGTCTTCTTTGGGCACCTTGTCCCCACGGCAAGTTCGTACCCAAACGTTGTACGATTTCGCACGAACAGGATTAACTTACGCTGCACAACAGCCCGCCACGACGACTCCCTCTACTACGAGGAATGTGAGCTGCAGGCGATTGACCTTGTACGTCCACGTAACGGCCGAGTCAAGGAGTGCATTCACGACCTGCCGGGGACAGCGCAAGGGAGGTCACGTTAGCGACTAACAGCCAGCTAGGAAGGTGGTGCCGATAAACGAAGGCTATACAGCAAAACATCCACGAAATTGCGGAAGAGCAGGAAATGTACAGAGAGGTACAGCGTTCACGCGCTTTACAGAACATTTTGGACCGGGCTCAGTGTGTCAGACGTACCAGGCGACTGTCAGAAAACGCGCGTACGACACACGTACGACATCTTAACATACATGCCGTACGACAGAGACCACGCGCACGCAGTAGGCAAGAACTATTGGAAGATGTATTTTGCCCGGATTACCAGCTTCGTTAGCAACAATTAACTCCTCTGAGACATCCCCAGTCACAAGAACTGGAAGAAGCCGCGAAGCCATATCCCTGCAGGCTTTGTGACTGTGGAGCGGTTGAAGATGAGTTGCATGTTTTCGAAGAATGTCCCGCTTACAAGAGCATACGGACTAAGTATGATGGTGACCTAGTCCTTACGGGGCGCAGCATGCGCACCACTATGACTGAGGCGCCACCCCTGGCATTGGCCAGGTACCTCTCGGAAATCTGGGAGGCCAGGCACGTCGCGCTGAGGCGCTTCGCCCTGAAGCGGACGAGGGAGAATGAAGATGACCTCCCGCGTACCCGCATCAATACCAATACAACGTCCATGGCCCCCCCGGCTTTTACGGACACACCCGCACTTGTGTGCGGAACTTGTAACTTGTAACTTGTATTAACTATGTATCAATGCAGGGATGATCGATATAGGTAGACATTGACTACTACGCATGAGACTTCAGCGGAATGGCACCACCACAGAGCAGAGGTTGCGCGCCCTTTGTTCATTCAGTGGATGTGTGGACGGGTTGATGCTCTGCAGGTTCAATAGTTACTCACCAAGCGAATGCCAGTTGGGTTGCTGAGTGCTTGGCCGCTGTACAACATGAACTTGACAGGCACAAGGGAGGAGAGCTTCAGCCCTTCATTGTGCCACGACGCGTGGTCCTGAAAGACGGTCTTAGCAGAGACGTAGATCCGAGTCACCACGTCCTGCATGATGTAAGATCCCCGCATACATGCATGCATGTATACGAGTGTGACATGCATATGTATACGAGTGTAACGTGCATATGTATGTACGAGTGTAACGTGCATATGTATGTATATGAGTGTAACATGCATATGTATGTATATGAATGTAACATGCGAGCAACGGAGTCGGATATAACTGAAGAAACCAATATATTAACCGGGAAACCTTACTAATCGCGCATAGTAGCCCTCCCGTAAATCTTCATCTATGCCCGGAGGTGCACGGGACCCCCGGCTTTTACGGACACCCCTGCACTTGTGCGGAACTTGGTAACATACCGCATGCACATGTATATACACGTAGCTAGGGACTGCGAGGAGGACACTGGACCAGATGTGTGGGTGTGGGTGT